TGGATGGATAGATAGATAGATAGATAGATATATACTTATTTGAGAGAGAGCCCACATAAACATACATCGGAAAGACCACAGCTGATATTTGTATATGTGCACACACTTTTTTTTGGTGGTGAAAATGTGTGGAAGAGCCCAGGTTTGACTGCTATGATCCCGGATTAATTTTAGGGAGCGTGTCTGTCAGTGCTCTAGCACTGGTTTCGCACTGGTGGCAGGATACTGTCATTGGAGGACGGCCTGTTTTCGAGAAAAGTGGTGCTGTGCTAAGTCTGCACATTGAGGCCTATAATTTCTGTCTGTTCACTGATGGTGTTCACGTGGTTAAGGAAAACGTTTGTGTTCAACAAAGTGGGACGGCCGTGGAGGCATGGCAAGACTGGATTCGAACATGGAACTCCGAGAGTTAACGGGCATCGTGATGCATCGTGCAGCATGTTCAAGCCGAGATGAGTTTGGCTGCGTTGGAGCATGTTTTCTGTTGTGTGGTAGGATCGCTCCCTGTGTGGAAAATAAAGGCGAGTTCGCGAAAGTGAAGGAGAGCAACGTGCGCTTCGGACAGTAAAGTAAACTTTTTTCCTTGTTTCTTGTGCAGGACGTAGCGGAGCTTCCGTGGATGGTGGCTCGGCCGTGGCAGGTCTTCGATGATTCGGACAAATATGAGGAGGCGTGTGTGGTGGATCATTGGCGAAATGGGAGACCAGTAATGGTTGTGAGGACAGAGTAATTTTTGTTGCAGATATGTCACAGCACTTGCCGTCGTTGACCAAGCAGGATAGTGATGTTCGAGTTGTGCACGTGGATCCGACAACTGCAGATCCTCGGATCGAGGTGGAGGCAATGAGCAGTGGGTTGCGATCAGTTGCAGCAGTGTTTGGGGGGAGTAACGGTGTGTGTTAAAGCATCATCCTAGAGGTCTGTCTGGATATGCCCTTGCTAGGTGCGATGCATGGGTGATCCATGAGTCATAAGGATTTTCGGTGACTCCATGTCTGATACAGTCATCATGAAGCATCGACATGATGGGAGATTTTGCCGCCTAGCAGATTGGCTTTACTAGATGAACCCTAACAATTGATTCTCACATAAGTATTTGTCTCCGTGTTCTTTGGAGTGAAGCGTTTCCGACGAGCAGTAGATCCTCCACGAGAATTCTTCAGAGTTACTCCGGAAATGTAGCCCCAGTAGGTGTTTAGCGGAGTCATTGTAACAAACCATGTGCGCAGGCCGCGGTGCCCCCTGCAACACCGGGCAAGGTGAAAGGGGCCTGCTTTTCAGATTAGAGTCATATGCTTTTTGAGCATGCAAGAACTTGGCTGCATGCACCTCGTAGGTGCTTTGCTCGCCCATCCCCGCCCCCCGCTGCTTCTCGGGGCTTGAGAGCTCCTGCGTGGGGAACTGCCTTTGCTGCATATTCCTCGCAGGGACTTTCCCGTGGAGTCACCGACAAGATCTGCATCTCTCGTAGAGATCACCTCAGGGGCACGCCTCGCAGGCGCACAGGTTGCTTGCTCGTCCTTCACAGAAGTCTGTCACCGAGAGCTGCACCCTTTCTCGAAGCCTGCCCTACCGTCACCAGATGCAGATGTGATTGCTTCTCACTGTCAGCTGCTTCGCCAATGCTTCTCCTCGTAGGAGAAAAAATCTTCAAGTTCTTCAAGCCACCCTGGCTGTCACCACTGCTTTGCGCATTCGGCAGTCTCTGCAAAAGCAGATCTGCTAAAACTTCCATTGGATTTCTCTTTTCTTCCTGAAGACTTGCGTGATTGCTGCGAATAGCCGGTCCACTCCCTGTGAAATCAATCGGCCAAGGATGTAAAGGTCGCCAAACCGAGCCCGCAGCTCCTCTGTCAAATCATCGAAGTTGCCAGGAAATTTCAGCTTGTCTCTGCTCAGCCGAGTCTTCAAATTTGACCATGCAGTCTTCACTGTTTGCAGCTTTGTCCGCAGATCAAAGCTTGCGCACTTCGGCTCAAAGCTTGCCAGCACTCCTGTCAGCACAGCGTCTGTATATTCCGTCGGCAGCCGCAACTGCAGGACGGTAAAAAGGAAATACACCAACTCACCGGCCCGCAGCAGATCAGACGGTGCTTTCAAGATTCTTGACCACACTCCTTCTGGCAAGTGCCTACCTACCTACCTACCTGCCTGCCTACCTACCTACCTACCCATGTATCGATCGATCTATCTATCTATCTACCTATCTATCTATCTAGCTAGCTAGCTAGCTAGCTAGCTATCTACCTATCTATCTATCTATCTACCTATCTATCTATCAATCTATCAATCAATCTATCTATCTATCTGTCTATCTATCTATCTATTTATCTATCTATCTGTCTATCTATCTATCTATCCATCTATCTATCTATCTATCTATCTATCTATATCATTTTTTTATTCATTCATTTGTTCATCTATTCTTTCATTCATTGATTCATTCTTTCATTCATTCGTTTATTCATTCATTCGTTCGTTCATTCATCCATGCTTTCATCTGTTTTCTTTCTTTCTTTCTTTCTTTCTTTCATTTATTCGTTCGTTCGTTCGTTCATTCGTTCCTTCAATCAATCAGTCAATCAAGCAACCATTTATTATATTCTATCTATCTATCATTTTATTCTCTCTATCTACCATACTATTTTATCTATCTATCTATCTGCCTATCTATCTTTCTACCTTTCTTTCAATCTTTCTTTCCTTCCTTCTTTCTTATCTATCTATTGATCTATCATTCTATTCTGTCCTAATTCCAATTTCAATTCTAATTCTAAGTCGAACTCTATTTTTGTTCATTCTATTCGAATTCTACTTCCAAATCGAGTTCTATGTCTACTTCTAAGTTTATGTCTATTTCCTTTATTTTCAAGTCTAAATCCAGTTCCAGTTCTACTTCTAACTCTATTGAATTCTATTCTTTCCTATTTTATTCTTTTTTATTCTATGCCATTCTATTCTATCCTGATCCATTCTATTCTATTCTGTTCTCTCCTGTTTTATTCTATTCTGTTCTATTCTATTCTATTCTATGCTTTGCTAGCCTATATATTCTGTTCTATCTCCAACCCCTTCAATCTTTCCAACCTATCTGAGAAATCTAAGATACCTAATCCCTCTAATCTCTCGAACCTCTAACCTCTCTAATCTCTCTAACCTCTCTAATCTCTCTAATCTCCCTAATCTCCCTAATCTATCTAATCTATCTAATCTATCTAATCTATCTAATCTATCTAATCTATCTAATCTATCTGTCTATCCATATAGCCATCTATCCATATAACCATCTATCTACCTGCCTATCTCTATCTATCTCTATCTATCTCTATCTATCTCTATCTATCTCTATCTATCTCTATCTATCTCTGCCTATCTCTATCTATCTCTATCTATCTCTATCTATTTCTATCTATCTCTATCTATCTGTTAATACGTATCTATAATGTGCATGTTTGCCCATGCAGTTTGAAGGTTGCGATGTGCAAGTCTGTTCCTTGGCAATTGACAGCATAGTCCATTCTTTGTTTTGGAAGCGAACCAAAAAATCTTAAACCATATTTTCACGTATTTCACTGTCAAACTTTGGCTTCAACAAACACAAGAAAAACAGTAGGGTTTCCCATCAAAAGGTGTTTTTTTCAACAAACAAACATCTATCAGGATGTCCAACAAAACGCCACAAGTCAGTAGATGTTCCACCGTTTTCTTTTTTCCATGACGGTATCCGCCCCACGTTCCGCCAGGGTCCAATGAGGCGCTCCTTGGATTGTGTGGTGATTTTGGTATCGATTCTGGCTACCATGGTGGTTTTGCTGGTCAATTTTGTGGTTTACCCAAGGGAAATTTCGGTGATTCAACGTGTGGAAAATTAGGGATCTTCATTTGGCCTTGGCAACATTTTCGACCCAAGCCAAAGTGCCAAAGAATTCCAGGTTGTTTTGGTTTTCTCCAAACCTAGGGTATCTCAGGTATCCACTGGCCAATCCCCTGGCGAATCATTCCATTTTCCGGGCAAATCCATGGCCAAATACGACGTTTTTCCGGGACATTTCACAGTTTGCTATGGTAAATCGTTCATTTCCAGCTGATTACCTCAAAGAAGGAATGATAACCTATTCTATTCTATTCTTATATTTCTTATGCTGAATTACCAGAGGCTAGTGGTTTTGAAGGCCAACCAGAAACCCAAGGTTCCCTGTAGATTTTCCGAAACGGTCCCCGCTGGCCTCAAGCTGTGAACGGCGCGCTTTCCGCGGGGAGGGTCGCTAGGTGAGGCTGGTAAAGGCTCGGTGATGGGTTCCGGCTAGGAGCTGAGCCCAACAGGCTCCAAGGCATAATGCGCGAGGGCCACTTTTTTTGGGGGAAAACTTGGGATATGTTTTGCTCCTTGATGGACATTTCTTTGGCCCCAAACGTAGATACGGGATGTTGGGACAGTTCTGGAAAATGGCACATAAGACAAAGGTGGGGATGTCACCAGCAACAGATTTTTAGGGGCTGAATGGGCTGATGCCAGATGTAGTGAGCTTGGGAGTTGTTTTCTTGAAAAATGAGGGTACCCTATAACAAAGGAAACATACCTCAGGAATATGCTTCAGTTCATCAGCAATGAGAATTTCAACCATAAAACAAGGGGAGTTGACGACTGGGACTTGACCAAGCATGGGGATCCAATAGGTGCTTATCCGCTCAGGGATTTTTGGGATGCGTTTCCAGTAGGTTTCCAAGATGTTCGTTTTTGTTTTCAATCACTCGAAGTTGCGGCAGTACCCCATGGTCTAAGTCAAGCACTTTAACATCCAAAACTTCAATGCCAACATCGACTGTAGATGGATTTTCCAAAGATTAAAGCGTCGAGAAGAGAATGGACGGGATTGGTTTTCGGTGGCTTCCAGACTTGGTTTAGGCGTGGCGTTTGAAGGCGGCGATGTGTTTTGGACCAACAGAACATCCATTGACGCATCCAATTTGGAGCTATCCAACCCCCGTTGCCTTGTCCGAAGGCCCATGACCAACCTGCAACAGGCTTATTTGGAAAGGACGCCGGAAAGCACCAGAAATGGGATGCTTTCCTTTTGGAATCTGTTAAAAAACGGTTCTAAGTGGGTAATCACCGTGTTCCTTCACACAGTGATGTGGAACACATATTACATAATATGAACACATGATATACCAAGTCTTACATTGGCTAAAGCCATCTGAATACGAAGAACTACTTTGCTCTTTTATTTGTCTCCAAATGGGGCCCTTTTTTTGGGCCACTAAACCATTTTCGGAAATGCTGCTGTATAAATCATGTGGATTCAACCAATCATGGGGATTATTTGATCGGCTTATTCCATAGGTGTGCCACGGTCAAAACTTGGGTTGCCGATATCAGGGGGATGGTCATCCATTAGGCTTGCTGGCTTGTGGGACTGACCATACGCCATACAATCATTGATTAAGTTGGTTATAACACCCACTCTATTCCCATCATATAGGCATTGTTGTTGGTTAAATCCCATCGAAGTAGGGTAAAAAACACACCATGTACTGTAACTTGACCGTGAAATATCTCCTTATTATCCAAATTCATGCTGGTTTACGATCGCCACTGTTGGTGATATATCCTGATTATCACACTATATTTCCGTGAATGTTTGACAATCGCATTATAAAAGCCATTAAAAACCACATACGACGCAAGTTAACCATGTTACATAGCCATTGTGGTCAACATACCATCTAACTTGACCATGGCCATCTGATTTTGGCTGCAGGATGCAAGCCACCAGTGGCTATGGTCGCATCAGTGAGTCTGCCGGGTGGCCACTGGGGGATGGTCGAGAATTTGGGTGGATTCCGGTGGAGTGTCTGAAAAATGGCCAAAATACTGTACCTGGAAGCAGTTTAGGAATGATAGAAGCCATGTCCAGATTTTGTGAGTTTGAGTGTTTGAAGGCCAGCCATTGAATACATTTCAGAAAAGGCCGCCTGAAGTTTGAGAATGTCGATTGCTCTCCTCTAATTTTTTTCATATTTTAATTGGGATAAGCAGGACATAGCAGGACCTTGGGCCTATTTCAGATCTCAGAATTGGGAATGGTGGTTAAAAAATGTCATTTTGGCACATTTTGGGACATTTTTGGGACATTTTGGCCCTATTCCATGGTGAAAAACATGTCGGCAGGTCTCCTTCAGTGCGTCTGCCTGTGAATCCCTTGCCGGTCGATACCTTGAACAACTTGCAGGCAGGTGTCTTAAGTCCTAAGTCATGGAGGTAGCCCTAAATCATCTGGTATTAATAAGAATTTTACTAGGAAGTCCCATTTATGGTCAATATTTTAATAGGATTTTCATAGGATTTCAATAGCATTTCCCATGAAATAAACCAACGATTTTTGGGGAAGTCCCATGAAAGTGGACCCCTTTATTTTTATCATCCCCAAGAGACATTTGTTTATTGTTTGTATCCCATCTATATGCATGTTATATGTATATATATGCACCAGGCCCTGCCACCCCCCCTCCCCCCCACCCCCATGGGATGGGTCCCATATACTGGCCCCATATGAGATCTTCCCCCTCCCCCCCCTGTGGTGTGGTGGGGTTGTGGCACTGTCCCCCTCCCCCCCCTGTGGTGTGGTGGGGGTGTGGTATGGTATGTTGGGTATGTATGGTGTGTATGGTCGGTCTGGTATGGCATGTTTGGAAAGTATGGTATGTTTGGGAGGTATGGTATGTATGGCATGAGTGGTTGGTATTGTATGGATGGTAGGTATGGTATGTAAGTCTGTTGGGTATGGTATGTTTGATATGACAGTATGTATGGTCTGTATGGTATGTATGGTTACTATGATGGGTATGGAATATTTCCTATGTAAGGTAGGTGTGGTATGTATGGCATGTATGTTTGCTATTGTATGTATGGTAGGTGTACGTAGGTGTGGTAATTACATTTCATCTGTATGGTATGTATGGTATGTATGAAAGATATGATAGGTATGGTATGCTCGGCATCATTGACATGTATGGTAGGTACGGTATATGTTAAACACAGGTAGTGTTGTCAGAGTACACAGGTAGTAAATAGGAAGTAGATACAGTAGATACATAGCACATGTATATATGACTATAGGTAGCACGTAGCTACTTTGAAGGAGTATGTGTGCTACGTAGGCCGCCTAAAAGGTAGCATGTATCTAGTAAATGCGAGGCTGGTAGTCAGAAATGCTGCAAAGACCTAGCAAATACGCAGCTGGACCTCAGAAATGCTGCCAATAGCTTGCAAATAGAAGGGAATTGGGGCTGCTACCTGGGGACCCAACCCATGGGGGGGGGTGGAGAGACGGAGGACGGGACCATATATATATATATATAGATTCTATAGATATATGTAGGTGAAAACAAATAAATATACATACATATATATATATATGTAGTGTTATATATATATATAGATAGATAGATATATAGATATATAGATATATAGACACATATCTTTGGATCTGGATAAATAATTAATTTCACAATCTGCTATGGAACATGGCCCATTTATAGACGATTTGAGATGATTTACCCATGATTACCATAACATGGTGGAATCATTATGCAAAGGCATAACATTATTTAAAGTTATATCTCCCATAATATATTTTCCATATTAGTGTTTTCAGCCAGTTAAATAAAACTATGGTTGTATCATTTGTATCCCCGAATATTCATGCTTAATATGGTTGTTATGATATTATCATATTTCGCCCATATCAGTTTCCACTAACTTGTTGTTGAATATTGAACGCTTATTGATGCTTATTGATGCTTATTGATGCTTGTCGATGCTTGTCGATGCTTATTGATGCTTATTGATGCTTATTGATGCTTATGGATGCTCATTGACGGTATAACACAAACCAAGTTTTGATGATAAAATACCATCAACAACCATCAAGAAAACTGCTTATAAAACATTATAAAACTAGTTAAATATTTTGGTTATCATACCCAGCTGCCATTGATGACACCGGGTACCGCTCACCAGGCACAGTCCGACCAGGTGCTACGACGCGTTGCGGCGCTGGAGTCCTCGATGACTGAGGCCCGACGATGCCATGAAAATTGGATATGGAACCAACGAAAATGGGGATTTAGCCCACAAAAATGGGGCTGGAACCAAAAGGTGCAAGGTGCGATTTAGGCAGCAAAAACGTGGATTTAACGAAAAAAGTTGGGTTTGAACCAATTTACCCACAAAAATTGGGATTTAACGAAAAAAAATGGATTTGAACATCTAGGGCCCCCAAAAAAGATATCGAACAGTATTAAAAAAACATGGTAAAACGATGATGTAAAACACCCACCATTTCCAGGTTTCCAACGTTGGGCATCTATTGGGGGTTGATGTGGAACATGGGAATCTCACCATAGGCGACTTTTCCATCATGATAATCCCCTATCAATACCAGGGGTCGTTGGCCTAGAGTACCAGCACGGTGACCTATCAAAAGTGGGTAAACATGGGGTGTACCCAAATTTAGCAATCAAAGATGAGAGAAGAGAGACATTGATTTGAACATGATCTTAAACCATTGTGGTTTTAGGCCCCATTTCTTCCAAAAAATCCACCCGTAGGATGATCATCTACAGTTGATCATGTAGCAAGAAGACAAGTAACATCCTTCACAGTTCAAATAGATTGTTTTCTATCTTATTTTGATTGCATTTTTCATAAAACCTTCAGTTGTGGATTATTGTTACCAGCGATTTACAGTTTTATGTAGAGGATTGTTTATGATTAGCATCATATCCGATATGCAGTAAGTGGTCGGTTGCATTTACTCGATGATGTCAATATTATATTGAAGTGAACGTTTTTTGGTTTGCCAGCCATGTATCGCTATATCGAGTCATATGTAATAATGGCTTTGGATGGTTTTTATATCGAATATTAAGGGCTTACAATAGACATATCTCGGACATATGATCACGTCATAGTGTTTTTTTTCATTTTCCATCCTTTTCCCATATCACAGTATCTCCCATGACATTTATTCACATTCAATGGACATTTTTTGGGATGGGTCGTTGCCTATGGAAATAGCCAGCAAGAAAAACAGGGCCATCCCAGCAGGTCACCAGGCGCTTGGACGATTGGACTGAGGCGTTTTTTTTTTGGTGGGGGTTCATTGGGGAAAGTCACCTTAACTTTTAGGGGCTGTAATGGGTGGAGACTTTTTCTGCGAATTCAAAGGAACTTCAGAGGGATTTATTGGGCAAACCAAACATTCTAGAGAGATAACCATACAAATATAGGGATAACCATTGGAACAGGGTGGTTTTAGTGGGACTTCTAGGCAATTTTTGATGGGGAAACCTACATTTTTTTAAAAAAAATCTAACGGGATATAAATAATTCAACCAGCAATGGTGAGATGGGTGTGTCTGAAATCTCAGGATTTAGTACCAAAATATGTTTTTTTTTTTAATGGGGAGCATGATGATGAAATAGCTAGCGAATTTTTGTTTTTCGTTTTTTTTTTGACAGACACACCACATATATATATATACATACATACATACATGGTTTTGCAATTTTCATGGAGCAACGATACCAAAGAATAGATGAAGCAAGCAGCGAACTGGGTCCGTTGGGTACTGAACTCATCCAGTTTTTGGATCGCCCCATCCCAGTTTCCAAAGAATTCGGAAGCAGGTTGTCTCCCACTTTTTCAATGGGATATACCCCAGTATTCCCTAGTTATATATATATAAATACACTTTTTCAGAACCCAGTATCACAGTATCCCCTAATTGACAACTTGGTTACTGGGTTGTCAACTGGTTCTTCCTATTGAAACAAACGGTTGTTATCCTTTTTCAAATTGTTCTTTCGCCCAGGAAGTTGTTATCGCCATAAACAGATATAGTATGTAGTTGTCGGAAGATGTGCAAAGACCAATGTGCCAATGCCATCAGACTATCATATCCTATCCATTCTTTATAGTCATCCCAATAAGATGACAATTTGCCCAATCATTTTTTTTCTTGGATCTGGAGGTTTCCTAAAATAGGGCTACCCCTAAATAAGCTATCCATTTTAATCAGGTTTTCCATTCGAAATCAAGCATTTTGGGGGTCCCCCATTGTAGTTGACCATCCCGGCTGCCCCTTGGGTCGGAGGTGACCCGCGGAGGAATCGCTGACTTGCGGTCCGAGATCGGGGCGGCCTGGGGCCCGCCCCAGCTGGTTCGGTTTGGGAGGGAAGATCTGGGAATATCTGTAGGAAACCATGACTTACTACCCTTTGGTTATTATAGATGGCCCATAGAAATAGATGGTTTACCTATCAATAGCATGGTGATTTTCCATGGCTATGTTAAATAACCAGATGGTATATAAACTAGGTCCTAGGTTTGTTAATTTACGATTCGTGGGATCTAAAATATATGCCATTCATATGCCGCCATAGAATTCCATGATGATCTCCACTATCCCATTAGGATCCCATTATAATCCCACTGAGAGCTGAGGTGAAATTGGAACAACGCTTCGCTCAGACGCTTCGAAGCTCGGGTGGTAGCTCAACTGCACGACATGGGCAACTCATGATGAATCCACAGGGTGAAACTGCGACAGAGGGTGAAAACAACTCAACATTAAACTTGCTTACCTTACTGCTTGTATGGCTCAATTATGTTCGGTCGCCATACTGAGGCACCATATGCGAGTTGATCATGAAAGATTCCCAGATGTCTCATGAAGCAAGCTATGCCTTGTACAAAACCTGACCTCATTGTGAAATACCGAAATCCAGATTTTCAAGATTTTTTTCGATGGTGAATCCCGGTGAGACAAGGACCAATTCCCCAATTCTTGATGGTCTTGGTAAATTCACAATTTTTCATCTTTAAATCTTCATGTTTCCGGGTTTTTTCCTGAGGGTTTTCGTTTTCCTCGAAAATTTTCATGAATTTTCTTCATTTGGGGGTTTCATAAAATAGGGCCACCCGGGCCACCCCCAAATCATCCAAGTCATGGATGACCATTTTAGAGTTGAAACCTCAGGCGACGCTTCGGCTCGCCAGACGCCCTTGGCTCACTCAGTGGCCACGGGTACACCAACGGCGCGGAGGGGAGATGGAGCGACAAGACTGCGGGGATTTGAAGGAAGATTACCCTCTGGTAAACTAACATAACTATTGAAAATCACCATTTTGAATAGGTAAATCAACTATAAATGGTATATTTTCAATAGCTATGTTAAATTACCAGAGGGTATTTGTCACAGCAACATTTGGGGAGTGCATTTGCCAAAAAACGAAGATTCCATGATTTTGAAGCAAGAACCATGGACGTTTTCCCAACAAAATTTACAACATCAGGGTACTAAGGCTGCTGAGCCACTGATTGCCCGACTAGACAGAAGAGCAGATCATCAAATGTGCAAATCAGTGAATTTGCTGACGATGGTTATTTACAGAGATGACAAGAAATTAGAATACGATAAAAAATGCACTTATACAACTTCTCTATACTAAATCCATGATCACGGACACAATGCCCCCACCTAAGTGGAATTCCCATTGCACGGGATTTTGTGACAATAGATTCAATAGATCAGGATTTCAACCTGGTTCGTTCCATCCATTTATACATTGGAAATCAAAGGCATATATTTTTCATACACATATATTATATATGTATACATACTGTGCATAGTGTGAATATGTACAATATCTCTCTCTCTCTATATATACATATATATATATACATAAATCTATACATGCAAAACTTGTGATTGGCGCAAGCCCCCTCTCCACTCCAATCCCACCTCCAAGCAAACGGCCTTGCAGCCACTCCTTTTCCACTTCCACTGCTGTTGTCCACACGCAGTCTGCCAAGGGCGGCCACGCCCAACTGCTCTGCCCACAGAGCTGCAACCACAAGGCTATGGCACTGACGTGCCCACCCGCCCAAACCCCAGGGGCTCGCCTGAGCCAAGTCAGTGTCTATCGGACACGAAGAGTTCTGGACCTGGAAGACGGATGGTATATTGAGTGAACAGCATGGATGGAAATTACACTCGTGAATTTTCTCTTTTTTACTGATTGGAAACTCCATGCTGCACATGCTGTTCGCAAAGATTCGAATTGTGATCTTTCGAACCACCATGCTGTTCTCAGAGCCATCTTAGTCGATCTTTGGTCTTTGCCCTTTCCTGCATGTCTGCCTGTATGCATGTATGCATGTATGCCTGTATGCCTGTATGCCTGTATGCATGTATGCATGTATGCATGTATGCATGTATGCATGTATGCATGTATGCATGTATGCATGTATGCATGTATGCATGTATGCATGTATGCATGTATGCATGTATGCATGTATGCGTGTATGCATGTATGCGTGTATGTATGTATGCATGCATGTATGCATGCATGCATGCATGCATGGATGCATGGATGCATGGATGCATGGATGTATGTAATGTATGTATGTATGTATGTATTTATGTATGTATGTATGTATGTATGTATGTAATGTATGTATGTATGTATGTATGTATGTATGTATGTATGTATGTATGTATGTATGTATGTATGTATGTATGTATGTATGTATGTATGTAATGTATGTATGTATGTAATGTATGTATGTATGTATGTATGTATGTATGTATGTATGTAATGTATGTATGTATGTATGTTGGTATGTATGGTATGTATGGTATGTATGGTATGTATGGTATGTATGGTATGGTATGGTATGGTATGGTATGTATGGTATGTATGGTATGTATGTGTATGTATGTTGTATGTATGGTATGTATGGTATGTATGGTATGTCTGGTATGTATGGTATGTATGGTATGTATGGTATGTATGGTATGTATGGTATGTATGGTATGTATGGTATGTATGGTATGTATGGTATGTATGGTATGTATGGTATGGATGGTATGTATGGTATGTATGGTATGTATGGTATGTATGGTATGTATGGTATGTATGGTATGTATGGTATGTATGGTATGTATGGAATGTATGGTATGTATGGTATGTATGGTATGTATGGTATGTATGGTATGTATGGTATGTATGGTATGTATGGTATGTATGGTATGTTTGGTATGTATGGTATGTATGGTATGTATGGTATGTATGGTATGTATGGTATGTATGGTATGTATGGTATGTATGGTATGTATGGTATGTATGGTATGTATGGTATGTATGGTATGTATGGTATGTATAGTATGTATGGTATGTATGGTATGTATGGTATGTATGGTATGTATGGTATGTATGGTATGTATGGTATGTATGGTATGTATGGTATGTATGGTATGTAATGTATGTAATGTATGTAATGTATGTAATGTATGTAATGTATGTAATGTATGTAATGTAGGTAATGTAGGTAATGTAGGTAATGTAGGTAATGTATGTAATGTAGGTAATGTAGGTAATGTAGGTAATGTAGGTAATGTATGTAATGTATGTAATGTATGTAATGTATGTAATGTATGTAATGTATGTAATGTATGTAATGTATGTAATGTATGTAATGTATGTAATGTATGTAATGTATGTAATGTATGTAATGTATGTAATGTATGTAATGTATGTATGTAAGTATGTAATGTATGTAATGTATGTAATGTATGTAATGTATGTAATGTATGTAATGTATGTAATGTATGTAATGTATGTAATGTATGTAATGTATGTAATGTTTGTAATGTATGTAATGTATGTAATGTTTGTAATGTATGTAATGTATGTAATGTATGTAATGTATGTAATGTATGTAATGTATGTAATGTATGTAATGTATGTAATGTATGTATGTATGTATGTATGTATGTATGTATGTTATGTATGTTATGTATGTATGTATGTATGTATGAAATGTATGTATGTATGAAATGTATGTATGTATGTAATGTAATGTAATGTAATGTAATGTAATGTAATGTAATGTAATGTATGTAATGTAATGTATGTAATGTAATGTATGTAATGTAATGTATGTAATCTAATGAATGTAATGTAATGTATGTAATGGAATGTATGTAATGTAATGTATGTAATGTAATGTATGTATTTTAATGTAATGTAATGTAATGTAATGTAATGTATGTATGTAAGTATGTAATGTATGTAATGTATGTAATGTATGTAATGTATGTAATGTATGTAATGTATGTAATGTATGTAATGTATGTATGTATGTATGTATTTATGTATGTATGTATGTATGTATGTATGTATGTATGTATGTATGATGTAATGTATGTAATGTATGTAATGTATGTAATGTATGTAATGTATGTAATGTATGTATGTATGTAATGTAATGTAATGTAATGTATGTATGTATGTATGTAATGTATGTATGTATGTATGTATGTATGTATGTATGTATGTATGTATGTATGTATGTATGTATGTATACCAAAACACAAAACTATAATTATATATATACATATGTATTTTACATCAACATACATACGTACATAGTTACAAATATCATCTTTCGTCCAACAACCAATTTAGAAAAGAATCGCAGCAATGCCAGGGCCGCAGCGAAGCCAGCGTAGAAGTCATGGGCGAGGCCGGGTGTCGAGTTGGGCTTATGGTGTAAAACATGATATACAACGGATATACAATGGATAAACAACGGATATACAACGGATATGCAACGGATGTAATATTGTGAATAAAACATGGTATATAGTCGGGCTTCTGGTGTACAGTTGGGTTTGTGGTGTAAAACGACAACACATGGATATACACTGGATGTACTGGATATGCAAAGGGGATACATGGGATGTCATAAAATATGGCGTTCAAGAACAGTATAACATGGTACACCTATGGTAACCTTCAGAAGTTGGGATATAACCCCAACTATGGTGGAATATGATCCACTAAAAATAAGTGGAACTACACCCCGAAGTAGAGATGAAATAACCTGGGATGCCTGAGATTTCTGGCTCTGCAAAGCACAATGGCTCAGTGACTCATTTCACCCGGTTACTTGTGGACTTTACTACGGTAGTTGGGAGAAAAAATGAGTCACTTCACTGACTCATGGGCCCCTATCTAGACATTTAGACCAACAAACATATGGCCATGAGTCAAAACCCTGAATGGTACCCTAAAATAGTTGGGATTTTGGATGTTCATTCCCGCATAAAATTGGCATTTCATAGGTAACTTGATCCATCCCCATATGAGGAGCTCAAGAAGAGGTTGGAAGTCTATGAGCGCAAACTCTCTGTCCGTAGCTGAGATCTTTGCGGCGAAACTGATGCATCCCCCAGCTGCTGGCCCAGCACTTTGCAAATCTCTCCACATTTTCTTGCTTGTTGCAAAAAACATATGATTATCAATGTATGTTTCTTGGAGTATGGTTCGGTGCATGCAATTCTTTTGTCGGCAAATTAATCAAAAAAGCATATTAATTGCACAGTTGGTTGTTTGGACCCTTAGTTTTCATGCATCCTCTATCCTAAGTCGGAGTTGTTGAACTGGATGACACCAAGCATTTGGAATGAACGATGATTCACCAACTTGTCCCTATCAGCTGGTCCTTCAGAATGCGGCTACGGCTCCAATGACATCAGCCTTTGAGGCCATCCACAGTGAACACATGTTCGACGCCACCACTATGAAAGAGCGCCTGGAGGCGTGGGCTGTGGCAGGGTGCTAAAAATGCTTTTCTCGGTGGCCATCTATGCATAAATAATATGATAATTAAATGAATATGATAAAATAACATAGAATATATGATATAATATAAGTTAATACAATACAATACAACACAATACAATATAACATAATATAGTAAAATATGATTTGATTTAATATAATTTACTATAATTTAATTAATATATAATATATCATATATGATATATAACATATAGTATATAATATATGATTTAACATGTATAATATTTAATGTTTAATGTTTAATAAATGATATAATGTGTAATATTTAATATTTACCATTATATTTTAATTATATAACAACAACATAAGTTAATAATATAATGCCAAGACAATTAACAACATAATAGTATATATAATGATATGGTAATATAATAATATAATAAGATAAACATAACAAAATATAGTAATATAATAATATAATAATTTGACAATACAATAATATAATAATATAGTAATTTTATAATATACTAATATGATAATATAATAATGCAATAGTAACAACGAGAACAACAAGATGCCGAAACGATGCCCACGAGTGTGAAAGTTCGTCCCTTTTTTTGTGGGGTGCCATAAAGTGCTTTTCTGCTTGGCAATATATATATACAGTATATATTTAATATGATATAATAAAATATAGTATGATATAATATAATATAATATATAGTTTAGTATCACATACTATACTTTAATATACTGTAATATAATATACTATAGTATAATAATTTAATAATGTAATGTAATATAATGTGATCTAATATAAAAAACAACACAATAGATAATAGATAACTAATATATAATATATCATCCATAAAATATAAAATAATATAATATATGATGTAAAATAAAATGAAATCACATATAGTATAATTTAACACATTATATAGTATGATACAATATAACTATAATGTAATTATTATATCATGAAAATAGTATCATAATATAATTATAATGTAATTAAAATAGAATTATAGTATTATTATGTTTGAACTATAATATAATTATAGTATAATTACGCGCAAACACCCCGATTCGCCCACACCCATTTCATGCTGCACACTTGGGGATCACAAACGTCACACTTTACATTCAATTAGGAAGATCAACAAGGGTATTTAGGGAATATGAATTTCCCACCCCCGTCCAGCTTTACATTCATTGAAGATCTTCAATAAGGGTTTAATTCTCCCACCCCCGTTAAACTTCTACATTCATTGAAGATCTTCAATAAGGGTTTAATTCTCCCACCCCCGTTAAACTTCTACATTCGATGAAGATCTTCAATAAGGGTTTAATTCTCCCACCCCCATTAAACTTCTACATTCATTGAAGATCTTCAATAAGGGTTTAATTCTCCCACCCCCGTTGAACTTCTACATTCATTGAAGATCTTCAATAAGGGTTTAATTCTCCCACCCCCGTTGAACTTCTACATTCATTGAAGATTTTCAATAAGGGTTTAATTCTCCCACCCCCGTTAAACTTCTACATTCATTGAATATCTTCAATAAGGGCTTAATTCTCCCACCCCCGTTAAACTTCTACATTCATTGAAGATCTTCAATAAGGGTGTGATGATGATGATGATGATGATGATGGTGGGGATGATGATGATGATGGTGTGTAAGAGACTCGCACAGGTCCCTAAGCTGTGCGTGCCGATATACAACATGAAGTTAGCCATGATGCAAAAAACTCCCATTTTTACCACGTTTTCAGCACATACGAAGATGGCCGCCGACAAGCGCGGGCAAATCGAGGTGTTTGCCCGTATAATTATTATATAATCATGATATAGTTATAATATGATTTTAATTTATATAATTATAATTTAATGATACTATAATTACAATTTTATTTGTATTATAATCATAATATAAATACTATATAATAATATAATTATGATATAATTCTAAAATAATCAAAATATAGTTATTATTTAATATAGTTTATAGATAATGTATTGTTTAATCATGTAATGTAATGTAATGTAATATCACGTAATAATATGATGTAATACACCGTGATATAATGTAATATAAATTAATTTAATGTATATATATATAATAAAACATTGTAATATATAATGCATACATATACTATAAATGGCTAAGTTTCACCAAATTGCCAAGAGGTTGTCAATCCCATCCTCATTGATATCGGGGGCCTGTTTTTAGCTTCAGGATCCCAGCGGGCTATCCTATCTAAGCCCCTGTGGAAGGGGATACCGATTCACAACCACCAACCATATTGTTATGGTGATTTAATATAATGATGAATATCTATCTATCTATCTATCTATCTATCCATCCATCCATCCATCCATCCATCTATCTATCTATCTATCTATCTCTATATATATATATATATTTGTATGTATACACATACGCCTTTGGTTAGCCGCTCATTGTTATTTAAGTTTCTCTCCATTCCAAACATGGCTGAATATCTCCTTGATATGCCAAGTCTGGTTGGTTGCAGTTACTTGTTGGTCTTAGACATGGGGTTGTCTGAATATAGGGTACCGCCTCCATCCCATTTTTGGGCATACTGTACCCTGTTTCGGTTTTACTATCCTCAGATAGGTTACGGGTACCCAAAAATTAACATTTCCATGGATTGATCCATTTTGGATATCCCAAAACAAACCTCACCCAAGTATCACTTTTTTCATGCTCTGATTATGTGCATATTATTTTTGTTTGTGCCCACATTTTTATTGGTGAAGTCCAGCACTTTGGGGATGCCCAAACCATATGTGCCATGGCCCAAAGTCGGATTACCCAGATCGGGGATTGTCATTGCCATCGATCCATTCAGGATTCATTTTTTCAACTCCCATGGTAAGGAATCCCATTGAGATGCTTATGTCGGATGTCTGATGACCCTGTTAGATAGATATAGTTAGATTTAGATTATATCCTGTTATCTGATGGTTATAACTTATATTATCCAATGGTAATCTGATTATATCCCATATTATACCATCAATTGGATTATATCCAATATTATATTCAGGTCATCAGATATCCCCCATGGTAATTGGATAACCACCATCTCTGATGTCTCACCAAGGCCGCCTTGCGTGAGAGCGACAATCAGATGTCGAGGGCTGATGAGCTGCAGGTGTAGCCGCCATGGCCGCCATGCGGCGGGTGGAGGAAGTTCCAGTTTTTTTCTGATAGTTTAAGGATATTTGGGTATGGATCAATACCTATTAATACCATTTTTAGGGGGATGAACATCCATAAATCCCAGCTATTTTGATGTGAACTACAGGGGTACAAGGTTTTGACACACTGCCATTTGATAGATCTTTGATGGATACTTTGTGCCTGGTTTAGCAGTCTATCCCCATAATTTACGATTTTTGTATGGTTCTATATCATTGTCAATTGATTATCATGGAATACCTCGAGCGCAAAACATATTGGTCACTAGACTAGTGTTCCGGCCATAGAACCAATGAACACCCTTTGGTAATCTAACATAGGTGTTTCTACAAATCAGTAGATTCTGTAGATATGCCAAATTATAGTCATTTGAATAGGGATGACAATACACCGGTAGCCGGTAGCCCAGTGGGGAATGGATGTGAAGATAAGAAAATTTATTCTGCTGCTTGTTTCACTGATTCTTTTTTCTATCCTGCCAATGATGATCGCAATTGACTTTCATATTTCTCAAGGGGGTGGCTCAACCAGTGGCTCCTGCGGTGTTCTGTTCATGGCACGGTGGCAGCTGCGGCGATGCATTCAATGCCCAGTTTGTTTCGCAGCACAGCAATAAATCATCTCCAATTGTACCAAGAAAATAGATGGGCATTATCTAGAATTGGAGGTTTCATTATTGTGTTTGCATGTGTTTGCCCCAGGTGGACAAAAACCCAGAAAAGTCCCCAAAATCGGGATGCAAGAAACTCTAGGTCTGATGCTTAAACCATATGAAGCCCCCAATTTCTTGTGAAGAAAAATCCCAGCAAAAATCGAGGTTTGATGGTTAACCCATGTTAACCCAATAAATTTTTGGTGAGCAAAAAAAAACAACAACCACCAGTCGACCAGGCCTTGATGAAGGAGGAGCAAGGCCGTCGTGCCCTGCTCTTTGCCCGCCTCGAGGCTGTAGAGGCGCGGCCAAACGTTGGTATAGATGTGGAAAACCATGGGTTTCCCTAGGAAAATATGATTTATAGATGGTGGGTAAACTCCACAGTTGCGTAGACGTTTGAAAAAAGAGGGTAGCAAAAAACGATGGATTTGTCCCATAGCAACCTCCAAAAAGAGAGATTTTAGTCAAATCGAATCCTGAAGTAGTGATTACAGTAATGACTTTTTGGCAGGTTTTGGGCGGGCGGCTATAGACTTCAATGAGGTTGACATAGCAAAAAAGGGTTTGTATGTTGACCCCTCCAAAATGGTAAAAAACCTGAATCTGACGTTAAAAATCATAATTGCTCGATAATATTGGAATTTGGGGGTTATACATGGTTATACCACTTTTCCAGACAAGACCCAATGATTTCTGCGCAAAAACACATGGGATGATTTTTATGTTTGTTTCTTGGTTGTTTTTTTTCTTCGTGACCGTCAAAGGTGGGGATTCGTTCGCACATCACCGTAATCACAAGTTGTGTCTTTGCTCAAGTCCTCATTTGACCGTTGAATCATCCTGAGCTCACCACTTGAATCATGTATTCTATCTCATTTGCCATCAATCACCAATCAACAGTCTTTTTGAGCTCCTGACCTTCCCCGGTTGAACTCACTGAACTCACCAGTGTCCCCATTCGCTGGCCATGTTTCGCCAGGCGTCAATGCAAGACCTGCGCACCAGCCAGCGTGATTTCGCCTCCACGCCAGAGGCGAAGTTCCAGTCATGGAGTACCCGAGTAGCCCGGTTTTTTTTTGTGGTTTATCACTACGGTGACCTTCAAAAAGATAGACAACTTATGTATGTATATATATATACATATGTATATATATATATATATATGTATATGTGTATGTATATGTCTATGTCTATGTCTATGTATATGTATATGTATATGTATATGTATATGTATATGTATATATATGTATATGTATATGTGTATGTATATGTATATGTATATGTATATATATATATGTATATATATATATATGTATATATATATGTATATGTATATGTGTATGTATATGTATATGTATATGTATATGTATATGTACATGTACTGTATATTTATTGGTATAGCCAGGAATCCTACACCCGCACCAGCCAAATGTTGTGATCAGGGTGGATGGCTGTTTCTTTGCATGACCCCGTATTCCTTGAATATGTCTGAATTGGTGATGGTCAAACACCACGATGTCTGGATTGATTTCTAAGTTTTCTGGTCAAGAAGTACTATGTCTGGATTATATCATATTACCTCCGGTAATCAAACATGGCAATTGGAGATCCCTGAGCTAAGCGGAGGTTTATAGCTGGGAAAATAATCAAACTCAATGGGGGGTCTTCCAGCAAAACGTGTTTGATTACTGGGAGTAAGTGGGTTATATCATAAGCCTAGATAGTACGTCCTCATTTGCTGGGGTTATCCCATGTACAGTACATAATACATGTGTTATACATATGGTTGTTATTTACATATGAATAATAATTCATCATATCATTATTATAGTGATAATCATTATCAATCATTCACCATTATTATTCACAGAGGGGATCCATCATTACTGGAGGGTAATTTATGTTAGATCACCATTCAATCCAAGTAACCCCCATTGAATCCCATTAAGCCCCAATAAAACATCTCCAGTTGATCAACAAGTTGAGGCCCCCCAGTTATAAGTTGCTTTGTAAACCCCATTAAGTATAGTTATATTTCCCATAAACCTGAGTTAACCAAGTTATAAGCCAAGTTTGCTAACTATTGGGCACCACCTTGTAGTGATATTTGAAAAATCAATTTGATTCATACTTAATATTATATATACTATTGTTTATGCGGCTTAGTAATGATGATGGTTCCTTAGGTACTGCAACACGTTGCTGGGATACGTTGCAACATTTCTTGCCCCTTCCACCTTTATAGGCCACTGAGAATCTGCTCCGTGCTGAGATGAAACAGGAGGTGGTGGGACCGTGGACTGGGCACTTGGGCAACGGCCGAAGCATAGTTTGTTAGGGGAATCCGGCTATGTATCGGTTATAGAGTGGTTATATATATATATTGTTTATATACATATATGGTATATATGGTATATATAATATGTATATACAATATGTATATATATATATATACACATATACAATTATATATATATATAGATACATATCCAGCCAGGTTAGCAATATCCAATGATGAATCAGTACATATATTATATGAGTGATTCCTCTACGCATCCAGGTGCAGCGCTTACGAGAGGACCTGGGTGGTTTGGGGCTGGCCCGAGGCGCGGGTTCCGGGGATGATTTTCGTATTGAAAGCCATGGGACTTTACAGTTCTGTCATGTTCTATCCATTTTTTTATGGGATTACTATGGATTACTATGGATTAACGGGGATTAATAGTGACTAAGAGTGATTTTCTAGGGATTACTAAAGATTACTCTCTGGTAAACTAACAGTTTGCTATTGAAAATGGCCATAGAAATAGTGAGTTTTCCCATTAAAGATAGTGATTTTCCATAGTTAGTTTACCAGAGGGTACTAATGTATCTTTGGATGTCCAGACAGGTAGAATGGTATATCTATGTATGCGTGTCTCTCTTAATATCACTTGGACATTCAAGAAGTGATGGGCGGTTGTAAACAATCCCTTGTTTCATTCAGACATACGTCTGAATTCTGTAACAGAATGGAGAGGTTCTTTTCCTGCGATCTGCAAAAGCTCTTCTGGAACTTCCAAGTACGGTTCCCCCAAAAACAACACTTCAGTATTCAACTTTTGCTGTCTGATCGTGGTGATTCATTCCAAATTCTATTTTTGCTGATTATTTCAACTTTCAAATCCATTCCCGCTGTGGAATGTGTTGGATCTGTTCATGATTTGGGGTCCCATGTTGTTTACAGAGTGTATCATGTGGATGGGAGAAACAAGGGATCGATGTCTTGGCCGTGCGAGTATGACGACCCTCACTTTTGTCTATTTTTGCGTTCTTTTTTCCAATGTTTTTGACTTTCCTCCATGCTTTCGAGTACTTATGACGTCTCTTGTGCCTGAAAGTGGAAAAACAAATTTTGGCTGCAGTATTTGGGGCTGCGAAGACAACAACTCAACACGCCCTGACATCACTTTTTCAGCGTCCATGCAGTTGTTTAATATCTGAGGGTAAAACATCATGTGCGTAGAACATCATCAATGACACAATGAACGTTACTGCCCCAGCCCCACCCCAACTCACCCCAACTCACCCCAACCCCAGCATCACCGTACAACGACATGTTCACCTTCACTTTCCCGACAAAACCAGCAATTTGTTCTGATTTTTTTTTTCGGATATCATATCAGTTTCAGACACACCCAAATCAACCCCAGTATATCCCAAGATTTCGCTGGTGAAGCATCTGGGGAAGCCAGGCAGCGACGACATGGCACGACGCTGTGAAGAACTGGATCGCAGGCGGCGGGTTAGCTGTGGGCTGCAGGTCGTATTTTTTGAACAAGATATATATGATGAGTATGATGATTGATTGATTGATTGATTGATTGATTGATTGACTGATTGATTGATTGATTTGATTGGATTGATTGATTGATTGATTGATTATTTGATTGATTGATTGATTGATTGATTGATTGATGTATTTTTATTACCATTAGTATTGTATTATTTTGATGATGGGTGATGATGATGATGGTTCTTTACCTATTTCCTGCCTCAACCGACCTATTTTTGTTGATTCTCTATCCACGCTAAATGCCCTTCCCAAGTTTTGTTGGTTGTAGACCCATTTCATTTCAAACTCAGTTTGGATTATGAACCTTCTCTCTACGCATGAAATCCCAGTCATACACAATCATTTGTGGTTGATTCATCACTCTATGTCCATGTATATATATGTATACATGCAGCAAAAAATGCCTGTGTATATACAATTATATGCACACATTCTATAACTCACACTAGTCTATCTCTATGATCTATCTACACATACACACATGCATGCATGCATGCATGCATGCATGCATACATAGATACATAGATACATATACATATATATATACGTACGTACGTACGTACGTACATACCTACATACCTACATACCTACATACCTACATACCTACATACCTACATACCTACATACCTACATACCTACATACCTACATACCTACATACCTACGTACCTACGTACCTACGTACCTACGTACCTACATACGTACATACGTACATACGTACATACGTACATACGTACATACGTACATACGTACATACGTACATACGTACATACGTACATACGTACATACGGACATACGGACATACGGACATACGGACATACGGACATACGCACATACGGACATACGTACATACGTACATACGTACATACGTACATACGTACATACGGACATACGTACATACGTACATACGTACATACGTACATACGTACATACGTACATACGTACATACGTACATACGGACATACGTACATACGTACATACATACATACATACGGCCTAGATATATCGTGAGCGGCCCCTCCAGTGCCTAGCTAGCCACTGGAGGGCACCCTTGGCCACTTCTGCAGGATGTCTGAGCTGCACCACATGGTGGAGGTTTGGTGTCGCTGACGTTTCTCCAAACGGTTCATCTGAAATGATTTGTTTTTGCCGTTGATTTACCGTTCTTAAACGTGGTAGTTTTCCATAGCTATCTTTATAGCTATCTTAGAGTACCAGTTGGTATTTCAAAGCCCATACATCAGTTTACCATATGTTCTCTAAAATTCAAACACTTGGGGCTCTATCGTTGGGTTTACCACACCCAGCTGTATGGGCGGAATTGTCACCCGTGAGCTTGGAATGATCAAACCATCACACAGTGACTGCTGTCAAACTGGATCTGGATGAAAAGTATTCCGCTAAAAGACCGACAATGTTGAGGGGAAACCACTTAAGTGAGGTTTCCTTTAATATCGAGGCTTTTCCACGGTTCTGCACTACTTTTTGAGGGGGCTAGCTGCAAGAAAGTCCCAGTCGAATCGACTCAACAGGCATCCGTACGAGGCGCAGATGCGTCCCTTAGCACCAAGCTGGCCTGGCCTTGTGGGTCGAAAAAGACGGGGTATCTATCCAAAAATGGCACTTTTGAAGGGGGTATTTTGAACCATATTTATATCTATGTCTATATATATATGTATATATATATATATGTATATATATATATGTATATATATATATGTATATATATATATATTCATACCACATATATGTATATCTATATCTATATCCCGAAGCGCTATGCAGCTCCGATTAAGCCACACGTCCGCAGCAGCGCACCCAAAAGCGGTTGACTACTTTAATTTCGGGGCGAGAAGAAGTGTGTAAGAAAAAGTAGAGAATAATGGCTCTTTTGGGAAACGCTGCTAACTTGCACCTTATACGCGGAACCGGATGGAATGGGCAAGGTGGGACCCATCCATCGAGGGCGCTGAGAAAACAATTCACGATAACCACGACGATTTTGTCGGCGGAGTAAAATAGTGTAAAGTCTACGAGTACGGGCTGTTGCGTATCTAAGATTCTGATGTGAACGGTTCCACGACGCACGGCAGGGTTCGTGACCACAAGCCTGACTTTGAGGAGGCAAATTGTACTGGAAGGAAAAGAATGATCTTTTTTAGAAGGACCGTGGTCTCCCGGCAAGCCTCTGGCGGCCCGTGCCAGCTTTAGCTGTTTATGGAGTAAAATGGGACTGTGTCCGGTAAAGGAGTGGTACTGCCTGTGGCCCCTATTGGGGATCTGAAGCTGTGATTTATCCCTAGGCCCGCGCTGAGGAACATGAGCAAATTGTTCGTGTAGGGGTCCATGCCAAGAAAGATGTCCTGGAAGAGATATGAATTGTTGACGAAGTTGGTAAGCTCATCCACTATGTAGTCGCACTGGAGGATATTGGTCAACCCAAATGAAGAACCTAGGATCTTCTTGTAAGAGTTCCACTCGTTCTTGCTGAAGTGGAGGTGGTAGTCACAAAGGGGGCATGGTCTTTGAGATTGTTGCATCGATGTACATCTGTGGTGAGACTTGCATCAATCTGGTAGTGATGGAAGAGCTGCTGAATAGTTATGGAAAGTCCAAGTGCTACTCTGGGTCCCTGTTCTTCATGTAGAAGGATATCCCAGTCGAGGTTGTTCATTGTAAATCCTGTAGCTGGTAGTCCTGGAAGTAGGAGTGCTTTGTTGTCAATCGTGGATTCCAATGTCTTCAATCTGGTATCCTTGGTGTCGATCTGAATGTGAGTGTTGTAATGCTCGAGGATGCTCAAGTGTTGGAGTTTCGACCTATTGAAGGTCAGTGAAAGGTCGCTTCTTGGTGAGGTCAATCTTCTGGAGTTTGCCTTGTCAGGGTCGAAGTGAAGTGCTTCTGGAGAGGTGAGGTTGAGGGCAAGGAAGTCTGCTCTGGCTTGAGGTGAAGATCGAAGTTCCTGTTGGAGTCCAAAGCCCAAGTCTGAGAGCTCTACATCCTTAGCTGATAGTGCAGTGAGAAACTCTTCGTCTGTTCTGGGTTTCTTTGCAGGAGAAGACTCTCTGGTAGTAGCTCGATGTTGCCTGATAAGTTCAAGTTTCTTCTTGAGATTCTGGCTGCTTAATATCCATGGCTTCAATTAGGAATTGCTTCAATAAATCTGTTTTGTAAATGAAACATAGTAACAAGTGAGGGCACAGCCCAATCAACATGTGGTCCATGAAAGTAAGCATTGAAGGGGAGGGAAACTGAAAAGGGCATGAAACTTGGGGCATGCAGTACCAATTGGCATGGCAGCATTGGTGACTGTGTGGCAGAAGCCAAAACTCGTGCCAAATGCCTACCTATCTCTCTCTCTCTCTATATATATATATCTCTCTCTCTCTCTCTCTCTCTTTCTCCCTCTCTCTATAATATGTAGAACAATCCTTCAGCTAAATGTGAGACAACTCAAGGGCCCCTAGTTTGAGGGAAGGCTTTTCCAAATCTAGGGCATTGCAGATGAGTGGCACTGGTCATTGGCAGTCAGCCATAGTGGTGGTGAAATGTTTTATCGGCTATACTTTTGGCCGAGTTATGACTGGCACCGTAGCACTTTTTAGTAGAAAAATCTTGAGTTTGGAGGTTTCAATATTCAAGGACAAATGACCTTTTCAGTATGATCCCCAGGGTGTGTTCAAAGCTTTGAGCTATACCATGGCTGACAGGCTGACACAGATCTGGATTTATTTTGCCACTGGAGTTTACAAAGGGTAGTGGGCTCTGGAGACATGGCTGATCGGTTTGAATCACTACCCACCTTGAGATGCCGGTGTGGAGTGGATTGCTTTTGATATCTTGAGATTGAGGAATGCCTTACACTCCTCTGGCCATATCCTTCCAGGAATGATCTCTATCTATTGTGTTGTAGCTAGGGCAGCTGGTGCCCTCGCCTTATCATATCCACTTGGTTGCCGAGTCTCACCATCTGGCCAAACCATGCCAAACCCCAAATACGAACCGAATCAGCAAGGGCACCAGCGCCATGGAAAAACACATCCACATCCATTCATGATTCATGATGTTCCCCACTAAGTTGCGGGAATTCAAAAAACAATCCAGCCATGTTTGATTGACGCATCTCCTAGGCTCCAATGCAGGCAAATTGGGATCCAGCTGGGGGGGGGCCTGTGTTCGATAATTTTCACCCCAACCCAACTGGTTATGGATATCATGTTTGTTTACCAGAGGGTATCCATATTTTTTTCGCCAAATGCCTTAGTAATTGGTAGCTTATAGAAGGTACACAAACATGTGTTTGTATATATATATATTTATAAATGATTATATCTATAAATATATGATTATATATATATATATACATGATTATATATATATGATTCTATATATTTGATTTTCTAAACATGATTAAAAATATATATATATGATTATATTTATATGACTATATATATATATTTGGTTATATATAAATTATATGAATATATGTATATATATACATATATTTATAAATTATTTGTTTATATATATATATACATACGTTTATACAGATATGTATGATTATTGTATATATATATGAATATATATATATATGATTGTAAAAAATATGTGTATATATATATGATTATATATTTGATTATATATATGATTATATATATGATTCTAGATATGATTATATATATGTATACATATATATGTATATATATATGTATATATGTATGTATGTATATATATATGTATATATATATGTATATATATATATTTGTATATATAAAAATATGTTTAGATATATATATATGATTGTATATATGTGTGTATATATATATGATTATATATATGATTATATATATATAAATATATGATTATACATATTCTTCATAGATGTCTCATGTATGCAGGTGCGACATCCTGGAGAATCGCTTCGAGAGTGGGGCTGGTGCCGTGTCCGAGGTGCCATGGATTCATGGTGGACGATCAACGTTGCTGAATTTCTCCGTTTTTAAAACATGGTGATTTTCCATAGCCAACTGTGAACAAAAATCCAGAGGGTTTCTCATCGCCAGGATCTATTGCAGACGCATGCGGCTTTCTCGCAGGCCATCGGGGAAACAGACTTCGGGGAAACTACTTCGGTTTGTTTACTAAGCGGAATTTACCGAAAAATACCGAAAAAGAAGACTTGAACATCTTGAAATTCGCTTTTTGACCATTTGGGGTCTGGTTTTTCAACAATATGTCCTGACAATTTGTCCTTGTAAACGGTGGGGTCGCCAGCACCCAAGGATCAGCAAGATGCAGACGTCACCAGACCATTTTCAGCAGCAACCCTGCAGTATCCTGCGGTTTCAAACATTTTCAAACTGGATACTGTAGATCGATGAGAGGCTGACCACCATCCATCTCAAAAAAAAATCGGGCGAAGAAAATGCCACCATTTTGGCGGTCAAGTAGTTGGGCTCCTGAAATGCTGCCCCAATATCCATATGTCCTTTTTGTTGGTGAAAACTCGTCTCAATCCCCATGTAAAAAATTGTTAAATGCCAATTTTTTGATGGTGAACAAATCTTGATTCATCCATGGTTCAATTTTCGTATTTGGTATATAGTTAAACTCTCATGTTTGATGATTCAATACCGTTTTTTGTGGTTCTATTCTCATTGTTGACGGTGATATCAACATATTTTTGACTGTTCAATTCCATTTTCTATGCCCACATCCCCTTTTTGCTGGTGCAATCTATTTCCAGTTGTTTGTTGATGATTAATTTTTTTTCCTTTTCCACTTTTCCATGCAAACTAATTATTGTTTTTTTTTTTTTTCCGGGTTATGAATTTCAACCATCCCCATGCCCTGCACTCTGAGTAGACAAGGAGTCGACAACGCAACTTCGAAACGAGCTGCGCAAGGACCACGTGGAGCAGGGGAAGTTCACCATGGAGCAGTGAGGGCACAAGCATTAGATGATGGTTGATGTTGAACAACAAAGGGAATAGGAATATGAACCTACAATGTGAGGCCCCTTATAAGTTGGTTTATAAGCCCCAGTAACTATAGTTATAAGTACCATAAACCATAGTTATTGGAGTTATAAATCAACTTAGCTATCTTGGGGGCCTCACATTGTATGAACCAACAACATATCGGGGTATGAACCTTCCAACGTGGAGATGGGCTGACGGTGAAATATACGCATTTCAAAAAACATGTTTATATTCAAACATGAAACAAATCAGAGGCATAGACACGTTCAATAAACTGGTTCGGACTGGGCGTGCTCACAGGTTGAAACCAGGGGATTACTTTGATCAACCAACTGGAAATTTGTGGCACTGCATCAGATAAAATTACTGCGTCACATTTCTTGATCAGAGGTGTGTATAAATGTGTATATATATATCTATATATATATACATACACAAATATGTATATATGCAAACGAAACTAGGGATAACATGAACATATTAGACACACACACATATATATATATGTATGATATTCATTTTCTCACTGTTAATAGCCAGTGCAACCGGATTCTCCCTTTCTTTCTGGTTGGCTGAGGAGATGTTGACGCTTCGCGATGAGTTGGAGCCTGAGGGTGGTTGTGTGGGATCCAATACTACGCCGAGGTTGGTCATTGGAAATAAACCTCGATGGCTAACTGTCCAGTCTAGAGATTTTACTTGATGAATTTTGGAACTCCATGTTTCACTCTTTGGTCAGTCAATTTGGCTGATGCTTAAGATATGCCCATTGAATTCTTTGATATCAAAAAGTCACAGAAATCAAAGAATGATCTGGAAATTCCAAGATACCCTCTGGTTATTTAACGTAGCCATAGAAAATCACCATTTTTAATAGGTAAACCATCTATAAATGGGCCCATCTAACCATGGCTATGTTAGTCATAACCAAATGGTACATCTGGCAATTGTGAGTCTTCACAGATATCGATCCACCAGTCCATTCGTTGATTTTCCCAGGGCGACTTCGCACAGGTTGGAACGACGTAGCACCGAGCAGCACCAGAGCATGGCGCAGATGGAGGCCGCTTTGCGCAGGGCCAAAAAACGGGGAAAAAATGATGATGGCGGGGAATTTACAGTAAGCCTTAACAGAGCTGCAGGATGAAGAGAGCATATATTTATAACATGTCACCTGAAATACTTACACATGTTCAATTCTTGTTGATGTTTGGGAATATCGAACATCTTTGGGGAGTACCCCAAAAATGAATAAGAACTAAAGTTTTGAATCGGGGGTCCAAAAGGAGTGCTCTGTGGTTTATTTTTCACGGCGTAAGTATTTCACGAGCAAAAACGGGAAAGGATCCCTGCAGAAATGGGGATTTAACATGTTTTAACATGCTTTATGGAGATGAACATGGGTCAAACCATAGGATACATAGGCCCCACGGCCCAGGCCGGTGCATAAATTTTACTATTTCCACCAGGATGTTTTTAACTTGGAACCACAGCAATCCACAGCCAGATGGGTATCAAAACCTGGCACCGGGAGTTAAATGGAGATCTAAGGAGATCAACTAGGGAACGATTATTATATCAGGTTATCGAGCAGTGGTGGATAGTAGAACCTGATATAATATATAGTATGCCAGTGGTGATATAATCCCCAATTTAATCAACCACTGCTATCCAAGATGACATTGGGGATGATCGCAAGCCACTGGAAATCCGTTCTTGACCAGTGGCCAAGGCATCGCGCATGGATCTGCAGAGGAAGCAGGAAGCCTCGGAGCGACAGCTCATGGAGTGGAAGCAGGACATGGACATGGCGCAGGGACAGCTGCTCCGGTCATCAAAAAGGGCGAAGATCCATGGGAAATAGGCTCTAAATGGAGCTTTATAGATCTTTATCGCCGGAAAAGGCATCTATAGATCTGTACAAATCACCCAATTTCCCCTCTGGCTATGACTAACAGTTCGCCATGGTATAGATGGCCCTAATCGAAATAGAGGTTTACCAGAGATGGTGGATCTTTCCATGGCAAACTGTTAGTCAGTCATAACCAGATGGTGTCAACATAGAATTTTTGCCATCGCTCCAGCGACAAAGTGAAGGGTTTGCTACCAGGCTCCCCGTTCATATTAGTTTTACACCCTCATGAATTAGAATATCATGGATTTTTTCTTACCAACTGGAAGTTGATAATACCTGGGTATATATATATATATTATAATACCACCCCTCAATATTATAGTTACTGTACATCCCCTTCTATGGTCCCAGTCATATGTGGTTTCATCCCCTACATCCACCATGGTTTATGGTGCTGGCGAGAAAAATAGGCCGCTTGGCGCCCCTGCGCACTGTTGCCGTGGCCATTGAGTTCGTTGATTTACCCATGAAACATGGTGAATGTCCATCGCAAACCGTTTACCAGAGGATCTATAACATTATATAACATATAAGCCAATCTATTTTTGCAACAAGAATATGAGGATATTTACATATATTTATCAACTTTTGCCAACTAATATGGTTCATGATTGGGTAAAAACCTCCTGTGAGTCAACATTTGGGCCAACATTTCGGCCAGCGCCAGGACCACTTGTCTGAGACCGTGGCGCTGCGTGGTCGCCTCGAGGAGAGATCAGCGTTTTCAAAATCATCCCACGGTAAGTGGTTAGTAACTGGGGTTATAACAATTCAATCAAAACTGCTAGTGATATCACATTAAATCACATTTTACCATATTTCAAGGCCTCCAAGAAAAATAGCTATATATAAATGGGAGAATCCAATGGGGACTTACGAATTAGGGTTAGCACTTACCAAGGATGATCCTCGAAGGAAGATGGGAACAATCATGGAAAAAGATCCGAACATATGGGAAGATTTTCGAAGTAAATGGAGGTTTGTAGCCGGGGAAAAGATCGAACTAGATGGGAGGTGTTCCAGCAAGCCATGTTTGATGACTGGAGGGTATCATATATGATACCAGATGGGAGATTTAACTGATTTAAATGGAATGCAAGTGTTTTTCGACAAGCAATCATGATGATATTTCATGGGTATATGTCGCGGAGATGACTTTTCTGAGATACAAACGATCATGGTGTAGTAACTCCGGATGACCCAGAGAACATGGACGGAGGGAGAAAACATGCAGTATCATATAGCCTTTGATGGGACAACTATGGTACTCACAGGATGTTATGGTACCAGGGTACCATATACCACATGTGTGATCCCGTTGTGTTGTAGGATCATGGGACCTTCAAAATATTGCTCTGTTGCTTTGAAACAAAGTATCTGGGGTGTTGTCCAACCAAATTGCTTTCGCGACCTACTTAGGTGGAAAATTGAGTGATTGAAAACTACATACCATCTGGTTATTTAACGTAGCCATGGAAAATCACCATTTATAATAGGTAAACCATCTATAAATGGGCCATCTATACCATGGCTATGTTAAATAACCAGAGGGTACCTCTTAGTTGGTTTGATGCATTTTGAGTTGTAAAATCTCGGTCTCAACAGAGACTTACTTTATCCGACATTGATCCCATGGAGACCGAGCCGGACCCATCTGAAACAGGGATACAATTCGTGGAGCCCACGTTGGCCTTAAATTCTAGGGGCTTATATACCACTGAAGATTATCATCATTTATCATCTACCCTCTGGTTATTTAACATAGCCATGGAAAATCACCATTTTTGATAGGTAAACCATCTATTTCAATGGGCCATCTATACCATGGCGAACTGTTAGTCATAACCAGAGGGTATAAGCTGGGAATCCCTATCCCTCGATATTTCTCATCAAAGCGTCTTGTGATGGCACCGCGCGCGAGGAGTCCGTGGGTGAACATCATGCCAATCAGGTCCGATCGGCACCATGCGGTCTGAATTGGTCGCAAATCAAAGAACACATGACGCATCTTTTTCCAGCACAGCTGGAAACTCAGTGATTCAGTGACCTGTCACATATATGTATATGTATATTATATACACATATTTACAGTGTATATATATATAATATAAATAGATTATTGCACATGCAGATGCAAAAAAAATGCATTTTTTCTCCAATGTCTGCATCTTGTCCAGGTTGGCCTCGGGGATATCAAACAAGAAGTCAACGATGAACGCCATCGTCGCAGGGAGGTCAGTTCCATGGTTTCTGGATGGGATCGGTCAAAAAATTTGGATGTATTGCAATGTGGGGCCCCCAAGATAGCGTTCAGCTGGTGCCAATAACTCCAATAACTATGGTTTATGGTACGCAAATAACTATAGTTATGCAGGTTTATAAACCAACAAACATCACTGGGGGGGCCCCACATTGTGGGAGTACTGGGATCTAAGTGTTGAGATGACCGTGCGGCTTCTGTTTCTATGTAGGAATCGGGCATAAAAAAAGAGGATGGATATACCTTTTGGATTCTTTTGGGGTGATTGTATGTACTTATAATAGACATATTATATCGACATATTATATCATATTCTTATATCCCAGTATAGGATGAATATTTTATATTGGTATAAATATGGTTATTTTCTTTACATTTCGGTAAATCTCCCCATATGTACCAAGTTGGTTGTACTGTGGGATTCACCCAATACCATTGGCACCATCCCCAAGTCATCCCCGGCTGTTTATGGGTGCTATAAGCCATCCCTAAATGTGAGTTCTTTATTGGGTTTCCCACATTCTAGTGTACCCTCTGGTACTAACATAGCTATTGAAAATTGCCATATTTATAGTGGATTTGCCCATGGAAAATGGTGGATCTTTCCATATAAATCACCATTTTCCCATGGTTTTCCCATGGTTTTCCCATGGGTTTTGCCATGGTTTTCCCATGGTTTTCCCATGTTCCTATGGTTTACCAGAGGGGAATACATCCAATGCGCGCCGAAGTTCGCCAGGAGATGTGTGCGGTACGTTCGCGGCTGGAGGCCCTTGAGAAGTTGGAGGTCGGCTCGGGGCAGGGTTTCTTTTTTGTCAGGGATTTTGGCCATGAAAAATGGTGGTTTCACAATATATGTATCACAATATGTGATATATGTGATATTTGTGATATATATATATATATTCACAAAAATGGTTTCACTACCGTTTCACTATCAAAAATGGTCGTTCAACTCTTGCAAATGGGCGGTTTCGCTACGTATCGTTAACATGGTGCGCCCTACATAAATCTCAAAAGTGGTTCTTCAGGTGTCAAAAATCGTGGTTTAACATACCTAACTTTCTCCTTCAAAAGTGATTTAACTAGGGAAAGATGTTTGGAATTTGATGGGCCGATGGGTTCTCCTTTATCCCATATCATGAGGATATTTCCTGAGATATATAATCAACACAATATGGAGAGATTCACTGGGATATATCATGGACATGGATATATATATATATTGCATATATTTATAGACATACGTGATCAATGTGATTTTTGGATAGTTAACCAGCATTTTTGAGGAGATATCATAGGAATAATCATAGGGATACCATGGTGATATTTTATGGGATTGAAAAGGCCGGGTATTTTGCCAGCCGTGTTATGTGTTTGTCTGAAAAGGGTGTATACAATGTATGGTAATTTTTAATGGGACACACATGATACGCCATCAGATGTCGGGGTTGCCTATTCCAGAAATATCCCACCAGTTGGGTGAAACTGCGCCAAAAGTCTCGATGGTGAACTAATTGGTTTCCTTCAGGTGTCGAGGAAATGAACAGATCCACCTTAAAATATGGTCAGTGGGTAAATTATAACGACCTCACTGCGACCTCACTGGAATCATGGTTAATAAAGGAAATCATCCCCAAATGGCCTTAATTCAGGTTAGTGAAATATTATAATTTACCCAGAGTATATAACTTGGTCAGTAGAGGCACAATTTTCCAGTGTGATGAGTTGATGAGATCAGTTTCCCTGGAACAGCGGGCTGCAGGCAGCTCCCAGAGTGAGTATGGAGCCGCGGGAGGATCTAGGCCGAGTTGGGGCATGACTTCTGCAAGCAGATAAAGATGGGGGATAGAAATGATAGAAATGATAGAAATGATAGAAATGATAGAAATGATAGAAAGATAGCAATTTCATACTAAGCCATTAAGCCATGTGTCAAAATGCCATGAAGCCTGGATTTTTCCCAAGGCTGTTGAAACCTGTCCCATTGATGGTCCAGTGGTCAGGCCTTCGGGGCTGAAGAAAGGGGCGTGTCCATTAAAAACCACTGGAATTCCCCTGGGATGAATGATGATCAATGGGTTGATGTTGTTTATATATTTGACATATAATGACATCTATATACAGACTATTCTTATATGATATGATTAATATGATATGATATAATACATACAATACAATATAACATAATATGATACAGTACGATATATATATATATAAATAATATAATATAATATAATATAATATAATATAATGTAATATAATATAATATAATATAATATAATACACTATAATAATATAATATAATATAATATAATATAATATAATATAATAATATATAATATAATATATAATATAATATAATATAATATAATACACTATAATAATATAATATAATATAATATAATATAATATAATATAATATAATATAATATAATATAATAATATATAATATAATATATAATATAATATGATATGATATGATACAATATGATATAATATAACATAATATAACATAATCGAAGGAAGTTTAGAAGTCCTTCCGACAATATGGACAGATGAAAAGCAGAGCAGGGCAGAGGCAGAGAGAAGAGAAAGATTAGAAGAGAGAAGAGTAGAAGAGGAAGAGTCAGAAGAAAGAAGATGCAGATGCGCGAAAAGGTAGGAACGTCGCGAAACACTGTGTTTTTCCAATGATTTGTAGCTCCGGAGGGTCGAAAAGTACGCTCGCTAAAGCGGCGGGTGCGGAGCCAGCTGGCCAGATGAGAGATGAAAAATTGCACGCCGTTGTGGCGCGAAGCACATTTCCAAGTCAAAATGTACAAAACACACCATTGTCGGACCACTTTTGGAAGGTGAGATGTCCAAAAAGTGCACGCCGTTGTGGCGCGAAGCGCATTTCGAAGTCAAAATGTACAAAACACACCATTCTCGGACCACTTTTGCAAGTTGAGATGTCGAAAAGGTGCACGCCGTTGTGGCGCGAAGCACATTTCGAAGTCAAAATGGACAAAGCACACCAGGTTCGGACCACTTTTGGAAGTTGCGATGTCGAAAAAGTGCACGCCGTTGTGGCGCGAAGCATATTTCTAAGTCAAAATGTACAAAACACACCACGTTCGGACCACTTTTGGACGTTCAGAGCTCGTTTCGCGTGGCAGGCACAAGGGATTGTGCACCTTGTCAAAAGTGAGAAAAACGTGAGGGTTTTGTCGCATTTCCAAAAACGATGGCAGGCGTGGAAAATTTGAAGAGGATCTGCTAAGATGCATTTTCCGTGGCAGGCGCAGTACAAAAGACGTGTTCATGAGAGATGTTAGGAGGTCAGGGCGCTGATTTCCTGCGAGGGGTTGCATTTTGGAGCATCAGATCTGTAGGTTTTCTAAGATGATTTTGCGTGACAGGTGCAGCACTTCGTATGACCTGGCATCATTTTTTCGTGGCAGGCGCAGTACTTTAGACAGGCGGAGTGGAAAAATCACAAAACGCATTGGTACGAGGCTGTCAGCGCTGCAATGAACTTTCCATTTTTTAAGGAAGTCTCGCAGAATTGCTTTGATTTTTTTGGGTTGTCAAATGCAAAAATTGAGGAAGTCTCGCTGAATTGCTGCATTTTTTATGTTGTCAACTTTGAAAAATGAAGAGGTCTCGCAGAATTGCTTCGTTTTTGACGTTGTCAAGTTCAAACATTGAGGAAGTCTCGCAGAATGGCTTCGTTTTTGATGTTGTCAACTTTGAACAATGAAGACATCTCACAGAATAGCTTGGTTTTCAAGCTTGCAGATAGACAGGTAGATAGATAGACAGACAGACAGATAGATAGATAGACAGACAGAGAGATAGATGGATGGATGGATGGATGGATGGATGGATAGATAGATAGATAGATAGACAAAGAGCTTGAAAACTAGACAGCTAGATAGATAGGTAGATAGATAGATAGATAGATGGATAGATAGGGAGATAGATAGGTAGACAGATAGATCAGTAGGTAGGGAGGTAGATAGCCAGAGAAAGGTAGAGAAACAGAGAGAAAAAAAGAGAAAGACAGAGAAAGAGAGGAGACCTCAAGCACCTTTCAGTTCATCAGTGGCTTCGCTCTGCCATCCCTGATTCACAACAACCGACCTCTCCTATAGGTTCCCTATTTTTGAAACTTCCGCCATCTTTGTGCGGTACTACTGGTAGAACATAATGTACTACTTGTATTCTACAACTGCAGGGATTTCCCAGATAGGGATAGCTCAGTGTCTCTACTTTTCGATCAGGTGAGACGAAGGCGTCCTTGGCACGACTGGCCCTTTGACTCAGATTCTGCGCCTCTGGGAGAATCATAGCCACTTTTTTCGGGGATTTTGTGGGTAATATTACCCTCTGGTTGTGACTAACATAGCCATGGTATAGATGGCCCATAGAAATAGATGGTTTAGCTATTAAAAATGATGATTTTCCATGGCGAACTGTTAAATAACCAGATGGTAGCTCCCAAATGGGAGGAGAATAACATGAAATAACTAATCTTAGTTTTTTATCTTCATTTAAACTCTTTAGCTACTCATTTTCCAGCCTGTATCGGGTAGCACCCCTGAAGAATAATTGATCTGGGCAATCTTTATAGATGGCCCTTGTAGCACATATTGGGAGGTGTAGATTTCTAGATTTGTGTTGAAGATCCGCTGTTTGTGTTTGTTTGCTTGAGCGAATCCTGCACCCTTGATCGCTTTGACCGGTATAGTTCCCAATGTCAAGCTGCCCAAACACAGGGTGCACAAAATGTTCGCCTTCAAACATCACCAATCTCGATGTCATCTCGGCCCACAGTTCAATTGTAGATGTTTTACTTCGTCCAAATCCAGCAAGATGGTACAACGAAATGCCAGGTTGACCGTACTAGTATGTGATGATGATTTACTTTTGTATTTTGTATTTTTGTTGGATACCTCTGCGCCCGATTATTCCCGGTTTTAGGCTGCTTCCATCCATAAATCTGAAATCAAAACCAAATCTACGGTCTATTGAGCTACCATAAGATGGTTGTTTTCTGGCTTTGTAGAAGTGCCCAATCATGCCCAATCAATCCTGACCTTCTGACGCCCTTTTTTGGTCACCGGAACCACCGCGCTCAAGGCTAAAGACCTGAATGTCATGAGGGAAGAACATGATCAGGCAACTGATTCGCCGTTTGCACAGTCTGTGATATCTTATTTTATAGGAAATCCACTACCATTTGAGGAATCATGGGGAGTTTGTGGGAATTTTATATGCGGATGATTTTAAAAGGACCACTTAGGCAAATCCAAGTTCGTCAAACCAGTGCTCATGAGATTTAAACTCTGGGTTTGTCTGAAAAAACATGGAAAACCCACTTAAATATCATGGTTGAGACATTTCAGAAAACATTTTTGACATGAATTGATGGCAATTCATGTGGGACAGTATTCCCTTTGATAAAATCCATTTAGGTGTGCTATCCCAATAAAACCAACATCGAACCGTCGAGAGGTTGTTGGCATACTGCTGAATGGACCCCATTGAAGCTCTGGTACTCTATAACATGGCTGGACAAGTAAACGGCTGCTCATTTTGAATATAGACAGCTATACAAATGTCTATGTATATACTACATGTCGACATTTAGACATACATGTATATATATATATATAAATACACATACATAGATACATAGATACATAGATACATAGATACATAGGTACATAGATAGATAGATAGATAGATAGATAGATAGATAGATAGATAGATACATAGATACAAAGACACATAGATACCTAGATACATAGATACATAGATACATAGATACATAGATACATACATGCTTACTTACTTGCTTGCTTGCTTACTTACATACATGCATACATACACAGACACAGACACAGACACAGACACAGACACAGACACAGACACAGACAGACAGACAGACAGACAGACACACAGACATTGCATACATTACATACATTACATACATTACATAGATTACATACATTACATACATTACATACATTACATACATTACATACATTACATACAGACACACACACATACATACATACAGACAGACAGATAGACAGACAGACAGACAGACCGACAGACAGACAGACAGACAGACAGACATACAGACATAAAGACATACAGACAGACAGACAGACATACAGACATACAGACATACCGAGTTACGTAGTTACGCAGTTACGCAGTTACGCAGTTACGCAGTTACGCAGTTACATAGTTACATAGTTACATAGTTACATAGTTACATAGTTACATAGTTACATAGTTACATAGTTACATAGTTACATAGTTACATAGTTACATAGTTACATAGTTACATAGTTACATAGTTACATAGTTACATAGTTACATAGTTACATTCATTCATTCATTCATTTCTTTCATTCATTCATTCATTCATTCATTCATTCATTCATTCATTCATTCATTCATTCATTCATTCATACACATACATACACATACACATACACATACACATACACATAGACATACACATACACATAGACATACACATAGACATGCACATACACATACACATTCATATACATACATACATACATACATACATACATACATACATACATACATACATACATACATACATACATACATACATACATACATACATACATACATACATACATACATACATACATACACATTATATAGACTATGATGTACACGTATATTTCCCGTCTTCAACACTGCGAGGGAGCCCCACGTTTTCCCCAACATGGGTGCACGATCATCCCAGGAATCGTAAGTTATATACGGGTTACATTCCCAGATAATTATATGTGGTTGATGTGCGGGCTCTCAAACACAAACTAACCAGAGGTTTCCATACATAACCAGACATATAATCTATTACACCGGGGATATCATCCACATTTATTAGCTGGCTATTTCTGTTACAGAAGGGATTTCATTGCAACCACTTCCAAACCAGATACGCAACAATTTCATTGGGGATATTTCCACTTTTCCATTTGTATAAAGAATCATGTTTCACTTGGAAAATCAACCCCAATCACCATGTGACTAGTTATAAGTTATATCATGTTATATCTATGTCTATGTGGTGTTGTATATATAAATACATACATATATATACATATATATAGAGAGATGTAGATATTACATACCTCGGCCTGGCTATGTATAGTTATAGTTACATATGTCTCGCCAGTATATCAATCACTTGCTAGTCACAGTTTTACATATTATGATGAGGATATACACGTGATATACTTGTTACCATACTTGACTGGTTATTACACAGGTATATTTCGAGTTCTACATGTGGGTTATATATCGGCTATCAATCATATCACCAGTCTCATCCATATGGTTGTGGTTAAATCATTGGTGAAAATCAATGTCCCAAATTAGCTGCAATATACCCATGACAATCATGACATTTTTCTAAAAACTTTGCAAAAATTACCTACACATAAAAGGATAATTTGTCAGCTCTCACCCACTTACTGACATTGCACTATTTTTCCATAGAGAACAATATTTTGAACATTACATACTATTACATACCATATAACCATCGTAATGGGGATATACAGCTGATGAACTAAAACAACATATTTCACTGGTCATTACCCGGTATACATGGGGATCCATAAGGTTATAGAATTATTCGCAATTTGTGGGGTTGCCCCCTTTATAACCCGTTACCCCGTGGTGAATCAAATGTGGCTAGCTGGGAAATCCTCGAACTAAATGGAGGTTTCGTTTGCTGGGTGTTCCGACCGAACTCAATTTTCAATGGTGGATTTTTCAAGCAAGCCACGTTTGATGATGACCGGTAGGTAGTTTGACAATCAATAGTTGGCCAGATGATTATTACATCTTACTATTATTACTATTGATGAACCAAGGGCTAATCATCAATACCATTTCATAATCTATAGTAAGAATCAATACAATTTCATAATCTATATAGATATCTGCAATAGTCAATACATATGAATACTATGAACTTTCTGTCCCCCTCAATGGTCAATAGAGGCCATCAGCAGCTTGGGCAGCTTGACGGAGTTGGTGGCGAAGACCGCCACTGCCGGCATCCAACGCACCGAGGCGACGATTTCCTTCGGGGGATTTGGTCGGATTTTCAGGGGACTTCGATGGGATTTCAATAGGATTTAGTGGATGCGACTTCAATTGGATTTAATGGCTTTTCAATGGGATTTAATGGGATTCAAGTGGAGTAATTGAGACTTTAAGGTGCGTAGAATGGGGACTTAACCTGCATAACCAATACACATTGGATATTTTCATGAGCCTAGCCTCCTGTAAACGAACAGTTTGCGAACTGGAATATGGCCCGTGCGAATAGATGATTTTACCGTTTCTAAACATTGTGATTTTCCATAGCTGTGTTGGTTTTCCAGTGTTTTTTTGTTATATAATGTTGTATACATATATACATATATATTATTTAAACTTGGCTGGGGTTGAAAGTGTAGATGGGCTTTGAGAAGCGAGCAATATTAGACAACGGCGTGATATATATATAATTAACTATATATGTTCTAGTCTCATAGAGTATGATCTGGTTGGTGGTTTCAAACATTTTTTACTTTCCATAATATATGGGATAATCCTTCCCATTGACGAACTCATATTTTTCAAGATGGTTAAAACCACCAACCAGATTATTATTAATCATCATTAACCATATAAATAACCACATATTAACCATAATTAACCATCATTAACCAACCAGAAACCATTATATTGGTCAGTGATAGACTGCTACCACCAAACTCTTCCCCATCCATCCTTATGAAGGAGCGATTGGCGGCAGATCTCACTGGGAAGCGCCGGGACTTTGAGCGTCTTGGCGATCCGTTTGGCGAAGTGAAACGAAGTTCCGTTCTCGCTTCCGTTCTTGGGAATTTCATACCATTGTCGAAAACGAACATGAACTCAGAAGAGGTCCCAAAGATGCTTTTCTGGATCTCAAAACTTACAACTTTTGCGTTCTATGGAGCTGTAACCAGCGTTAAACCAGCATTCAAAGCAGCAAAACCATCAGAATCCCAAGTAGGGGTAGTTAGAAATTTGCAACCCATTTAACCGTTTCTATTCGAACCTGTCAGGCTGTTTTTTCCCGGTGAGCATTGGAATTTGCCATTGCCATGTTGGACTACCATAGGGTAGCCATAACCCCATTTGCAACTGTTTGGGGATCTTAATTTTACGGACTGAGCACTGGTGCTCGATAGGAATGGCAAAACCAACAAAAAATAAAACATACACATACAGACATACATACAGACAGACATACATACATACATGCATACATATATACATACATGTATATATATATATGTGTATATATATATATGTATACATATATACATATACATATACATATATATATACATGTATACATATATATCACTAGCGTCCTACCCTCCTGTCATCGAAACTTGGCTTCCTGGATAATCACCCACTTATAGATGATGTTCGTAGCTGGAGGCCTCCGTTTATTAGGCATTTCATGACTCACAGGCGTTCCCTGGTCCATCACCGTGAACAGATGGAAAGAGAGGCGAAGGCCAGTGGCTTCCAAACATGCTGTGCCTTGAAGTTACGAGAATGGGAATGTATGGGATGAATGATACAATGGGTGTATATGTGCATGTATATATATATATTATAGTGGATATATATATAGATAATAATAATAATAGTAATAATAATAATAAAAACAATAATAGCAATAGTAATAGTAATGATAATAATGATGATAATAATAGTAACAATGATCATAATATAATGGGCATATACAATATTGGGTATAATGGGATGTGTAACCCAACAATCATGGATATGATCGGCATATAAATATACACGTATACAATTGTACAATGGGATATGTAGCCCAAAATGAGATAACACAGGGGTTTCTAAAATGTGGGACCCCAATTCCATTGGTTTCCCCATGGAAAACCAATGAATGTTGGATGCTGATGGGGTCAAGTTTTGAAATCCCCCATATTCTTGGCGGGTGAAGTTGAGAAACCCTTATAATAAAAACCCACTTCGGGCGATTCCCGCTTTGAGATGCGAGGTACGTGTTGGGTCGTGTTGTCCAATGCATATTCTGAGATATATTCTGACACATGATCTGACTTGTATTCTCAAACATATGCTGACATATTATTTAATGGTCGTTTGAGATACAGCAGATTCTCTTGCATTCTCTGGCATTTATCCTGAGATAGAGTATACCCTCTGGTAAACTAGCTATGGAAAACCACCATCTTTAATAATTAGGCAAATCCATACGTATGCCATTTTCCGTAGCTGAATGGTATTCTGAAACATTATCTGAGGTATACTCAGAAATATATTCTATTCTGAAATATATTCTGACATATTGTGGACCATATCCTGGGATATATTCTGATGTGTACTCTTAAAGTCTTTGTCTTTTTGGTGAGTCTTACAATTATAGTATATTGTGACATAATATCTGAGCTGTATCCTGAGCTATACGCTCTGAGGTCTATTTGGATTTTTTTACCCTGAGATATTGCTGTGCCCTCCGAGAATCAACCATGGCAATGGGACGTTTTCGAGTCTAATGGGCATTGAAATGGGGTTGATTTCTGTCAATCACCAGAGGGGATTCGTTATTCTGGATGCATTTTGAAAAAAATATGCTGCGTCTGAAAAAAGATAGAGCCGAAGCGCAAAAAATAGGCCTGGCATTCCACTGCTGAATCATCCGATCTACTGTAAGGCCACTCTGAATCGAGGCTTCTCTATGCCACTTTTCCGAATAGCCAAGTTTCAGACGGGGGGAAACCCCCAAACCTCTGAACATCTGTGACACCATCCCCAGGGACAACCCAACCCCGGCGCTTTTTGAGAAACGCTGTGAGCGGGTGAAATCAAGGCAGATTTTGTCAACGTATATCTATTTGGTTGTGAATTGTTATGGATATATGTCATGGATATATTATGTCAATAGGATATATTTCGTATTATATATATATATATCTATATTGAATTATTTGGCTTGTACATATCAGTGTCAGAGTGTGTATTTATTTCTAGACGTAGATATTTTGTTTGTGCACATGGATTTGTACATATAGGTCTATTTGTAAACGTACATGCAGATGTGTCAGGGTATTTTTTGACTTTCAGAGAAAAATGTCAGCGCACAGGTTGATGTAAACAACATATGTATAGGCAAAATTGAATACATATGTAGACATATATATATATATGTTCACGTCCACTTATATTTCCATGTAGATGCACAAAACAAGTAAAATAGGCCTGTTTGTAATTTCGCCATGAAATTTTGCTGCAAAAATCACTGGATTCCCCTGGTGAATCCTGAGTCGTCCTGTAGGCAATTATTGCAGAAGTGAAGAATTTGAGCCCCACTCTACTGGCTGCAGGAGGCGGCTGCTGGGGGTGTAGGCTGTTTCCGAAGTCAAAGGAAAAATCCGGAGATCAATGGTCAGAACATGTCGTACATCGGAATTCCCCTCTGGTTATGTCTAACATAGCTATTGAAATTGGCCATTTGTAGTGAGTTTTCCCATTGAAAATGGTGATTTTCCATAGTTATGTTAGTTTACCAGAGGGTAAATTCACGATCACCCGGCGAATAACTTGGCAAACATGGGGAATGGACTAGAAACACTCGAATGGTCGGTGATGGTGGCAACCCAAGTTCCCAACCTGGCTTGGACCTGTGAAAAATGCGGGTTTTACCATTTCAACTGGTGGCATAATCAGGATCTAATGAGAAAACCAACCATATGATCCAAAATGTATATGTATATTTTTCTATATATTAGACACACACATATATATATGTTTATTAGACACAAATATGTAAATATATGTTTGAATGTGTGTGTATATATATATAGTATATTATAGATTATAGAGGGATATAACAATGACATAACCAGCAAAGAGTATTAGACAAGTTTGTCTTGACAATGGGGTAAAACCCCCTTGCAGAAAAATGCATGGTTTCGCAGTCATTTTTATGCAAATAACCATCAAACATGGGAATTTCACCAATGAATGATGGATGTGGGTGTGTCCTTAAAATGGGGGTATACCCAAAACATAATATCGAGGAAAACAAGGATTCAACAGTGGCCTATTTTCCAACAAACCCAGATGTGTTTGGTAACTTTAGGAATGTAGGACCGCTGCGCATGGCAAATACGCAGAAGAGTCTTGGTTCAAAGTCCTGTTTCTAGGGGACTTCATGTGGGTGTGGTTTGATGGGGTATACCTGCCCAAACGGTAATTTTAATGGGTCAGCTTTTGTGACGAATAACTATGGAGGTTCCGGCCCTTACGCGGGATCATCATGAATTCCAAGATCTATTGCATAGGCAAATGTCTATTTTATATGGTGTTTCCAATGTTTTTGGTCTTTCTGAAGATGTGAACTCATCATTTGTTGATTATCGGGCGCGCGGACATTTTTGAAAAATCTCCGTCGATGATAAGAATCAATTTAACAAAATGTGTTGTTGTTTGAAGATGGAAGAAGCAAATTCCGTGGAAGGTTTGTCGATTTTGTCAAGGGCCCATACATAGTCATTAAAATGAGGATGCAAAACCCCCGCGAACGCCAAGGAAAATGGAGATCCATTAAAATTCATTGCAACTACCAATACAATCTGTGTTCTCCACAGGGGCCCAAAAGCTGATAGTCACCTTTTTTGGGCTTTCCACTGCGTTCACAAGTTTCACAAAGGTTTCTGGAAACATTGCGATGGACTTGTTAATCCATTTGACGCTTTTTGCCTATGTACGGCTAGAGCTCGAAGAACGCGTTCCAAGCCAGGCTCCTTGTTCAAGTAGTGCGCGCATAGCAGATTGCGGTGCTCGATCTTGTCACGCGCAGTGGTTGACAAGAGGCCCATCCGTCTCAGCTGTCCTTCCGAGACATTTGCCAAACCTTCAGCCACATGGTCACCGGCTGCCAATATGAAACAGTCTTGTTTTTCTTTTGCCATCCCATCTTGCACCAGTTTGCGCTGCAGTGTCACATAGTCTTGGGTCATACCTTTTTTCGGGAGGGTGGCAAGACCAGCTGCTTTTTGCAGCGCCGGGGAGCCATCTGCAGAAGCGATGTGCTTCCCTGGTTTCAACTTCTGAGTCACTCCTTTGGCTACTTCCAAGAAAGATTCTGCACCAGCCGAGGAACCCTTGCAAGCAACTTTCGGAGGCAGCGGAAGCACTGCGTAACTCTTTGTGTTCACTTGACCATTGACTTTTCTGAGCCTGAAGATAAGGTGTCTTCCTTTGTGAATAGTTTTTTCACAGGACTCACACGAACAGCAGCAGGTTTGCGCAACGTCTTTCGTGCAGTTTTTCCAACCAATGTCTCTCCAGACCTCTCCGCACGCTTGCGGTTGTGCCAAGCATCTTTCCTCAGAGATCATGCAAGAGGGAAGTTACAGAAGGATATCTGCTTTACATTTACCATTGATTGACATGTCATCAACCGACTTGAAAAGCCTGCAACAGATTGACGTCCCATTGAGTGGACAACTGGAGCAAAACACATACGAGGCTCAGATCTTTGTGGGTGGGCTTGCGTGAAATGGCCGTTGCAGCCGTGTCGAACTCCAGGACACCCGGTTCGTGTTGGATGTTGCAAGAACAAGTTCCATGACGTAGCATCAAGAGCGTGTTGGATGTTGCAAGATAACGAAGAACGTTAAGAACGTCGTGGAAAGGACCTTATCACACCCCCCCACCCCCCGAAACCCGAACCCCCCAACCAACGTGCCGTCGAACAGATCAGCCGAGAGACATGAAGCACTTCCCAAAGATGTGCGCATGTCGGCCGAAACGTCGGCCACAGATCACAGCCGCTGCAGCGAAGTAACCATGATATGGAAAGAGATACGTACACGGCGAGGACTACGGCGTCCATCTGAGACAAAACAAGGCCAACGTGCAATGATCAGCCTCAGTGACGCAGTTGTTTGCTCGGGGAACACCAGGGCTGGCGGGTCAGGGGATTAGGGGGAGGAAACCCCTCGATTTTCAGACAAGCCCAGATCTTGAATCCAAGGTATCCTTTTTACTTTTTTGTGGAGGGTTCGCCGGTGACGCTTCTGGCCAGAGGTGGCAAACCCCAGAGTTTGAAAATCGAGTCCGAAAAGGGAGCCCCTTCGGAGTCGTGGTAAACTGCTGCTCGAATCCACCACGATGATTTATCTTCTGGTAATAAATCGGGCAATGGGTGATCCCCGAGGAAATTGATCCAGTGTACCATTGCTACCGTCCCAATCTGGATTGCTGGATTGCACCGCCGAAGTCTCCCGATCACAATGATGTTGCCATCAAACAGATATTGATCATTGAGGATCAAACATGGCTTGCTGGAAAATCCTCCATTTAGTCCGATGATTTGCCCAGCTATAGTTCCATCATTTATAGTGGATTATCCATTGGTGAGTTATCCATCCCACTATGCTCCGATATATTCCCCATTAAGCCACAATTAAACCAACATTAAACCTCCATTTACCCATAAACAATGACAGTTTTCAACTGCAGAAATCCTTCTCCAGGTTGCGCCGGACAACTTGCGGGGCTGCCAAAGCCTGTGGAATTCATGGGGCCAGGGAGCAGGGTTTGGGACACTGGAAACAAAAAAGGATTCTATAATCCACTTACTATATTATATATTAGTGATGTGTGTATATATATATATATATTTGTATACATGTATACATCTATACATATCCACACATATTAAATATATATTAAATATATATTATACATATATTATACATATATTTTACATATATTATATTATATTATATTATATTATTATATTATATTATATTATATATTATATTATATTATTTAAAAATCAAATTAATTTATATTATATTATATCAATTTATATTAAATATTATATATTTAATATTATATATTATATATTATATATAAATATTATATATTATATTATTTTATATATTTTTTATATTAAATTATATATTATATTATATATATACATATCATATATATATATATGCACATTCTATATATACATACTCTATATATATACACATTATATATATATATACATAATACATATATATATATATACATGATATATATATATATATACATAATATATATATATATATATATACATGTTAAATATACATATTACATATATATATATATGCATAAATATATATATGTACATCTACATCTACATCTACAAATAGATATACATGCAAATATACATATAGATACACATTTAGATATACATTTAGATTTACACACACGCACACATATATATACATAGATTTGCATATTGATAAACATATAGATATAAATATAGACATTCATCTAGATATACATATAGATAAACATTTAGATATACATATACATTTAGATATACATATAGATATACATTTTTAATACATATCGATATACATTTAGATATAAAATTTGGCTTACATATAGATATACATTTAGATATAACATTTGGCTTACATATAGATATACATATAGATATTCACATAGATATACATATAGATATACATGTAGATATACATGTAGATTTACATGTACACATACGTACATGCATGCATACATACATACATGCATGCATACATATATAATCATACATAGATGCATATACATATGTGTATATAATATACATATGTGTATAAAATGTACATATGTGTATATAATATATACACATACATACACACACACATATATATATATATACACATGCATATATATATTTGTATATTTATATGTATACACATACATATGTATATACATAGGAATATATATATATATATACATACATACACATACACATGCACATGCAACTCCATCCATCCAGCCAGCCAGCCAGCCATGCATGCATCAATCCGGTTTTGAACAAAGCACAATATTACATAACCTCGCACAACGTTACATTCCATTAGATAGTTTTACCTAACATTACATAGAATTCCATAACATTACATTTCATTACACAACATTACATAACATCACATAAAATTCAATAATGCGACAAAACATTACATAACATTATCAAGGGTTATGCTGCCAAGGATTACATACCATTACACACTATTACATAGCAGAGCATGCCATGCCATGCCATGCCATGCCATGCCATACCTTACATGCAGGTAATATGAACATATACACAAACACACACAGATATATATATATATATATACATACACATATTATATATACAGATGTATCCATATATATATATATACACAGCCATGCTGTGGCTGGAAGAAATACTGCACCATTTGGTAGATGGTCTATCCGGTTATGATCCCATTATCTCTAGGTGCTTCATAGGAATCCCAATAGTTGCGCCAACTGGTGCAGGATTTCGCAAACATCCACAGTATATTTTATATATATATACACATTATGGATACACATAGATGTTCAGACGCACTCAGGATGTGAGCGACGATCGCATGGAGGTGGCCACGTACTTTTGGGGCACCATCTACTGGGGGGAGATAATGGCAATAGTGGGATATATATATCTATCTATCTATCTATGTATGTATGTAGAACAACGGGATATGTCCTCACATAATACATATACATATATATATAGTACAATTGATGGACATAATGGGATGTATAATGGGATATTGATATTTATATATATATATATAACCAATTATATACCTGCATAGTTAATGGATGGAATAGGGATATGATGGGACACTGCAAGCTACTGCGGGGTGATTCAAACTGAGATAGACCTTTAGGGCAGGGTGTTCATGTAAGTTGGCGGGATGGTAACTTGCAAGGAACAGGAATACATGTGGATTCCACCATCGAAGAACTGGGATTACCCAGCCAAAAAAAGTGATGGAACTGGAAAACATCAGGGCCCAAGGACCGGTAAACATGGGTATTTACCCAGCAAACATAGGGATTTCGCCAGCAAACTAAGGAATCAACCAGGTTTTGATGGCTGCCCGATGTCCAGGAATTTGGTGGTCACAAAAATTTGGATGAGGTTTTCCTCCATGGGCCATTTGAGGGATGAACATCCGTAGGTCCAACTAATGGTTCACAACGGTGAAGGTTGATAATGGTTCATAACGGTTAGTGGTTCATAATGGTTGATCATGGCCATTGATGGTGATTCCTAGGAAAGTCCTATCTTTCATGGTTGATAATGATGATGAATGTTAGTAAAGCAATGCCATAAACCAACCATAGTTTGATGCTTTCAATCACCCAACAGCTTTGCCCCATGGTGTGAAAAACCGCTATGGGACCTGGTCGTTGGATGACCTATAGAAGTAGTGGGTAAACTCCACATCGAACTGTTAGTTTTCTTTGGGATCTATGGTATCAATTTTTGATGCTAATGTGAACCTTGAAATGATCTTTCTGGGCCCTTCGGATCTGCAAAATCCAAAAAAAAACATCAGAGTTGCAGCAGGTCAATGCCCGCAGCAATCTTGGCCTAAGGAGGCGACTGGGAATAGCTCACTCACAAAATCATTCCCCGGGATTTGCGTAGCCCCCAGTCCTGATGAGCTGCTGTGAACCACAGCTGGCGGATGGCAACACCGTTGAGATCGACCATGTGCAAAACGTTGACGAGGCCGGGATGTTTGGAGCGAAATCAATGGATTTGTCCAAACATGGGGTACCTGTTGAGTCCGTGTTTTTAAAAAGGATCCTATGAAGATATCAACAACTCTGCCATGAATTGTGGGATAGATACACCCCCATTTTTAGACCCAGAAAATTCGAAAATGATGCCGTCGTCACTCAAGAAACCGTTCCAAGGATTGTAATTGGCAGTGCCAACCTTTTTCTTCAAACAATAAGTTTTTCAGAAAATGGGGTGGTTAAAACACATGGCAGTTTTAATACGGAACATGACAATGCATTGGAATTGCGACGACTATTTTTTGGACAAAACCATCAAAAAGTCATAGAATCGTCTAACTGGGATCACGTTTGTGAGCTTCCACGGGGGTTTCACGAAATTTGGAACCCAAAATTCAATGGTCTATCATCATTATTCAAAATGGTAAAAGTTCCTTAAATTCGGGGATCTCTAGATGTCGTGTTTGAGAGCCCTTAACCCTAATATCAAATATACCCCAAACAAAACCCGATCTCTTCATGAGTTGGGGTCCCAAAATTCGGGGGCATGATGATCGAGGGATGGTATTAGCCAGATTCCAGATTGTATCCACATTTACATGTAACTTATATATATATATATATACATGTTGATATTACTCATGCTTAGATCTGCCTGTACAGCTCATTTTGGAGGCATAAATCCTATCCCAAAAATTGTGTACGTTTATATCGTTAAATCCCCGATGTTTGGCAAGTCCCAAATTAGAGTCGTCGACACCTCAGGCGCCCGTGAAAAATCCGCCGACTCAGTCGGCCAAGAGCCCCCCTCCACCGGAGACGATCGCGAAAGTCGAGGTGTGGAGCTTTCGGGGTTTTTCGGATGATTTCACCCTGGGGGTTGCAGCCGCCTCTAGTCGATTATAAATAGGTGACTGTGTTTCTGGATAAGGGATGATAAGGGACCCTGTCTGAATGGATGAACTTTTTGGTCATTTTTGGTTTCTGAGTAAACCACTCTCGAAATATGCCATTCATCCGATGCATCCGTGCTGGATGGTCCTCCCTGGCCCTGGCGGTCAGGCAGATGATGACATGCCCATGGTGGAGCTCAAGCAAGAAGTGTCTGAGGACCATGGTGGGCCCCAAAGTTCAAGCCAAGCCACATTCTGTTTGAACATTCACAACTGAAATCTAGAGACAACTTTTCTACATATCCTGGTTATTCCTGGTTGGTGGTTTGGAACATCTTTTATTTTCCCCAATAGTTGGGATGATGATCCAATCTGACGAACTCCATCATTTTTCAGGGGGGTAGGTCAACCACCAACCAGTATCCATTGGAAAAGCGCCTGGAAGTCAATCCCAGAATCCTGGACGTCGATCGCTGCTTGTTGTGGTGCTTGTTCCCTTGGTTGCAAGTGAAATCCCCCAACGTTCTTGTTGATCAACAGTCCAATGTGTGTGGTTTAAAATCTTAAAATCCAAGTTTTTGTTGGTGAACATGAAACACCCACCAAATATTTGGTGAAGATTCACATTGTCTTGGTCAAATATAGCACCATTTTGCTGGTCAGCCAAACCACTGCTCTCGCTTCAGGAGCCCAAGAAAAGGCCTCCAATGGCCTCCTTCTGCAAGCTCTTCTCCATGATGGATTGCAAGGATGCCATGGGGCCGGGGGACATGAAGCTAGTGAAGTAATGCAATCATCAATGGTTGATAAATTGGCAATTCACTACCATTGATAATACACTTGCTCATACAATCATTTTTTGGGTGTTGATTATCAATGGGTTAATATGGCTTCTTAATTATTGATTGGTTGGTGATTAATGGGTTGATATGGATTAATTCTGGCTGATTGCCGACGTTTTTGTTTTGTTTTGGAGGAGGGGGTCATTAATCTACTCTTTATAGTAATATGATAACTTTATGATAACACATCCACAACTGAGTGATTGATCTTCTGTTCACCTCAAAACAACTGGCATTTATCGATGTTCATACCCCCAGAATTTTGAAAAAACCATGTAAAACCATTGGCTTTGACCCATACCCCATCCCACATCATTTTCAATAAAGATGAAGATGGACACCTACAATTTATCTAAGAAACACATGCATTTTAGGATATCTTAAGGTTTTCAGATCTCAATCCAATCTTCATTTGGTATCCTTTGGGTGAATTGAACCATCCGAATGTCTTTTTGATGCGAGATTTCGGGTTGTGAAACCATCCGTTGTTTGCCATCAAGGTTGGGAGCCATGAAAAATGATGGGAAAAGAATCTAAAACACACCGATGAACCATGGGAGTTGGGATTATATCGCACATCACCATGCTTTGTGGTTAAAACAACCAACATTTTTCCGATTTTGGAGATATGTCAGATATGTGTTTGTATGAAAACAGGGTGGCCCTAAATCCACTGGTTTTAAAGTTCATCATCAGTCCATTCAAAACGGCTGCGGAGAGGGTGGAGATATACTCCATTTTCAGACACCACATATCATACTATTGGTTACACCACATCGAACCCCATCGAACAATCAATAGAATGGTTAGTTCCCCTGTAAACCCTACAAAGTCCTATTAACAATCCCAATGAAGTCACATAAAACTAATTTTTGCCAATGGTTATCATCCTATTGTTGTAGTATTCTATGAAGTTCCATTAAATATCGCATTGAAATCCATTGAATATCCCATCAAATGGTGATATCCCCTGAAGAAAAAGAATTACTTTACTTCGTGTGATCCCCACCATGACATTTATACATTTTGTTACTGGCAAATCTTCTGGCATTCTATCTGACATGTTTTCTGGCATTCGATCTGGCATTCTATCTGGCATATCTTCTGGCATTCTACCTGGCATATCTTCTGGCAGATGTTCTGGCATATCTTCTGGCAGATGTTCTGGCATATCTTCTGGCATATCTTCGGCATATGTTCTGGCATATCTTCTGGCATTCATCTGGCATTCTATCTGGCATATCTTCTGGCATATTATCTGGCAAATCTTCTGGCATTCCATCTGGCATTCTATCTAGCATATCTTCTGGCATATTATCTGGCAAATCTGCTGGCATTCTATCTGGCAAACATTCTGGCACTTTATCTGGCATATCTTCTGGCATTCTAGCTGACATTCTATCTGGCATTCTATCTGGCATACCTTCTGGCATTCTATCTGGCATATCTTCTAACATTCTATCTGGCATATCTTCTGGCACTCTATGTGGCATATCTTTTGGCGTGGATACTCGCGGTTGAGGTCCGGCAGGGAACACTGGGCGTGGATGGTCGTGGTTGAGGTCCGGCAGGGAACACTGGGCGGGGATACTCGCGGTTGAGGTCCGGCAGGGAACACTGGGCGTGGATGGTCGTGGTTGAGGTCCGGCAGGGAACACTGGGCGCGGATGGTCGCGGTTGAGGTCCGGCAGGGAACACTGGGCGCGGATGGTCGCGGTTGAGGTCCGGCAGGGAACACTGGGCGCGGATGGTCGTGGTTGAGGTCCGGCAGGGAACACTGGGCGTGGATGGTCGTGGTTGAGGTCCGGCAGGGAACACTGGGCGTGGATGGTCGTGGTTGAGGTCCGGCAGAGAACACAGTGGATCGCGGTCGCAGTTGAGCAAGGACGACGAGGACGACGAGGACGACGAGGAGGACGAGGAGGAGGAGGAGAGGAGGACGAGGCAGGAGGAGGCGGAGGAGGAGGAGGAGAAGGAGGAGAAGGAGGAGAAGGAGGAGGAGGAGGCAACTGACATAAAATCTAACAATCCTCACCTGGCAGGTGGGGAATAAGTCCCAAAAGTCTCCCAGTAAACTTAATTACTTTACTTCGTGTGATCCCCACCATGACATTTATACATTTTGTTACTGGCAAATCTTCTGGCATTCTATCTGACATATTTTCTGGCATTCGATCTGGCATTCTATCTGGCATATCTTCTGGCATTCTACCTGGCATATCTTCTGGCAGATGTTCTGGTATATCTTCTGGCAGATGTTCTGGCATATCTTCTGGCATATCTTCTGGCATATGTTCTGGCATATCTTCTGGCATTCCATCTGGCATTCTATCTGGCATATCTTCTGGCAAATCTTCTGGCATTCCATCTGGCATTCTATCTAGCATTCTTCTGGCATATTATCTGGCAAATCTGCTGGCATTCTATCTGGCAAACATTCTGGCATTTTATCTGGCATATCTTCTGGCATTCTATCTGACATTCTATCTGGCATTCTATCTGGCATATCTGGCATATCTTCTGGCATTCTATCTGGCATATCTTCTGACATTCTTCTGGCATATCTTCTGGCACTCTATTGGCATATCTCTGAACTTTCACTTTCTGGTTGTCCCATATATTCTTGAGGTCCGGCAGGGAACACTTGGCGTGGTTGAGGTCCGGCAGGGACCACTGGGCGTGGATACTCGCGGTTGAGGTCCGGCAGGGAACACTGGGCGTGGATGGTCGTGGTTGAGGTCCGGCAGGGAACACTGGGCGAGGATGGTCGTGGTTGAGGTCCGGCAGGGAACATTGGGCGTGGATGGTCGTGGTTGAGGTCCGGCAGGGAACACTGGGCGTGGATGGTCGTGGTTGAGGTCCGGCAGAGAACACTGTGGATCGCGGGTCGCAGTTGAGCAAGGACGACGAGGACGACGAGGACGACGAGGAGGACGAGGAGGAGGAGGAGAGGAGGACGAGGCAGGAGGAGGCGGAGGAGGAGGAGAAGGAGGAGGAGAAGGAGGAGAAGGAGGAGGAGGAGGAGTCAACTGACATAAAATCTAACAACCCTCACCTGGCAGGTGGGGAAAAACAACTATATCCCTATCCCCTTGAATATCCCTAGGAAGCCGCTATCTTGATCATTGGCATATTGGGCGCCATTGGCAACGGTATCAGTCAGCCCTTGCTGTGTATCGTCTTTGGCGACCTCATCGATAGCATGGGTTGGGGTCCCCCAGAGTGAAGCTTCCTGGAGCTGGTGGTGGGATTTCATGGGACTAACATGGGGGGTTTACCCTCTGGTTACTAACATAGCTATGGAAAATCACCATTTTTAATAGGTAAACCAGGTAAACCATCTATAAATGCTACATGTTCAATAGCTATGTTAGTCATAACCAGAGGGTAAATCCAGGGTTTCCCCACGGCGTTTTTGAAGCTGGATTTTTCATGGGCGAAAACAGCCATTTCATGGGAATGTCATGGGATATGGGGTCGGTCTGAAAATGGGGAGCCTCAAAATCGCTGTGGAACATCATGATCAACCATGGGTATACCCTCAAAATCGTTATTTCGAACAAATCATGATCAACCAGTGGCTTCGCGGTATATTTTCAGACAAAACCACGAGTTTTTGTTGGGCACAGCTATGATGGCTAGGATGGGTCAGTTCGAAAATCAAACTGTCCCAAATTGACCCCGGGATTCTTCCATCTATATCCATGTATCATGAACATTCTTGAGTACAAACCCATTCATGCGAATATGGAGGTTTCCTAAAATGCGGAAATGTGGATACCCCTAAATCATCCATCTCAATAGGATTTTCCATTATAAACCATCCATTTTGGGATCCCCATTTATACGTCAAGTTCTTGTTAAACCCCCAATTTCTGCAAGTTAACCGTCCCCTCCGTCTTTGCTGGTTACAGCCTAATGTGTGCTAGTAAGAATCACAAGATTATATATATATGTATATTTGGGTAAAACCACTATATGATGATGATGATGAAGAAGAAAAAGAAGATGATGATGATGCTGGTGATGGTGATGAGGATGAACCTACCATTTTAAAGTCACTTGTGCTGGTTAAGCCACCACAAAACTCCACACATTTCGTTGCAAAAAACTGAGGCATCTCCATGACCGGCGCCACCTTTGCGGCTGTCTCCTGGCACGAGATTCTAGTTGTACAAGCCTGTGGCAAATGCTTGTTTAACCTATAGCAACCCCCAAAAGATAGAAGAGTGAGAAACCTGGACATGGAGTAAATATATCTAAATGTAGTAATATAATATAATCTAGAAGACCCTGGAAACGCTTTTCCCGTGTTTTTTTGGGGTTTACTATAGGTTAACTGGGTTTTATGGTGATTGTAAGTATAGTTAGATGACCGAAGGGTAAATAAACCAACTTCTAACTCGGGGGCGCCACCTTGTACCCTCTGGAAATCTAACATAGAGGTGGAAAACAATCATGTTTAAATACGTTTAATGCGTAAAACATCTACAAAAAACGTGGTTTTTCATGGCTATCTTAAATTGCCAGAGGCTAATGGCATGTGTCTGAAACAGGGTCTAGCTCCCAGCTGTCATCCATATTCTTGGTGGGATCAAGGATCATTTAGACTTATGAACGTATATAATGCAACGATTTTATATGACTATATGTGTCTATATGTTCTATATAATTATGCAGATATATACAAAGTATGTATGTCTACAATGGTATATATACACACGTATCTATGTGTATATGAATAGCTTTACGCCGGCGCACAGAGAATTTGTACGAAAAACTTGGTTTCATATGGTGGAATCATCCGTGTTGGCTGTGTGTTTGGGACCATATATTGTCCATTGAGAACCGCCCATTTGGCTGCGTTGTGGCTTTGTTTAGGTGCCCAAAACTGGCAACCATGAAATGTGAAGCCTTGTCGTTTTTTCGTTGGGGATATTTGACATGTCATTGACCCTCTAAGCGCAAAGACCTTGAGGAAAATATGACAGCAGACGCCATGGCGACAATTGAGCAGCAGGTGCGCTCCGGCCGATCAGTAGCATCTGAGTCGCTGGACATTGCTTCAAGGCTTGGATGTTGACATTTTTTTCGCGGTTCGATGCCCATTCCCATTCAAAAACGTGTTTTTTTTTAAAGTTTTTCACATCTTGCCCTCGACCTCAACTACAACTATCAACCAAGATCATGATCATCCATCAAATGGAATCTAGAAAACTCTGGTCGACAGGATGCTGTTTCAATGGATTATACATGTGGGATATCATGGAATATATCATATATATATACATATCATATATATATACATATACATATGTATATCTGTTTCTTTTTATACCATACCAAGCAGCTAGTTGAACTAATCAAGATAAACTGCCATTTGGCATGGCTTTTTTCGCCAAACCCGAAAATCAGGTTTCCGAATCGCAGGCGATGGACCAAATGATGAGCAAGATGGTCCCTTGACCGCCTGGGTCGTGTGGATGGGCCCCACTGAGTGGTCAGTGGATTTTTCAGGTCAATGATCACTGGATTTAGCCTCTGGTTATGTCAACATAGCTATTGAAAATGGTCCATTTATAGGTGATGAACCCACTTTTATAGTGGTGATTTTCACTTCGCTATGTAAACGTTTACCAGGCCGGGTATTTTTGGACATCAAGCTGCAGGGTTGGAATCTATTGGTCAGCACTGCGATGCGGCTGAAACCATTTGATCCCGAATTTTGGGGTTGGTGCTTGAGGTTTTGTTTTGTGCATTTTTGAAGGGAAATCCCTGGGATGATGATGGGATATCACATCACGTCACTTCAATTCGGCTTTATGTAAACTTTCAGCCCGTCCTTCGGAGAAAAAGGGGGTTCCGAAACGGGTGGTGAAGGTGGCCTGGCCGGAAATGCCCGAGTGGATTGGCGGTGCGATTTTCGTCACCGGGGGGACCCACAAAAGTGGACCTACCCTCTGGTAATTTAACGTAGCTATTGGAAATGACCATTTATAGTTGATTTACCCATTAAAAATGCTGATTTTCCATAGCTATGTTAGTTTACCAGAGGGTACAACCAACCCCGTTCAACATTCCCTTTTTGCTGGTTTAGGGTTTAGTACTGAATCCGTTCATTTTGGGGGCCAACAGGCTATTTGTATGTGAGACTGGCGTAAAAATTGCATTCCTTGAAACCTCCAAAAGCGGGGAGAGTTCACTGAAATGGCTTTCCGGGATGTTTTCATGGCCAGATTTAGAGTTTTTCACTAACCAATCCCAAGTCTTCCCAAGTGACCCCAAGTCTTTCTGGGGTTTGGAAGATGATTTTTCCCTATTGAAGATGTGACCAATTTATGACCAGGAAAATGTGGCTTCCGGTTCCAGAATTAGGTGTGTCTGACCAGTTGGTCCATGGCGAATTGGTGAATCACGGCGAATCCTCCCAGGAAGAGTTGTGTCTTATCATGGCCCTGGTTGGCGTGGCAAACATCGTGGCCAGCAGTCTGCAGGGCGCCTGCTTCAAAATCTTCTCTGAACTTCAGCAACTTGGCATCTGGCCGAAGCTGGGATGCAGGGGGATCTCCAGTAGTCTCCATAGTGTGGATGGTCGCTGGTGTCGCTGGTGCACCTGGAAGCTCTTGATGAAAGATTGAGGTTCTGAGGTGCAATGAATTATATCCGGGTTTTTGAGATGCCAATGACATGACATGAAAGCAAATGAAATCAGTGACATGGAAGAATCAATGCACAATTGAACGAATGACATAAAGGAACGAAGTTCATGAATGAATGAGCCAATGAAACAATGAATGAATGAAATGCAATGAACTAAACAAAACTGAACTGAACTGAACTGAATGAAATGAAATGAAATGACATGACATGACATGAAATGAAATGAATGAATGAATGAATGAATTGAATGAAATGAAATGAAATGACATGAAATGAAATGAAATGAATGAATGGAATGAATGGAATGAATGGAATGAATGGAATGAATGGAATGAATGGAATGAATGGAATGAATGGAATGAATGGATGAATGAATGGCTGACGTCATGATGTGAAAACTGACCATGGACAGTGGTCCGTAACTCGGAAGTTTTGCCAACTCAATTTCCTTTGATTATATGTAGTGAAATGACGTGTGACTTCCCGGAACTTGTTGATGATTTTCGGTGCATTATCCTTGGATGTGGAGGAATCAATATGCATCATGTGTTGAATTGCTTATGTATTTGTCCAACGCGTGTTGAAGACTCGAAGACAGTCTCTGTTGCATATGAATCAATGATATTGCTGCAGTATATGCCACATCTTGGTATCCCATTCTTCGTCTCTCGTTTCTGCATTCTCTGAAGGCAAATATTTGTCTCGCTTCTATCTTTTTCATGTGATGCTGTCAAGTCCAGTCCCTTGGAGGGGAAGAAAACATCAGTTGGGTTGATTGATTTTGGACGGAGCGGCACCCGTCATTGCTGTTGTAGGGAAAGGGTTGTAACCACACGGACAAGATGTCCCAAGAATATCGAACAGCTGGATCTGTTTGTTTGACTACTTCGTGCAAACCAGGAGCACCCAAAAGCAGACCGGTGGGGTCATTTCCCCATTTTAATGCACAAACCCATGTAGCAACACCAAAATGTTCAGCGGATCAATATCAACATATATCATTGATAATATCAACATCATATATCAACCATCCAAGTTCGACCAACCATTTTTTCGCCGTGAGGGCGACGAAGTTCCGTATTCTGTACTTTGACATTGTCCTTCACCAGGACGGTGAACGCCGCCCTGGCCTGCGCGCATGATTCATCACAGGTTGATCTATTTCATAGCATTACTGTCTTACGCTCATTCTGATTGCAGTGATTATGATGATCAATATGTAAATATATATAGTAAGTAATTACATATATACATTACCATTCTTCTTACTAGTAGCATGATGGTCATGATGATGATGTTGATGTTGATGTTGTTGTTGTTGTTGTTGTTGATGATTAATGATATAGTTATTACACACATATACACATATGTATATATATATACATATTATGTTTTATTCATTATTCTTGTTGCTATTATTACTAGTATTTTCATCTATTTTCCTTCTTATAGTTCTTACTACCATATATAATCATAATCATCATTATCATTGTCCAATTATGATTGTCATTATTACTACGTTTCGCCTTTTCTTGTTGTTATTGTTATTATTTAACCACAATTATCATCCTGATGGTTATTATAAGATGTCCTTAAAGATTAGTAATGCTTACTAGTTACTTTTATTATTACTTATCATTCCTATTGTTATTACTTTTGTTATTTTGTTTCAATTACCACTAGTTACTATTAGCCATGGTGATGATGATGGTGTACCACAAACTATTGCTACCATCATTCTTATTCCTATTGGTTCTTAGCTACCACTTCTGTATGGTAGCCACCACCGTCATCATCATCATCACCACCACCACCACCACCACCACCACCATGATTAATATAGATAATAATGACTATTCTGATGATGATGATGATGATGATGATGATGATGGCCACAGTAGTTCATGTTTTACTATTTACATCTACATACTACGATCATTGTCACGACCATCGCCATCGCCAGGACGTGAGCTGGTTCGACCTGCAAGAAGTGGCGGCTCTGCCGGCGGAGATCAACGATGACTTGGAGCCGCTCGGCAGCCGCGATCGGCGGATAGGGATTTTTCAGAATCAAACACTGGGATTTACCCGGAAAGCTAACATTGATATGGAAAACACATGGTTTCCCTAGAAAATGATCCAAGAAATGGTTGATTCTCTAGATCTATGTGAATTAACTAGAGGGTAACCATCTGAAATGCGGATTTGACCATCAACACTTTTGACTTATATATATATATACACAACCATCAAACACGGGGGCCTAAGTTTTTTTTTTTAAACATCAAACATGGGGACCTAACCATCAATTGGGATTAGTCAATCAACAATTGGGTATTTTACAAGCCAAGATGGGGATTATTTCACCAATGAACGATTCTTTGGGTGTGTCTGAGAAATGCTATACCACTACACCGGGGATTATCATAATCCATTATTATGGGAATTTGGTTCTTAACCAAACATTATTTCATGGATTCATGGCATGACATTTCTACATTTTTTTTTACAGCAAAGCCACAAGTATCCTCATACTGTTGATATTCCAGACCGTATCCCCATGAATATCACCAACCATTTGGGGATCACTTTACGTCATTCCATTTCTAGGGGTTCACCAATTTCACAAAGCTCGGAGATGGTGACTACAAGGTGGTGCCCCATGACTTGCCAAGTTGATTAACTCCAACAACTGGGTCTACAGTAGATATCTATGCGGAATGGGGCTTATAAACTTATAAACCAACAAACATCACTGGGGACTGGGGGGGCACCACCTTGTGGTCACCATCTCCGAGCTTTGTGAAATTACTTAAGCCCTAGAAATGGGATGATGATGGCATTGAATCCCAGATGTTCATCCACGTCAGCTCCACGTCGTCCTAGGAAGATCCAAGATGCCTTCGGCGATAAGTTCGGCAACGGCATCATGGCCTTCAGCGCCTTCCTGGGAGGCTTTGGTTGCGCCTTCGGCATGGGTTTCTCGCTCTCGACCTGGGGCACTGGGAAGTGCCAACAAAAATGGCAGATTCAAAATAAATGAAATAGACATGTATATTTATGTATATTATATACATATATATATGCATATATTAAAACATGTTGGCGAACTGAAGATTTTAACAGTGACCCCAGTTGGATGATTCGGGTGATCCCTTTGGGAAAACCCCCAGTTAGATTCATGGCATATCCACACATTTGGTTGTTTTTGGGATGAAAAACTGTTACCCTCTGGTAAACGTTTACAGTTTGCGACATAGAACATGGCCATTGAAATAGTGGATTTACCCATAAAAAATGGTGATTTACCATAACTATGTGAGTTTACCAGAGGGTACTAATCTGGGTTGTATAAACCACGGATCCGATTCGTGGGGCAATTTTTCAACCTGGCGTACTACGAGCGTTTTTCTGGCCGCGTTCAGAGGTTGGCTCCTGGCTCTGGTGATGTGCGCCATCTTGCCCTTCATGGGTGTTGGAGCTGCCTTGATGGGCAAGGCGCCAAAAAAAAAGTTGTTCTGGTTGGTGGTTTGGAACATTTGGATTATTTTCCATTTCATATATGGGTTGTCATCCGAAACCCATTGACGAACTCATATTTTTCAAGATGTGTATTGCACCACCAACCAGTTATTATATTGTGGTCGTACTGGCTATATCTGGTTATGTTTTTGTCTGGACTGAACAACAATATTTTCGTCAAAAAACAACAACTTTTCTGGTTGGACCACAATATTGTTGTACGAAACATAGTGATTGTTACATATATTTGGCTATATTGGTCAACCAGAAAAGTGGTTGTTTTTTCAGGAAACATGGTGATTCATCGGGATTGTGGTCCAACAAAGATGGGATGGCCTACCAGGGACTTTTTTTTGCAGCTTCGGCTTAAGTGGCCTAGCACTTGACCACAAAAAACGACCATTTGACCATCACAGATCTGGGGTTAAGCGGTTAAGCATCAAACATGGAAAGTAAACCATAATTTTTCACCATCCAACACTGGGTTCGGTTGGGTAAAACAAATACGAAGGTTCAACTATGATTAGAGCTGCAGGTATGGAATAACCGTGGGTAGTTAGGAAATCGATGGAAATAGATGGGGGATTTTTACCGTTGCCAGACTTTTTTTTGCCCCGGTCACCAAGAGAGCGGGGAACTGTTCACCATGAGGGTTTGACCAATGTGGAAAGATTCTGCAGGTTGATTTTGCCACACAACAGTGTATCATGGGCACCATCCATGTTCAAATCATACGATATCTGGTTACACATCATACGAGTTTGGATGAACTTGATATTCTTTTCCAGAAAGAAAAGCAAGCTCTTTTTCGGTACCTCCTGTCACATACTGTCACCCGTTTTCTGCTACTAAGGTGAGATCCTCAATTTTCTGGTGGCCCCGGAAGGAATTCTCAAAATTTACACTCCACCTTCATTATCTTCATTTCGATCTTTGAGATGGAAACCAATTCGGTCCGACAGTTTATTCCATGACCCTGAAAGATCCGCACGTTGCAATGGTTCCATTTCCATGTTTGGCCACGTCGTGCAACATTTTTGAGGCTTTCACTGAGCATGTTCGATGGTGAACTCCTTGGTTGGATGGCTTCCCAATGTTGATTGTTCTTTGATTCTTTCATGCTTAAAAACATTACTTTTGATACTGAACTCCGCGCACTTTTGATACATCACAAGATTTCCTTATTTTGGTTTGTCTGAAAATAAAGCAGCTCCAACTTTGATGGTTCACCGTCATATTTCGCATTAAGATTAGCCATATCTGGGGGGTTTGCTCTTCCCCATTAAAACAGACTAACCTCCATTTCCATCCTCCAGGCTGTGCAAGAGGTCCAGATGGAGTCTCAGAGTTGGTATGCCAAAGCTTCGGCAGTGGTTGAGGACAGCACCTGAGCTTCGGGTAGAAACGCCGTTGACTTCTTTTGGCGGTGAACACATGGGGACTTCCACCATCTCACACCAAAACATAAAAACTGGGTCGACTTCTGTTTGGGAAGTTCGTTTTTTTTTTTAAATTTATTTTTTATTTGGGAGATTTCAACAGCAACATTTTCAGATGAGCAAAGTGGCTTAAGCATCAAACAATGGTGATTTGACTAGCAGAAACTGGGATTTCACACACAGAAAGTGGGGATTTAACATGATTTAACCACTAGTGTCACTACTGTAGTTACAGGTTGCGGCAAGTGCTTTTCCATCCCAGATCTCGTGGTTTTCCATTCCCCCTGATTTAACTAGTGGTGATCACAGGGACTTTTTTAGGGGATGAAACCATGTTGAAACCTCTGCTACTTGGATGTGCATTCATCCCAGGTTGAAGATGACAACTCATTAGGAATTGAAACTGTGTCTGTAAAGGAACAGGCATGGGGACTTTAATTCCTGCAAGGTTGAAATTACCCAAGGCGCTAGTTACCCTGGTTACCCAAGTTGCATTCGGACAATCGCAGGGGACAGACCCGAAAAGCAGATGCCAAGCAAGTTGCCATGGTTTTTCTCATGTAAGGTAAAGATGTAAGGAAACCTCTTGACCCAAAAGAGTTTCCCATATTTCGAGACTTGGTTTAAGGGAAAACTACAAGAACCACCCCGAAAGGATAGCTTTCTTATAAATCAACCCACTGGGTTCCAAAAACACCAAGTGGTCTTGGTCATATCCATCAAATCCCTACCTTTCAACCGCTTTGGTTGGTTTAATCCTAGTATTTGTTGCGAGCAAACGTCCATCTTTGGTGGTTGTACAGTTCTACAATGTTCTACACCTTTCTACACCTTTCTACACCTTTCTACACCTTTCTACACCTTTCTACAATGTACACACATACACACATACACACATGCATGCATGCATACATGCATACATGCATACATGCATACATGCATACATGCATACACATGCACACATGCACATGCATACACACATACACACACACATACACACACACATACACACACACATACACACACACATACACACACATACACACACACATACACACACACATACACATACACACACACATACACACACATACACATACACATACACACACATACACACACACACATACACACACACATACACATACACACACATACATACATCAAATATATCCAAATATACCCTATATATATGAATATTGTTCATGTATATATTATATACCATACCAACAAGAAGGGTGGGATCGACCAGAAATGGATTGGCTGACAGAAACTTTGAAAGATGCCTATCACGCGTTCGGGTGGATAGTGCATTATTTGATGGAGGCTGCTACCTCCCGAAGCGGGCCTTTCAGTCGCAAAACATCCTGGCCATCAGCCTCCGGGCTTACTGAGTAAATACAAAGAACTCATTACCTTCCAGTGTTTTTCTTTGCTGTGGTTATGCTGCGCACCTTCATTGGCGTTTGATAAACAAATACCATACCATATATATATATGTGTATATATATATATATGTATATATATATATAATTATATTATATATATACACACTATGTATAGCCATTAGTGTGATTATGGCATGGTATGGCAACTTGTTTTTTGGGCCTCCAGGAGTGCCTCTTTGCCATGCGCACCGTGGTGGCCTTCGGAGGCGAACACAAGGAGTTGCAGCGTTTCCAGGGGGCCCTGGTGCAAGCGCGACGCGGGGGGGTGCCTCGGTGAAAGGATATGGGACTTCATGGGAATTCTGGCGGGCGTTGGTTTATGGGGATTTTGAACATGGTGTCGAAAAAAAAACCCCTTGGATCCCACGCCTCCTAGTTAGCAACTGGGGTTATAAGCCAATTTGTAAATGGGATGATACACGAATCGGGGATTTACCATCACCAGGCTTTAATTGTTAACCACTTACGATTCGTTGGATGATCCTCCAAGTAATATGTTTTAATGGGAATTCATGGGAATATCACCAACCAAAAATGGGGGGTTTGATGGGCTTCAAATGGACGTCTTATTGGTGATTTAATGGACAGACTCACCGTTTGATGGGGAAAAAACATGGGGATTTTTCACCAGCAAACATGGAGATGTGACCAAGAAAAACATGAGATTTCTTACCCTCTGGTAAACTAACATAGCTATTGAAAATGACCATGTATAGTGGATTTTCCCATTGAAAATGGTGATTTTCCATAGTTATGTTAGTTTACCAGAGGGTATCTATGACAGCTGAACTGGGTTTTTCACTAAGCAGGTTAAATCAGGTTTTCAGGGTTGGATTATGACTTCATGGCGATTTTTGCGTCGCGTTCAACACGTAGCGTGTTGTTGTTTTTCCATCAAGCAACGGGAAAGCATTTCAGGGCAGCGCCTTCACCGAGGTCAGGAATGGCTTCAAGATTGGAGCTGGCATGGGCTACACCATGACGCTCGGATTTTCCAAGGCTGTTGATGGGAGGCCCCAAAAAGATCCAGGCTGTTGACTTTTGAGCTTTCCACTAGGGCACTGGGTTGATCTGGGAGTGGCTGATGTCGGAGTTGGTGCACATCACGCTTTTGAAACCTGTTGGGGACCCTAAATAATAGCCATTTTCGTTTGGAACCTCATATTTACCCAACAATTGCAAGACATTGGAAAATCGCACATATTAAAACTACATCAAATCCCATTAAAACCACTCCCAAACACATAGTTGGTGATGTTCCCTTCATTCCTGTTGTTTGATGTTGGTTATGATTCGTTCCTTCCAAGTGAAACCATCATAAAACCCATGAAGTTCCAAGGTGCGTGGTCTTTCTGGGCTATGCCCTGGCTTTCTACGTGGGAATGCTCTTGCGTTACAACGATGAGAAGAACCCGGCCACCGGCGAGGCCACGGTGGCGTCGGACGGCGGTTGTCATTGTGAGAATTTCGGGTGGCGAGGCAACTGCTTGGGAATCTCTGAGTGAGAATTTCGACGGAAACTGGGAATGATTTTTGAGGAACATCATGCAGGATAATTGACAGGACAGCTTCTTTAAATCAAACTATTTCTGTTTGTTGTCAAGTTGGTGAAGTGAAGAATTTGCCCCGATATATGAAGAAAGAAAACTATATAGCAGCGTAGACCAACAGATGGGGGCCGAGGATTTGAAGCTAAAAGTTTTTATGGGTCAAAGCCTTGGTATGGTACCCTTTGGTTCATATAGCAAATTCGCAGGTAAGTTGTGGATGTTCAATGATGTTCATCCACCCAACTATGGTATCATGAGTTTTAATCCATCGACTCGTAACACCTGGCACAACATCCCCTCCGACGGCACGGTGAGCCCTGCCGGTTGTTCTTGCTCGGAAAGTACCCAAAGGATCGACTTAAACAGGATTTTCCAGCACTGCCTTGAAAGGAGGAAAGGACACTCTCCCGAGACACTACTCTGCGTGTTTTTTCTCATGGAGCTGTTTCTTAAAAAATCGAGGTCCCCCCTTCCCCCCTCACCATTGATTGCCCAGAAACTATCGCCTGTCGGGCCGCCGGGCCTATCGCTACAACTTGACGTTGAGCTCCCCAGCCCCAGCCCAGCATCCTTTCCAGTCACCTTTTTGTCCCGGGGAAGCCATCTTTTCGGCCAGTTATGGCAGCCTGGAACGATCTTGGCGATCTTCTTCTGCATTTTCATCGGTAGCTTCATGATTGGCATCCGGGCAGTCGGTTCGGGTTCCGTTCAGATCGGGGTGAGCCTGTGGAGATCGGGGTGGGATGTGATGGTTGGGGTTGGTCAGTTGGTATGCGACAGCAGAGAATTGCTATGAATCTTGGAGACATGGATCATGAAAGATGTACCCTCTGGTTATTTAACATAGCCATGGTATAGATGGCCCATTTATAGATGGTTTACCTATCAAAAATGGTAATTTTCCATGGCTATGTTAGATAGCCAGATGGTATATCATCACGTCGGCCTGAATCCAGGAGATTGTGCTTTGAAAACATCTTCTCACATGAAACATGGAAAGGGCTCCGCACATGAAATCACCTGAAAAACCTGGGGGGCCTAGGGCAAGCCATGATAACTGAGCTAAAATGGGAGTCTCCGATTTTGACCGATACCCAACTCTCTTTGTTGGCTGATTTCGATCGACCCAATGTCTAATGATCTTTTCGCTGAATGGTTAAAGTTACATAAACCATCATAAACCTTCCTTTTTGATGCTTAACTTCTTCATTCTGATGGCCAACTTATCATTGTTTATTGGTATAATATGGTATAATTATCCTTTATTGATGTTTCTTTTCCCGTTTTTGATGCTGAATTCCCCTGCCGCTGAATTTCCCAAGTTTGATATCTGATAGTGAAAACCATTGAACCCACTGACCTCGCCACAACATTTCAGCTTGACCTCCGTGCCCGTGGGACACGTCATCTTTGACGCTGTCCGCTGGCGGGGCGGAGGTGGTCGCCCGTCCCTAAAAGGGTGGGGACCAGATGAACATGTTGAGAGCAACAGAGGAGCTATGGGAAATTGAATTGAAACAAGAAGATCAGCATAGTCGTTCACCAAGAAACCAGAGAGCTAAGGAGCTAAACATGGTGAAGATTCCTACTAAACGGGCCTTTCAGAGTCCGAACCCCCAAAGACATTTCTGATAGCCGTAGCTGTAAACATTTACCAGGCACTTTTCAGGGAACATTTGCCGCAAGTTTCCCTTCATTTGGGTGTAGTTTCGCCATTGTTTTAACCTGTTTTAATGTCCAAAAATCCCACTGGTTGATTAATTCAGAGCTTCCCCCTATGACCAACCAATAGGTAGATAGCATCATAGCATACCTATGACATAAAAATGTTTATTTCCCATGGGTTTTCCCCCCAAAAAAATGCGGTCAAGTTCATGTTTTCACCCACATTTTTTCCGGCAAAAAAAACCGTTGATTCCACAGCATGGGTCGCGCCTCCGACTTGTCCTCCGCGGATGATGGGGTGACTGGCTGCGCCACCTTTGGAAAGCGCCACTGGGGCAGAAAGAGGAACGGACTGAGGCAACGGAGGTTTCTATAGGGTGGGATGAAAGTTCGAGATTACAGTAAATTTTATTAAATTTTCAGATTACAGTAAATGTTCATATATATATATATATTATAAGTATATATAATTAATTATAAAGTCTAGATATCTAGCCGCAGCTCCCGTCCTCAAGCCATGGTAAGGATGACATAGTGAAACTCACATCTTAAGGCAAAGTCTTCCTTTAATGTTCACAATGATACATGGTAACTGACAATTAAATACAATTAATAGATAATATACCATAATATACCAATTTAAGATAGCTGGCACATTGCATCAGCATCTTTTCAATAGCGCCACAGTCTGAGGAGGGAGTGATGAGGGCGCCCCATGGGTCCCTCCTGCGGCGCCTGCGGGTTGCCCTCCGCGGATGCCGGAAACGCCAGCTGGACCAGCTGAAACTGGTCTCTTGGGCCAAGAGGTGGATTCTCAGGGGTGATGGCATCAAAGCTTGACTCAATATATATATATATATACACATAGTATATAGATAGTATATATAGTATTTACATACTTTGACACATATGTATAATATACTTGTAGTGCGTATATACTATATATACACACTTTATATAATTTCCCCACACACACATGTATATAGTATGTAATAGTATGTACATGAGTAGATGTAATATGTATATACAAACATGTATTTGGTAATGTATAGAACATACACCCATGGAACATTATATCGCATTATAGTACAAATACGTTTCTATGTGAGAGGGCTTTTAACCATGGGGTATGAAACAACACTCGATACAAATTCTGCCAACAAGAACAGCGGCTTTTCACCAAATCTCATTCCCATTGTCAGCAAAAACTACTGTATCATTTGGGCATAGGTCACCAGTCTGTTGTTGTACATCTATAACTGTATACCTGACAACATATACCGACATACACTGTAATTCTGTAGTCTATTATACATACACATACATATATATATATATGCTGTAAGAATATATATACAAAACATACCCCTTTGAGAAATTTCGTGATAGCTCACGTTCCAGGTCAGAGTGAGGTGAAGGGTAGGCTCGAGAGTTTCTTGGCCCAGAGATCACTGGGGGATTAGCCATCAAAACATGGGATCATTGGGGGTTTAACTGTCAACAATTCGGATTTTTATGTTTTTTCTTTAACTCTGACTCTTTGCGGGATTTTGATGAGATTTTACGGGAGGTACCCTGAAGATATTCATGGATTGAGCCTCAAAAATTGAGGTCGGGCGATTTTTCCGTTGATTTGCAAGGTGGGGATTCTTGATGTTCCATGATGTTCCATGATGTTCCATGTTAGTTTTCATAGGTGCAGGAAACCATGGGAAAAATGCAGGAAACCATAGTCGCTTCGCAACGGGTACCGCCCGCACCCAGTGAATAGGACAGAGAGGAAAGAAGCGGGCTCGTGGCGGGGTCAAACTTGGCCGTCCTTGGCCTAAGTTGGGCCGAACACGAGCCAACTTGAACTTGGGCCTAACTTGCGCCGAACTCAGGCCAGTTGGCTCAAACTTAACATGTGCAACTTGGTCCTGGGGACATTTGGCGCCGAAGTTGCCCCCAAAGGGTCCCAACCTTTGGCAACAGCTTTGCAACAAGTTGGGCCGAACGGAGACTTACTGTAATGGGGAACATTGCTCAACACGAAGCATCATCGATACCACAAAAACGTGGGAAAATCCACGCCAGTGAAGTGAAAACGTGAGTTTTGACGATTTTGTATTGGGCCAGCAATGTCACCCGTGTTGAGCCCATATCGAGCTCAACTTGGGCCGAAGTTGCTGCCAAACTGGCTCAACTTGCCGTGTTGGACCCAAGTTGGGCCGAAGTTGGAGCTAAGTGAGGGCCATGTCGGATCGAACCGCTGATTTTGGACGATGTTGTGCCGATCTGCAAAATTTGGAAATTACGACAGTCCCACGCATTTTTTGGCGCTTCACCCGGGCGAACATGCCCCCCCCAGCCGAAGCTGCAGGATTGTTCGAATCGATCGGCCCCGCTCCTAAACTATCACGCCTCGATCGCCTCGGCACCTTCGGTGCGGGCAAAATTTTCCGTTCAGGGAATTGGCTCCAAGCTTGGGCGTGTCCCATGTGTAATGGTTCGGACATGAGATATTACCACCATACCTTAAGTGAACAGCCGAAACAGTTGTCATCTTTCGTATGGGATTCTCCAACCTTAGAGCAACTGCCTATTGGGCATCTCTCGGCCCTGGGAGAAATGTTCTTCCGACCTTGGAGGACCCCAAAAGATGCCGAAACCTGTTTCCCAGGACAGCAAATAAACATGATATTTACTTCATCTTTCCAGGTGTCCGTAACTGTTGTTGGTTGAGTCCCCGTTTTTTTGTGGGTTAAGTTAAGTCCCCATTTTGGGTTCAATCCCCATTTTTGTTGGTTCAATCCCCATTTATGGCAAGCTGTAGAACACCCAGCTGCCAATCTTCCATCCCCCAGTCGCTGCGATCGCTTCGTCGCTCAGGATACTTTGCCAAGTCGACCAGCAAGGCATCTGCCATTGTTCCCGTTCCGGACCCCTCCTTTGCGAGTTCACCCAGCAGATCGGAGGTGGGCGAAAGACTCCAGGGCGTTTTCTCCATGGTTTGTTTCCCCTTGAAAAACAATCCATGGATCAATGTGAATGGTGAACGGTTCGACCTCAGTGATGTTCAAAGCACCAATGCTGAACTATGTGAAACCATCAGTTTTGATGATTCAATGGGATCAGTATACCTCGGTTTTCAATTTTTCATGCCCATGAAGAGAGGAAAACAAACCATGGCCAGGTCGAGCAGATCCAGCTCTGTTCGCCCACGCTCTTCTACACCGTTGCAGCCTCCGCATTAGGAACCCGCAAGGGTCGATAGTTTAGGCCCTTTAGGCCTCAGAAGTCACAAGTGTTATCGTTCCTTTTTACAAGTGCAACTTGATGACTTGAATATAATAACCACATATTAACCATTTTAAACCGTATATATTCCAATCATATTCCAATAATATGATTGACCCACTTATTTTTTTTACCAACTGGACCAAACTTTTTTGTGGTCTTCAATCCTCTACATTGGTCAAGAAAACACCCAGATTCCCCTATGGGCCGAGTAATGGGCAACGGAACCCAGTTTGGTTTGTCCAGAAATGGAACCCTTAAAATGGCCATGAAAAATAACGGAGATCACAATGATAAACTGCTGGATTTTGGGAAATCCAATGGCCAAACTCGGGATGTTTTATATAAATGTTTCCACTACCGATGGAAACACAACTTGCCTTGCAAAAAAAGATCAGCTATTGCCATTGGGAATCATGATGATTGAACACTATGAGATTGCGGGCTACCAAATTTTCAGACAGACTCACAAGGGCATGATATTCCCTAAAAATTAGCCAACTACTTAGAGACACGTTAGGCACCTCTGATTTAGCACACCTGGTCAGGAGCCATTTTCATCTTCTTAGGGCTCTCTATTCTCAGCCTCTGTGAGAGCCATATAGCAGAGGACCCAGAAACGCCGGAGGCGCGTAGCAGAGTCAGCAGACGTAGTTTCTTTACGTCTTTACGTTCTGTTCTTATCTTATTTGTTGGTTTGCTGTCTGGTCATTGAGCCATGCAAATATGCGAGTATTTGAAGGTCGTAGGATCATTCTAGTATCAAACCCCATTTTTCAGTGAAGTCCAATTCTGACATGTAGAAGACATTGCCACACTCTCAGCAGAGTGGGTTCTGGAGCACCACATACAATGGTTCTATCATGGGTTAGGCCATGATTGGGATGCTGGTAAATTCACAGATTCCCAATCCATGTGTAGTGTAGTTGATCGACGTGTTTTTATACAGATACACATGTTTGAATATTTGTGATAAATGTTTCCATGTGTATATATGTGTATAATGTGTTGTGTCTGTATATGACTGTATATGTGTATATGCATTTATTATGTTCATTTGTGTATATGTGGTGTACAGTACATGTATATGTACATATCATAGCATGACACACACATATATATATTATATTATATTATATTATATTATATTATATTATATTTTATTTTATTATATTATATTATGTTATATTATATTATGTTATATTATATTATATTATATTATATTATATAATACTACATAATATGTACACATATATATATACATGATCCTATGGCATTCGCAGGTGTTCTGGGTGCTTACCGGCAGATGGGCGGCCTGGACCTTGTGCTATCACCTTCCCGTTTTCTCTTTGGCGATTCTGAACATCCGCGCCTTCTGTGTCTACGGCAGTTCTCCCACATGCTTGATAAGTGATGTGAAACTGGTTGCAAATTGCAGCATTTTCCATTTATAAAGTCCCTAAAACAATCCAGTTGAAATGAGAAACATCAATTTGTTTTAGAGGTTTAGGGTTGGATCAGCATCCACATCTTTGAAGGTTTGGGGTTGCCCCCATCATTTTGTTTTAGCCCTTCGCCCGTTGCACCTAGACACTGGCCACGTGCCGCAAAGGAACTTTCTTCATAAACGTTCTGAAGAGGATGGTTGGAAGAGGCCCAGACTGATAGGCCTTTCTTGCATTCTGCTGCACATCGCCAATCTTCTGGTGCCTGTGGCTATATGAAAATCCTCCGAACATGTTGAGAACATCGATTTATTTATCCGGTGATTTACATTGATTCATCATCAGTTTCCGGGTGAACAGGCTAACAAATTTAGGGGAAACATGATTTTCCGACAGTGGCAAAATTGGAATCTATTTTGAGAAACATGAAGATTACTAGGATGTCGCCTGCGAAAAAACGAGGCTTACGTGTGAGAAAATTATTAAATTGTTGGTCTGGGTCAAAATCCTCGTGGCCACAGCAGAAGGTCAACATGGTCAACATGGACTGGTTGGTGCTTTGGAACCATGGAATTTTATGACTTTCCATATATTTTGAGAATGTCACCATCCCAACATTTCCGAAGTCCATCATTTTTCAGAGGGGTCGATCCAAGGAGTCGCCCCATGGAAAAAATTCATCATCCAGGGATCACGGTAGGGAAAAATATATGGGAAAAAACACCAAAATATTGGGGAAATAGATGGGAATCCCTAACTTAGGTAAGGGACGAGCCAAGGTTTTGCACAGTCAAATCGAAAGAACGGAGATCAATGAGATCAATGCATTCCTGCGAAACACAGCAACACGTACAAAAACATAGCATCATAGGACCGTAAAGAAGGAAAGATCCAAGGCAGAAAGCAACTCAACCTACAAGTACAAGGCATCCAGCCAGGCAATGAGTACGTAGGTGAAATAATCAGCTGTTGTGACAGGTTCCTGAAAATCAAGATATCCTCATGCTGCAGAGCTCGGCTCTTTTTGCATCTCTCAACAGCCCAAACGTTTGTGCGAGCTTTAAAGCCCTTGAGCGCCGGCCTAAACCATTGAGAAGAAAATGCTATAGGCAGCAAACATGGATTGAACTGAGTTCTGTCAACCTTTCAGGCTTCATTCGTCTCAGAGAAATACGTGGCCGAGATTGGCCAAACAAATTGCGACATCAAATTATACGAAATCGGATTATGAATTGGATCCTGGCAGGCATATGTGGCCGTGTCGCGCATGCTCTGGCTTGCAATAAGTTCGAAAGAAAACACAAGAATTCAGAATAAAGATCACTCAAGTGAATCTGAAGCCAAGCATGAAATGCAACACTCTGTGCAGCCAAGATTTAGAAAAGTGGTGCAATCTGCACCGGCTGGGGGTGCGTACCTGGCGCAATGAGGCTCCATCCAAAGCTTTTCCTGAAAATCAACTAAAACAATGCCCGATCAAGTAAAGCAATGCCCGACTTAGCTGGTTGAGTTGGGAAATCAATGGTGGTTGGGGTATCCCACAACTTGGACTTGGACCATTGTGTTCCAAAGAGCCTTGGGCCAGCTGAGGTGTATGGGATGCTCTTCTACGTGTATGTTGGACGTGAGAAACAACACTTTGGTCTCTGGGATGTGTTTGGCATGGTTTTCCCGGGGAACAAAAAATTAGAGCCCCACACTTCCTTATTTGTCGGTGAAGATCAGACTTCCGATTTTGGTGAGTTCACAGCATTTAGTTGGACACCCTCTGGACATCTCATTTAGCTTTACATTGGATGATGAACATAACAATAATGTTCTTGGAACGGCTCAACCACCATGTGCAGCCCGATGGCTGCCATTTCTTGTGGATTTGGTATACCCAAATCTGGTTTTGTCCAAAGCCAGGGGATCCCTAAAACCCAATGGTTGAGTCATGGTTAACTCATCGCTTTGCCCCAGATGACAGCCTAAGTTGTGGCTAAATCCACCACTTTTGGACAAACTCAAGTAGGGTCTTGTAGGTTAAGTGATATCCCCAGTGAAATATATATATATATCCACTAAATATGCCCATAAAATGGTTGTTGTTCTTTCGTCCTATTTTTGGCGCTTAAATCCCCCTATTTTCATGTCCTTCTGTTTATATAAGGAGTCAAATTTAATCCCTAGTTTGAATGGCTAAATCCCCATAAAATGTATTGAAACATGTTCGCTGCGCACCTTACGTTTGCCAGTGGTCCATTCCCGCATGTCCTTTGACATGCTCAAATCCCTGTGTAGGGTTTGTGTTTTTTTAAACATGAAACCCTGAAACCCTAAAACCCTGAACCATCCTAAACTCTAGGATGTGCTACCCAAATACAGTAACATTGCAACAACCCTAAAGCCGTAAACCTTAAGACCCCCAAACCCGAAAGCCGAAACCCTAAACCCCAAAGGCCTGAAAACCAAAAGTCAAAATCGCTGCGCATAGCCAGTGTTTTTCGTTTGGGACAAGTATATCAGGGGATATGATGAGCATGGCGAACGTGGGGTTTGCAAGGAACATGTTTAATCCCTATTTGAATGGCAGCATCCCTATATAAACGTATATTGAAACATGTTTAATCCCTGTTTTGAATGGCAAAACTATATAAAATGATGTTTAATTTTAATGTTTGTTTTCAATGGACACATCCCCATAAAGCCAAGCACTTTAAACTTTAAGCCATGTTTAATCAGTATTTTGAAGGGCAACTGCCCATATAAGATATTTTAAAACATGTTGGTGCCAAAACCTATGTTCGCCCCCAGAATTTGAGCCTCCATGATATGATGCATCAGCATGTCACATCTTGCATGGCCACCGCCCACCGCCTCTGAACTTCACGTTGAACGTCTATTGAAATGAGAAATGATCATAATATGGGGAATCGGGAAATCTGCCACCCCCATTGAACTTCACGTTGATCGTCGAATGATATGCAGAAGGATATGAGGATATACGTATAGATATTCTGTGGCATGGACACGGACAACATGGAAAAAAGACGTCACCCGACACTGCAATTAGAGCTCGGGCAAACATAGAGATGTTTAATCAGTTTAATGCCTATTTTGAATGGATAAACCCCCGTAGAATTTTTATCAGACCATGTTCAGTCCCTATGAATTGCAAAATTCCCCATGAATTAAACCATGTTTGATCCTGATTTTGACTGGATCAATCCCCATATAGTATATATTGAAACAGTTTTTTTTTTTTTAAACATCCCTATTTTGAATGGTCAATTTTCCCTGTAAGCTCTATGTAAACTGTTGGTGAACCTCCAGCATTTCAGGTTTGATCTTGATCCATGGTATCGGGCACCTGCTGTGCATGATCACGTCGCCCGGCCAGAAAAATCCGGGGAGATGAAGCGTGATTCGTTATTGACACATGCACGTATGTACATCCATACACATATATCATATACCCTCTGGTTATGACTAACATAGCTATGGAAAATGACCCATTTATAGATGATGTACCTATTAAAAGTGATGATTTTCCATGGCTATGTTAAATAACCAAAGGGTAACATTATATATATACATACACATGCACACACACACATTATTTATATGTATACTCAAGATCAATCAAGCAGATGATGCTGAAGTTGAAGTGATGGATGACCAGGGTGTCTGTAAAAGCTCTTCTGCGGAGCTCATTCTCCGCAGATGAAGAATTGAGCATGGAACAGCCCGCCAAACTCGAAGAGCCCACCCAGGCCTTAACTGACTCATGAGTTTCTGTCATCAATTATCCATTAGTTGTCAATACATATTCATTCATCATCCACTACTGTCGGTTGTACCACCTTGTTGACAAAAAAACCCTGATTTGCTGGGTATCACCTGATTATGCTATCATTTTGGTTGTGTAAATCATGAATATTCCCAGAACAAACCTTTTTCCATCCAGCCCTTGATCATCCCTCGGCTCGGAACTGCGAAAAATACACCATTAAAAAACAATAAATCATACCCTCTGGTGATGTCAAAATAGCTATTGAAAATGGACCATAGAAATAGATGATTTACCTATTACAGATGGTGATTTTCCATAGTTATGTAAACGTTTACCAGAGGGTAACCCGGTTGGTCGGTGGTTTGGAACATGAATTTTCTTTTCCCCAATAGTTGGGATGATGATCCAATCTGACGAACTCCATCATTTTTCAGAGGGGTAGGTCCACCACCAAGCAGCCAGTTACCCTCTGGTAATTTAACATAGCTATTGAAAATGGCCATTTATAGTGATTTTTCCCATAAAAAATGGTGATTTTCCATAGTTATGTTAGTTTACCAGAGGGTACATTAATGTGATTAGCCCACTTATTTTGGGACTTGCTAAATCGAACTAGGGGTTACTCTTTGTTTCACCTCGAACTGTGGGATCCGCGACAGGTCTGAAAGCTGGGCCACGTGGTTTTTACCGATGCCTCTGGCGGAGAAGTACAGCAGGCGCATGGGGCCCTCCACGCTGGGCACAGCACTGCTGGGATTTCTGGCGGTCATCGTGGGTGACTCGGCTGGATGGGAGGATTTTTTAGGTCATGATGATATAGTTCGGTTTTCGGTAGTTAGGCAACGAACTAAGCATGTACTATATATCATTTAATTACATACATATACATACATATACACTATGAATGATTGTCATTTAATATATTATTGGTTCATTATAGTACTTGGTTGGATTAATCTGGGATACATGTAGTGGTATAATAGGGGTACTGGAAAATTGGATTAATTCGCCTTGGTAAGTGCGTCAGAACCATGGCTAGATATGATTACAGCATATTACAGCAGCATATTACAGCAATACGTCATAATCCAGAGATATAGAAAAAACACACACACACATATATATATATATACAGTATATATATATATACATGGTTATACCGGATACAGCGTGTAACTTCTTATCTTGATCCATTCCTTGAACCATCCTGTAGAATGATCCTGGAGGATTGGGTTGATCATCTGGGGAGCCTGGCGGCCTGGTTTATGGCAGAAAATGAATGCAGAAGAGTAACATCCTGAAAATCGGTGTGAAATGATGTGGGGTATGGATCAATACCTATGAAAATAGCATTTTTAGTGGCTTATTCACATCCATTTATTTACCAGCTATTTTGATGTGAACAAAAAAGGGGTACTATTGGTTTTGACACACTGCCAAATGAATTTTCCAATCTTTTTCCCGTCCGAAAAATCTTGCTGTTGAAAGTTGAAAGCAGCGGCTCCGAGGCTACACTATGGCTTTCCGCTTGGCCGGACCGTGGATTGGGGTGTTCTTGCCCAGCTTGTTGCTTGTTTAATGGGGGTTTGATGGAGGGTTTCCACTGGGGGAACCAACCATTTTATGGGAATGATGGGACGTACCCCTATGACCGCCCCGGCTTGCGCCGGCGCCACAGGTTGAGTCTGTACGAGCTGGGCAGCACGGCTGTCCTGGTCAGGACCTTTACGAAGGAATTTGTGCAGCAAAGGGAGGCGGGATCGCCCACGGTGAACGGTGAACGAATGAAAAACCATGGTGACCTTGAAGGATATGATCTACAGGTGGTGGGGATACCGGTAGAGCACAAGAAACAGTTTTGTTTTGTTAAAAGTTAAAAGTCGAATGACATGTTCAAAGTGAGACGGAGTCGACTTTGTATGGAGCAGCTGTACATTGGTCTAATTGAATCGACGGTTGGAGTAGTGACACGCTACCAATTGACAGGGCTTGGCAAATGTCCCGTTTTGCGATGTCTTAGATCATTCTGAATGGCAGATGTTCCCCCTAGTTGAGTTGAAATGAGACATTTCATGACATTTCACTAGCCCTCCAGTTTATAATCTACCCAATCATTAGAGACAGTGTGGTAAACCTGGTAAAACCAATGCCATGCAGGCCATGCACCTTGGATTGGGGATGCCCTTTCCCATTTCTTTTCTAAGTCTTGGGCATGTGGTATATTCTTGGGCATGTTTTGTATGATCATCGGCCAGAATCATCCATGATCATCTGTTTCGATGGTGTTTTTCGGTGTCTGAAGCCTTTGCCATCCCAACAAGCAACTTGTTGGCTTAGCGTACAATTGATCTTCCCCATGCTCATTGGTGGGTTTCATATTTTGAAACCACCCAGATGGGGTTACTGGTCAATCATCCCCGATCCAAAATGCTCCAGTTTCAGTGCAGGTGAGTCCACGGACCCATTGAAAAAGACCCAGCCACGCCTAGGGCCTAGCCACTTGAGCAGTGGCTGCTAAACCTCTGTTGATGATTATATGGGACCCCATACTTGGAAGATCATCCCACTCAGTAAGTGGCCAATAACCCTGGTTAGCAAGTCCACGATTCGTGGATTTATCTCGTGCAGTGGGTTACCACTGGGGTTACAATAGCTACGATTTGTGGGATGATCCTGAAAAGCAGTACCCTCTGGTAAACTAACATAGCTATTGAAAATGACCATGTATAGTGGATTTTCCCATTGAAAATGGTGATTTTCCATAGTTATGTTAGTTTACCAGAGGGTATCCTTTATATTGGTGCTGGGTAGAATCCATAGGAATTCCGTTCACCAAGCCCTCCATGAAATGGAGCCACGACGGAGCCAGGTCCGAGAGATCTATTCGATGGCTGGTGCCAACCAGGGCATTTTAGTGTCCAGCCACATCTGCATGCTTCATGCAATGGCCGAGGGGGCCAGGACGACCGAAAAAACCGAGATCTGGTTGTGTCACAGCTGTGTCACCCTTGGCTTTTGACGAAGATTTGGGTCTGCCAGGTCGGGGATGAAGAACGCAAGGCTCTTGAAGTAAAGCACAGAACTGCATCCCCAAAATATCCCAAAATCGGTTCGAATGATCTAAGATTCATTGGCATAACTGGGCATTCCACATTTTCTGAATGATTTCAGCATGCAGATCCCTTTTGGCCAGGATGATCCTCATTTTGGCGCCCATCACTCACAATGAGGCACTTGCATTTTGCTGCGAGATCCAGCTGGTTTCTACGAAAGAAAAACCGTTTTGATCATTGGCTCTTGGGGGGATTTTAAATTATTGTAGATTCATAGTTTTTTTTTTGGACCTACTTTCTAGATCTTTCTAGTTGATTTGGAGATTTGACTGCTTTCAAATCTGGAAGTTGAAACGCTGCCAGCCGGTGACTTGTTGGATGTTGATTGATATGGGTATGGATCAATACCTATTAATACCATTTTTAGTGGGATGAACATCCATTTACCAGCTATTTTGATGTTCACCAGGGGTACAAGGTTTTGACACACTGCCATATACAGATTCGATTCTTGGTCGTATCCCTGATGTCCCAAGGATACCCCTCCTGCCCCCAGGTTCCATTGGTTGAACCCTCTCCCCAAGTGGCCGAAAGTCGCAAAAAAATGACCAGGTACTCGTAGACGTTAGGCGCATGATGAATATGTTTATATTATAATATGTTTCATATTTTTTTCATGGCAATCAGTGTTTTATGATTGATATTGATATTTTGTACAGTGGTTCAGCAGTTGTTTTTTCGAATTTGGCTCTTGGGCGGCTCGTTTTGTTCGTTAAACGATGATTCATTTCTCATATCATTTTCCCAGTACATGGGCCCTCAAGCCCTGGGGGCGAGAAACCATGAGAAAGCCGTATACTGTACGGTGAGTATGGGGTATCGTCAAGATGGGAATGGGAATGGCTCAACAATGCTCAACATATGGGCATGGCTCGAAATAAATGGTTCAATACCAAGATTTGCCATTCCCATTTATTGAACCATTTATTTTGAGCCCATGGTTCTACCCAATGGTTCAATAACATTGCTGGGTCCTGCTGGGTAGACTTGGACAGAGAGAGAGCCAAGATTTGCCGGCGAAAGGCAGACTACGACGCGTTCCTGACGCCAATCATCAGTGGTTTTTTGTGGAACGTCATGGTCCTTGGGATCTGACGTGGGTTTTTCTGAGAACAAGGGAAGAACATCCATATGGAATAGACCAACATGGGAATCAGAGGATCACATGATCACATCTAAGTGGGATGTTTAGCATCAAACATAAGAAGTTCGACCATCAAAGATGAAGATTCAACCAGCAAACCTGTGATTGAACCATCACATGGACAGATACCCGACAAGAATGAGGGACAAGGCTCAAACATTGGGTGAAAAAACGACAATGATTCCAACCTGTGGTCGATTGTGGTGTTTTTTGTGTTCAACCACAGAACTTCTGGGTGAATAAATGGGCTAACGCCCTGGTGCCGCCGACCCCCTCATTAAGGGGGGGGCTAGGTAGGGTTTGTGGATGGAAAGACACAAAAGTCGTGGAAAAACACAAACAAGTCGCGGACACGGCGATGAAATATTTCAAAACTGGAATTTGTTGTGTGCTCAGCATTGACACCAAAAATGTTTGAATAAAATGTAGAGGATTGCCTGTTGGGGCGGAGATACACTAGCAGCGGGCTAAGAATGATATGGTGAATCGAAAGCTGCTGCGAGGCTTTTGAGGGTTTTAAGGCCTGCCCAAAACGTGCCACGCGGCAGTTTCGAAGCCCAATAGAAACAGCTTTTGGGGCCAATAGGGAGGCACCATGGCAAAGCAAGCGGGACGCTTCGAGAGCTGCTGCGGAGGGTTGTGCGGTGCTGAGGCCTTCGAAAGCTCCTGCGAAGCTTTTGAGGGTTTGAAGGCCTGCCCAAAACGTGCCACGCGGCAGTTGCGAAGCCCAATAGAAACAGCTTTTGGGAGGCACCATGGCAAAGCCAGCAGGACGCTGCGAGAGCTGCTGCGGAGGGTTGTGCGGTGCTGAAGCCGTCGAAAGCTCCTGCGAAGGTTTTGAGGGTTTGAAGGCCTTCCCAAAACGTGCCACGCGGCAGTTGCGAAGCCCAATAGAAACAGCTTTTGGGGCCAATAGGGAGGCACCATGGCAAAGCCAGCAAGACGCTGCGAGACCTGCTGCGGAGGGTTGTGCGGTGCTGAAGCCGTCGAAAGCTGCTGCGAGGCTTTTGAGGGTTTTAAGGCCTGCCCAAAACGTGCCACGCGGCAGTTTCGAAGCCCAATAGAAACAGCTTTTGGGGCCAATAGGGAGGCACCATGGCAAAGCAAGCGGGACGCTTCGAGAGCTGCTGCGGAGGGTTGTGCGGTGCTGAGGCCTTCGAAAGCTGTCCTGAAAACGTGCTTGCTAGAAACAGCTTTTGGGGCCAATAGGCTTTTGAGAGGTTTTAAGGCCTGCCCAAAACGTGCCACGCGGCAGTTTCGAAGCCCAATAGAAACAGCTTTTGGGGGGGCCAATAGGGAGGCACCATGGCAAAGCCAGCAAGACGCTGCGAGACTGCTGCGGAGGGTTGTGCGGTGCTGAGGCCTTCGAAAGCTGCTGCGAGGCTTTTGAGGGTTTTAAGGCCTGCCCAAAACGTGCCACGCGGCAGTTTCGAAGCCCAATAGAAACAGCTTTTGGGGCCAATAGGGAGGCACCATGGCAAAGCAAGCGGGACGCTTCGAGAGCTGCTGCGGAGGGTTGTGCGGCGCTGAGGCCTTCGAAAGCTGCTGCGAAGCTTTTGAGGGTTTTAAGGCCTGCCCAAAACAGGGTTGTGCGGTGCTGAGGCCTTCGAAAGCTCCTGCGAAGCTTTTGAGGGTTTGAAGGCCTGCCCAAAACGTGCCACGCGGCAGTTGCGAAGCCCAATAGAAACAGCTTTTGGGGCCAATATGGAGGCACAATGGCAAAGCAAGCGGGACGCTGCGAGAGCTGCTGCGGAGGGTTGTGCGGTGCTGAAGCCGTCGAAAGCTGCTGCGAAGCTTGTAAGGCTTGCCCAAAACGTGCCACGCGGCAGTTTCGAAGCCCAATAGAAACAACTTTTGGGGCCAATAGGGAGGCACCATGGCAAAGCCAGCAGGACGCTGCGAGAGCTGCTGCGGAGGGTTGTGCGGTGCTGAAGCCGTCGAAAGTGCTTTTGAGGGTTTGAAGGCCTGCCCAAAACGTGCCACGCGGCAGTTGCGAAGCCCAATAGAAACAGCTTTTGGGGCCAATAGGGAGGCACCATGGCAAAGCAAGCTGCTGGACGCTGCGTGCCACGCGGCAGAAGCCCAATAGAAACAGCTTTTGGGGCCAATAGGGAGGCACCATGGCAAAGCAAGCGGGACGCTTCGAGAGCTGCTGCGGAGGGTTGTGCGGTGCTGAGGCCTTCGAAAGCTGCTGCGAGGCTTTTGAGGGTTTTAAGGCCTGCCCAAAACGTGCCACGCGGCAGTTTCGAAGCCCAATAGAAACAGCTTTTGGGGTCAATGGGGAGGCACCATGGCAAAGCAAGCGGGACGCTGCGAGAGCTGCTGCGGAGGGTTGTGCGGTGCTGAGGCCTTCGAAAGCTGCTGCGAGGCTTTTGAGGGTTTTAAGGCCTGCCCAAAAGGTGCCACGCGGCAGTTTCGAAGCCCAATAGAAACAGCTTTTGGGGCCAATAGGGAGGCACCATGGCAAAGCCAGCAGGACGCTTCGAAAGCTGCTGCCAGGGAGGGTTCTGCGGTTCTAAGGCCGTATACAAAGGTACCATGGTAAAGCCAGCACAGGGCCATGCCGCACACCTACGGTGATCCCAGGCGCCGCCCCGCCTAGGCCAAGGCTAGGCAGGGGTCGGCGGATTATGTATGATTTTACAATTATGTATATATACATATATATATACATATATATATGTATAATATGTCTAGTTATGTATGTACATATCTTGAGCCATATCTACTTGCTAAATCTCAAGATCACATTTGCTTGTTCAAGCTCTCAAGCGTTTTTTCACTTACCATTCCCCCAAAATGAGAAAGGTGGCACGAGAAATATTTAAGTAGAGACCTCATAGTGACCGCATGAATCTTGGTTGAACAGGATGATGTTGGCTTCCAGCTGCCAAAGCACACGTTTATCGCTTCATATCATATGGATCTCTCCAATGGTCCGGGGTGACTCCAGCAGTAAATCCCGGCCTCAAATCCCACCACACCGACTTTGTGCCTCTAGATCCCTCCAATTTTCCAGTTTTTTCCAGATTCCTCAGATGTTTGTTTCGAAAAATTGCCCCATTCCCAGCAAACCATGTTGTAATTCCCGATTTTCTCGAATTTTCTCATAAACTCCAGCTTTTTCATAGCCAAACAAACTCCTAAAACCCGAGGTCCGCGCTGGCGTCTTGGAGCGTTTCCTCTTCGTGGCGAGTTGTGGCTGGAAGACCTGTAGCCGCTGCAACCTGCTACTGCAGAAGGCGTGGGGAGGTCGACAGCAAGGGGGATGAGGTAGAAAATCATGCAATATAGCGGCAACGCATTGGAATATCTCAGGACATGTTGGGAACTAGTGGAAACCAAGCAGTTGATGGGAATATGATGTTTTTTTCACAAACTAAGAGGAGGATTAACTGAATTGAACCAGGAAAAATGGTAGTATAATAGGGATATCACGGGGGTATAACATGGTATAACCAACTATTAGCTGGCGAACGAATGGACAAATGGATCGTAATGAGGGTTGGAAATTTCTGTGGTAGACCCCTCCAATGTTGCCAGAACATGCCACTGGGTGTTAAAATCCGGCTCCAAATGGGTCATGGCATTGGGTGAAAACCACATGTTCTTTGTCAAAAAATCATGGTAACTGTGGTTTGGTTTGATAATATGATAATGTGGTACCGCATATGTCTTTGATTATGATTTGGTTTGACTGAACATTTGTTTGCCAAGATTCCCCAAAATGCATATTTTGTCAAAAGGAATCTGAACTGATGATTGAACAGTGGATGGAATGGGGTAATTGCATCATAATCATAACTGACCGATTTTTCAGACAGACCCATGTTAAGTAACTAGTCTATTAGTCTATTAGATACAGAATTGGCTGCTTGATTATAGCTGACCATTGAGACACCATTGTTGATTAGCACTGTAATGATGGTGGATGACAGTACTTAGTAAGTGGTGAAGATAGTAACTGTTGATAAGTTATTCATGATAAGTGATAAGGGTTTTATATAATGGCGGCAAGAATGATTACAGTAGAAGCTAGCGAAATAACAATGGTGGGTTAAACACCCTGATTATCATTCAATCATAGTTCATTAGTAAGTTGATAAACATGGTATAAACATGTATAAGCTGTCAAGAACAATGTTTAGGAACCGGGTAGTGATTTGATGGTGATGACGAAGCAGGGATTCCACGAATGAAGTGGATGTGGATTTAGGGGGCCCCTTCGGAAAAAAGAACTTTCAAATGATCAATCGAAAGATACATTGAATGAATATATATATAGATAACTTATTCTCGGAACTTTAAGCTGGTTTGGTATACCATCCTACTATAGATGGATGCATCCACATATATATATATATATGTATATCTATTATATATATAAATATAATACATATATATAATTATATATATATGTGTATATACATATATATATATATGTATATGCATACATATATATATATGTCCAAATGTATAATAGATTTCGAATACGTATAGATCACTTAAACAGCTTCCTCCCGCTTGGGGGTTAGACCCCTCTGCAGGTGAAGTACTCCACGGGCTTTCCGCGCTTCTTCGTGCTGGCCGCCATTGCTGCGGTGCGTGGCTGTTTCCGGGAGGTGTTGCCGGCTGGGCAGGAGCCGGTTGGCACATGGGTTGCTGTTCTTTCTCCGCATTTTTTTGGGAAGGGCCAAGGATTGTTGCGAATTGTTGAGGGGAGAGGTTTTCCATGGATTTTTCAGAGGTCCTTCATTTAGAGCAAACATAACTTTTGGGGCCCCCAGCACCCTGTGGAGGAGAGATTGGGTTATGCTATTCTCTGCTTGCTGCTGGCGGACCTTTCGGAGAATCTGGTGAGTTGGATCCTGAAGTCTTGTGGTTGGCAGGCCTCGTGGTGAAAGATCAAGGGAGTCGCCTAGGCTATCCCAGCCTTAAGGTGTGACTGGAGAAAGTGTAAGTAATCGGTTAGTAAGCATAGTACAGAATTGTCCAGTAATCTCAGTCATCTCCCTAAGTTCTACCGGAATTATCCGGAATTAAGTACTTGGATGGTGATCCAGGTCAGTCATATGGCTACCATCATCCCCCGTTGTTGGCCGTTCGAACCCCTCATATTTTGCCGCTCAAATCCCCATTTTCTCTTAATTTTCCTCTGTATAACGAACCAACTTGTTTAAACAATTTTAAACATATTAATGTGGGTAAAACAATAAACCATCCCCCAGTCACCATTTTTGGTGGTGTCACCATCTCCAAATTTTCGCTTTCCACGTCTTTCCACCGACCCCATCCCCGCCATGGCGCCAGGTCTACCCCGAGTGGCGCCCGCTGTCGCTGGAGCAGCTGAAGTCCCTGGCGGCGGCGCAGCTGCGGCGCCGGGCCGCGTCCATCGACTTCGACGCCGTCGGCGGGGCCCTGGCGCAGTCGGAGAACACGAAAGGCACGGCGTCGCGTCGTGGCGTGGGGGGAGTCGTAGATTAACGGGGGATGAACCAACAAGAATCGCAATATAAGTGGAATATCATGGAATATCAAGGGATATATATATATACACGTATATATACATATATATATATATATGTATATATATACACACGTATATATACACGTATATATACATATATATATATATATATGTATATATATATACACATATATATATATATAATATACTGTAGATAAACATAGATATATAATGGGAATCTAAGATACAACCCCAGCAGGGTAGGTTACAAGTGGCTTGGCCGCGGGAGCTACGAGTGGTCATTTTCGTTTAAATGGTTCTTGTAAGCCACGCAAAGTGCCCCAGATCCTTGGCCCAGTTGGTAAAAAATAGTATATTAGCTGTTGGGTTTATCGTGATTGCCGGATTGATAAACCATGCTTTATTAATTAGGCGGGTACCCTCCAAATAGTGATAATATGATACTTAATTGGTACCCCCCAATGAAGCAGCCCAGGGGCTTATTAATCCGGGATTGACATCATATATATATATATATATATAGATATATATATAGATACTATAGTTAACGGGGTGACCATAAAACAACAAACATTATTGGGGGGCACTGCTTTGTACCAAACATTATTGGGGGGCACCCTTCAGATATTTCAGCAACAGAATGGTTGGATACTGTATTTCTTTTGGAAATCTATAGGGATATAATTACTGGAATAGAACCAACAATGCGGGGTATGTAGGTCTCTCTGAAAATGGGGAATTTAACTAAATTTATTGGAATTGAAAAGGGGACACCTGATACTGTAATTAAGCATCACATGTTTGGGTGCCAAAATTTCTGACAAACCCGTATGAATGTCAAAATTCGTCATGGTTGTGGTAGAGATATACTTACTTACGCATCGATTTTGGGAGGGGTTGATAGCTTCTAAACAGCATTAAATGAATGTAGCTGATGTATGTAGATTGTACTATGCACATAATTTGGTTAGATAGGTCCATAACACAAATAGGGTTTGCATAAGTGAGCTTGACCCAGACAAAGCCGGAAACTTAAACTTAGCAACGAAAATTGGAATTATATTAACATAACAGAACATTTTTGAAACGATGATATGCGTACAATATCTCAATGATATGCATAGAATAATTCAAAAAGTGGGACATTTAGCAACTGAAATGGGAGTCTACAAACATAGAATTGGATGATGGGAAAATTAGGAAAGCCCTATATTTGATGGTAAAAACTATGGTTTCCGGTTAAGATTTTCCCAACAAAACCAATCCAATGATACAAACTAACACGGATGGATCCAACGTCATGTAACCTCTGCGGTGCCATGACGGGAGCTTTTTGCGCCAGGTTTCAGAGAGGAATGTTGGAAGCTGAGAACCTTGGACGGACTCGGTGACGATGGCGAGTTTTGGGGATTTCCGGAGAGCTTCCCAATACTAAAAAAAAGAACACGGGGAAATCATAACCCTTTCATTAGGCCATGGATTTTTAATGGATTTTTAATGATGTTTTAATGATTTTTAATGATTTTAAATGAATTTTAATGATTTTTGAATCACCACAATTGGGGTGATGGATGGTCAATATTTTTGAAGTCATCGCCGAAACTATGGATGTTTACCGGCTAGAAGATTTAATTCTACTTCGTTGGTGGTTCAAGGCTGTTGAATGCCTTGGTTTCCGGCTGTACCCGATGCTTAACAAGGACGGTCACATTACTTGCACCCAAGTACACGACTTCATGGAAGTAGGTTACACTGAACTAATCCTCAAACTTTCCACTTTCAGTTTACTTTTGGGGCATTTATCTCCCCAACCTTAAGTCCTAGACTTGATCCTGGATGACATTCTGCATGGGGGCGGCATAGAAATTTCGGTCCTTTATCCATCCATCATTTAGAAAGCGTTCCTAATGGTGAATCTTGTCACATTTTCATCAACATTCAAGTCAGCCAGCTTGTGCATGCAATCTTTGAAACCCACAAATCTCACGCATTTTTCGGAAGCCGAGGAGCTCGGTTTGACTTTCTCTATGGCAAAGAAGATTGGGAAATCCTCCCTTTCTGGGCGCATGTGGTGCCCGTGTTCATCGCCCAATTCCACACCTTGCTGTGCATCATCTTTCTCTGCAACGGCTTGCACTATGTCTTGGGCTTTTGTCAAGATTCTCGACCTGCTAGTAGCTGCTAGGGGGTCAACTTTATAAACCCCAGAAACATCCATTAACCGTAGTTACATCGTTCATAATTCACCATGGTTATAAACAAACCAACTTAGCATAGTTATTTTTTATCCGCCATGATTGTAGTTGTATCGTCCAATAACATCCATGAACCATAGTGTTATCCAAGTAATCGATTTAGCTATGTGGGCCGGAGGTGACATGGCTTCAGACCTGTTGTGACTGGCAATGGGAGGTCAATGGGGGGTGGGGCTGCGAATAATCCACCCATACATTGGAAATTCACGCCAAATATACGGTCCGTTGAACAGCCATCCATGGTCGAGGATCCTTCTGCAGGGGAAGAAGCTCCATGGAGTTCATGCTCCAAAAATCTCCTCACCAGTGGATTTGCTTTCCCTAGAAAATATGGAGGTTTCCTAAAATAGGGGTACCCCTGTTCATCATCCATTTTTGTAGGCTTTTCCATTCTAAACTTTCTAAACCATCCAGCTATTGGGGTATCTCCATGACTTGGGAAACCTCCATGTGGCAGTCGTCAGTCAAAGTCAGGGAAGCTATGATGGCATTGGACGTGCCCTGATGTGGTGGCCTTCGATGACTGATGAGATCTGTGGCTGACAGGCGTGGGGTTGGAAGATTCGTTTCCAGAAACTATCTATTTTAAATCTACTTTCACGGATCTTCAGGGTTGAGAGTTGAGAGGGGACACATTTCTCTCTTTTTTTTTGGGGGGTTACTTTTCTGGTTAAAAAAAACCAGGGATTTCCTGTGGATTTCCCCCTTGAATCATCCAGTGAAAGCTGGCACTGGAGCATCTCCCATCAACCTGGTGTTCCCCCCAAACAAGTTGGCGGTTTTGGGACCAACATCAGTTGGCCGCCCTGAGATCTGGGAGCAATTGAAGGTCCTCCCCCTCCTCCGCCTCCTCATCCTTGTCGTAGTATGACAGTATGTTATACTATGATCACCAGTATTACAGTATTCGTATTACAACAACAACAACACCAACACCAACACCAACACCAACACCAACAACAACACCAACACCAACACCAACACCAACACCACCAACAACAACAACAACAACAAGAACAACAACGACAACAACAACAACAAGAACAACAACAACAACAACAACATAAAATGTAATGTATGTATGTATGTATGTAATGTATGTAATGTATGTAATGTATGTATGTAATGTATGTAATGTATGTAATGTATGTAATGTATGTAATGTATGTAATGTATGTAATGTATGTAATGTATGTAATGTATGTAATGTAGGTAAGGTATGTCATGTAATGTATGAATGTATTAATGTATGTAATGTATGTATGGTGTAATGTGTGTAATGTATGTTGATGTAGCTGTAATGTATGTAATGTATGTAATGTATGTTAGTAATGTATGTATGGTATGTATGGTATGTATGGTATGTATGGTATGTATGTATGTATGTATGGTATGTATGTATGTAATGTATGTAATGTAATGTATGTATGGTATGTATGGTATGTATGGTATGTATGGTATGTATGGTATGTATGGTATGTATGGTATGTATGGTATGTAGGGTGATGTATGGTATGTATGGTATGTATGGTATGTATGGTATGTATGGTATGGTATGTATGTATGGTATGTATGTATGGTATGGTATGGTATGGTATGGTATGGAATGTATGTATGTATGGTATGTATGTATGGTATGTATGTATGGTATGTATGTATGGTATGTATGTATGGTATGTATGTATGGTATGTATGGTATGTAATGGTATGTAATGTAATGTAATGTGATGTAATGTATGTAATGTATGTAATGTATGTAATGTATGTATGTATGTAATGTATGTAATGCATGTAATGTATGTAATGTATGTAATGTATGTAATGTATGTAATGTATGTAATGTATGTATGTATGTAATGTATGTAATGTATGTAATGTATGCAATGTATGTAATGCATATAATGCATGTAATGCATGTAATGTAGTAATGTAGTAATGTAGCAATGTAGTAATGTATGTATGTATGTAATGTAATGTAATGTAATGTAATGTAATGTAATGTAATGTAATGTAAGTATGTATGTATGTATGTATGTAATTAATGAATGTATGTATGTATGTATGTATGTGATGTATGTAATGTATGTAATGTATGTAATGTAATGTAATGTACTATAATGTAAAGTATTGTATTGTATTGTATTGTATTGTATTGGTATGGATTGGATTGGATATTGTATTGTATGTATGTATGTATGTATTGTATGTATGTATTGTATGTATGTATGTAATGTAATGTAATGTAATGGTATGGTATGGTATGGTATGTATGTATGTATGTATGTATGGTATGTATGGTATGTATGGTATGTATGGTATGTATGGTATGTATGGTATGTATGGTATGTATGGTATGTATGGTATGTATGGTATGTATGGTATGTATGGTATGTATGGTATGTATGGTATGTATGGTATGTATGGTATGTATGGTATGTATGGTATGTATGGTATGTATGGGATGTATGGTATGTATGGTATGTATGGTATGTATGGTATGTATGGTATGTATGGTATGTAATGTAATGTAATGTAGTGTAATGTAATGTAATGTAATATAATGTAATGTAATGTAATGTATGTATGTATGTATGTGCATGTATTTGTATATGTATATGTGTATGTATATGTTTTTTTTTTTTTAAATATGTATATGTATATGTATATGTAGAACATTTTATAATAAGGTATATGTATGTATATATATATATAAATTATGATAAGGTATATGTATGTGTATATATATATATTATGATAAGGTGTATGTATGGTATGGTATGGTATGGTATGGTATGGTATGGTATGTATGTATGTATATATATTATGATAAGGTATATGTATGTATATATATATATATAAGTATAACATATTATGATAAGGTATATGTATGTATATGTATATACTGTATATTATGATAAGGTATATGTAATGTAATGTAATGTAATGTAGTGTAGTGTAATGGAATGGAATGGAATGGAATGTAATGTAATGTAATGTAATGTGTGTATGTATATATATATATACATACATACCATGATTCATATCATAGTTATGACGCCGATACTTCGTGCGCTTTCTCGCAAGCCCAAGGCAACGTCTGCTGGAGGTCGTTTGGTGCCGCTGCCGAATTTTTTGTTCCGCGTTGGACAGCAATCCGTGCGGCAAACCTGGGATCGAAGCCAAACATCATGGTTTTGCTTACCATGTAAGACACTATAGCACAGTAGTTGAAGGGTTTGCAACAACAGGTAGTTCTATGTTTGTTTATGGGTAATCCAAAGTTTGCTGTGGAAAGTGGATGAACATATATGGCACGTTTGTGAGATGATTCAGCTATCATGTTGATTTTCCACAGCTATAAAATAGATTGCCAGAGGGTCGTTTGATAATTGAAATAATGCTTGCTATTCTCACTCTACATTATGATCATTTTCATTCTGATTACTGTCAGCAGTCATCATGACTATCGTTGTCAGCAAGTCATTATTACATACTCTGTAGTTGGTCTTTGAATCCTTGTGGAAAATACATCATTTAAGGACTCACAGTCCCCGAGGTCTGGGGAAGAGCTAATCCCAAACAGCAACAAACACAATCTAGCAGCGGTGTACATACGCAACACCCATTTCTCCATTGATTATATGCTATTGTATATATATATATTATAACATTATATACATTTATATACTATATTCATATTGATTGTTTGATTCCGGTTCCAGGTGAAACTTTCATAGTTGCAGCGATGGCCTGGCTGGGAGCTTTCCGCCCCTTACGTGCGGCAGCGAAGGTGGAAGGAGATCTGCAAGATTCATGGCCACCCCCAGCCCAACACTGAACAAAGCTGGAAACTTCTAACTCTGGGGGTGACACACGAGACGTATCATCCTTTTGTTAGATCCAGTATTTTTTTGCTTGGGTTTTGTGGGGTGATAGACTTCCCAGGCGGGAGATACGGGACTGTCCCGACAACCAGGGTTTTCCTACCTACTAACCAGGTTTTTTCAGTGGGATGATCCTCCAAGTAGCTGCAAGACAAGGCTCCAATGAACACAGCAGCAGTTGGATGACCCATGAAGCATCAGAAGAAACGGGTTACTATACGTTAGGTTATCCACCCACTGTTTGTTGAAGGTCTATACTTGGATGGGAATGGGGTTCATAAATTCATACCCGTGTTATAAGTATATTTTCATATGGAATATCCGGAGTCAATACAACTTGTGAACCACTTGTGAACTGGGATACACAACCAAGCCAGTGGTGCTCAACCACTCGACCTGGTTGCGGCTGCCGTTTTTGCACGTGAGTTTTTTGGCGGTTTTCAACAGCAGAGCTGTGCTTCGGCCATGGCATGTGACCTGGGTGGGGAAAATGACCCATGACCCCCTCGGTGCATTTTAAGTGTCGTCAGAGCCGTCGGTGATGCGACGCTGGCCCAAAAGAGTTGGGAAATTGAAATGCTCGGCACGAATTGCCTCAACATCGATCATACCAAATATCATACATGATCATCCATAAATATCAATAAATATCCATAAATAGCCATAAATATTCCAGAATTGCCACTTAAAAACACACGTGGATTCTTTTGGGGTTTCATAGGAGTCATGTCTTCCGCCCCAAGCCCTTAGCAGCTTAGCAGTGAGAGGACCTTAAAAAAATCGATCCCCCAAAGCCTGGTATCTTCTCCTGATTGGTGGTTCGACATACTTTCACGTGTTTGAATATATATATATATACAGTATCCACACATCCAGTACATCTATTACTGCAACATGTATATATATATATATATATGTACAGTATATATAGTAAACATATTATCAACATATATATATAGAATACAATATAACTATTCTCATATATATATATGTATATGCACATATTAAAACCATATGTCATATATAATGTAGTCGCTTTCCATCCCTTGGGATGATGCCCTCAGCTATCGCCGAGGTAACCTGGACCCGAGCGTGAAGGCGATGCAAGCCGCACGCATGGCTGCGGGGCGTTTCTTTTCCGTGAAGGACGATGATCCGAAGCGTGCCGTTCCGATCGAGGGATGATCCGTCCTGGATTTTGAACCGGTTGGTGGCTTCAAAGATGTATGGGGTGATGATGCTTAATGATGGTTAATCATGGTTAATGATGGTTCATAATCTCTGGTGGTTTCAAACATTTGGATTATTTTCCATAGTATACAGTATATATATATGGGATGTTATCCTTCCCATTGACAAACTCATATTTTTTTAGAGGGGTTGAAACCACCAACCAGTGAATGATTTCATGCTTTTGACCAGAATGTCATAGAATGTCTGAAAAATAAGGACACATACCAGTAGTACCCGCGGGAGGCGGGGCAGAAGTTGCCTCAGGGTTATACTATAAGACCTTCTTCATCGAACTTGCGTGCGCTGTGCGCCACCCAGGCCTGTGCGTGCTTTGTGCGAACCTGTTGCACTGTTGTTATCCAAGAACATGACCTGCGCACGACCACTTTTCACAGTCCGCACTCCACACTCCGCACTCCGCACTTCACACTCCACACTTTGTCTCATCTCATCTCATCTCATCTCATCTGAGCTCTTCTCACCTCATCTCACCTCATCTCAGCTCTTCTGATCTCATCCCATCTCTTCTCAGATGTCATCTAAGTTCTTCTCAACTATTTTCATCTCATCCGATCACAACTCAACCTCTCTCATCTCATCGAAGCTCTTGAAAGCTAATCTCAGCTCTTCTGTACGTCAGAAAGCTTTTACTATCAGAGAGAAGCTCTTCTACACAAAAAGATACAAAAAGCGTTGCACGCAGAAAGCTTCTGCACAGAGAATTGTTTAGACTCAGACACAGATGCGTTCACACAGAGAATCTTTTAGCTTTTCCATATGGGAACCTTTTACATAGAGAAGCTTTTGCAGACAGAATCTTTTACACACAGAAGCTTTTACACACAGAAGCTAATATTACACAGAGGCCCTTTTTTTCGCACCTTGTATGGTCATCAACTCATTTTCAGTTTGAATTTCATCTGATGTTCGGATTCCAAGTATCCCATGTAACTTGACCATGCCAACTGCGTTGAAGGGGTTCAATGGACGTTCAATGGTTTAACATGGTTTAACACTGAATGACATGCCCATTGTTGGGATGGGATTAGCGTTCCCATTTGTGGATGTCCAACTTTGATTTTTAACGCCAAACCTGCAGACGCGCATCCAAGACTCGGTGATGCAGAGGTTTGGGTACCCAGAATCGTCAAAATGCCCGGAGAATTACTAATTATATACCTAGTCTCCCACTTGGATGACAGGTTGATGCTTTCAAGTATTGTTTCTTTCTTCCAGAGAAATCCAGACAATGCAATTTGTTTAACCAAGATGATGATTTCGAGTTTTTTTTTGGGGGGGTACCGGCAGCCCAAATGATTTTGGCTGTAAGTTCGCCAGGAGAAGCATCCAGAGGTGCAATGCCGTGGTGACTTGACAGGGGTTTACAAGGTCCCCTTGTTGCCATGCCCCAAGTGCCCAAGTTATCACCATTTTTGATGGGTTCTTCGGTTTTTCTTCGGTTTATGGCATTTATGGCATTGGGTTTATTATGGTTTATTACATTATGATACATTATGTGGCTTTAACATGCTTGAAAAAACTAGCTGAGAAAGAGACCAGATTATATGTATTAATGTATTACCTGTATTCCAATTCTGTGGTGGGGACCCTGTTCTTGGTGCCGACCACGTGATGTTGCAGTCACATTCCATGACCCTAGAAAACATAGAAAAACACCTTGACATACCTTGACACGTTTGAACCGTGTATTTTTTTCACAAGTCTTTTGAAGTTTCTGCCCAGTACCCAGCTGTTTGTTTCCAACATCGCCAATCACTACATCTGACAATGGAAGAAAGTTTGATGGTGAGCTTCCGAGTTAACCAATTTTCGGACCAATGCCAGCTACCCAATAACAGCAAGTCACGCTGAACTCAATGGCCATTTAAGGGGTGTAGCCTTGGTCAAAAATCAGCCACGGAGCCTGGGCATGGCCCAAAAGGCAACTGGCGGTGTTTTTTCAGGCCGAAACTTGATGGTGTTTAGTAAGGGAAACTCCAAAATCACCACGCATTTCAATAGGTTTCAATTTTGGGACATCTTCTAATCATCCTTCCAACGTGGTGCCCCCTTCGCATGGCTCCAGAAAAACTCCCAGGAGAGGACACGCGCAAGGAACTCCAGAGCATCGAGAAGTTTGAGCTGGAGCCGGGGGGAGGGTTAGGAGGGTTGGGGTAGATGGGTGGTAAACATATATATATATATATGATATGTTTATATAATATATGATATATATATATATGAGTATTGGGGTATATGTAGGATATATGATATATGTAAACAGTGATCTTCAATGATATTCATATATCATACATATATCATATACATATTTAATATTTAGCACCCAGAAGGTTATTCCATTGAACCCATCTCAGTTGGTAAAGTTGACGGGTGGTTGATAGATGATGTTGAATATTTGGTGATATCGTGTGATGCTGTATCGTGTGATGCTGTTGTGATATATTGTTGATGCTTGGTTGATGGCTGGGGGATGGGGATTTACACCAACATACCAAGGGAGTTTACCAACAGGAAGGGGACACATGTTCAGCAATTTTCAGTGGATGTGTGAAAAATTGAAAAGTGCGGAGTCTGAGTCAAATACCCTCTGGTAAACTAACATAGCTATTGAAAATGGCCATTTATAGTGGATTTTCCCATCAAAAATGGTGATTTTCCATAGCTATGTTAAATTACCAGAGGGTAATGGGACTTTTGGACTTTGGAAGTCTGGATCGCCAGTCTTCGTACTGGAGTGGGTGCAGTTCCACTTATTAATGTTTGTGGTCATATTTTATGATAGCCAGAGCTATAGGGGTTATATATTATATGGTTATATTTGGTTATATCCCAACTGATGGGGGCTATTCCCACGGTCATACAACAATAAATGCCAGCAGATAGCGGTAAGTAGCTGGTTTGCCCTCTGAAAACTGACGAAGCCCCAAAGCTTTGGAGTTGGACGATGATCTCCCCAATGGAGATTGCAATTCTTCCATCAAAATTCCAGTCGTGCAAGCTGTTCGATACCCATTTGTCACATTCTTGTTGGCAGAATTTCATTTTTTTTTGTGGGTGACATCCCAAATATTGGTGGACTTCATGTTAGTCTAACTGTAAATCCACAGTTGTGTTGCTTGGAACCTACTCACCCTCCAGGAAGCAGTGCACTTCAACTACCCCGCACGGCCCGAGGTGGACATTTTTATGGCTAGACCGCTGTGAAGGCTTCTTTTTGGTCATGGAGGTTATATAATCCCACCCCCGTTTTTTTAGTAAACAAGATGTAGTCTTTATGCACTTTTATGGACCAACTGGAAATTGAAAATCATTGGGAATATAGAATAATCCCTATCTCCTAACTATTAGGACCTAGTATTAAACATACCATTCCTGTTGTCCCATTCTGCTTGCAATTTCATCCCGTACTAAACCCATGGTTTCCTGGGGGTGTTTAATATGAATGGGGCAAGGGAGTACTTGTTGATGATATTTCTTAGTTCATTCTGATAATTCTGGTTGCCGGCTTCATAAAGTAAGATGTTCAACGATACACCAAGTAGTTATATACTTGCTGATTAGTTCTTTATTAATTGTTTGGGAGTTTTGCAGCTGGTTGATTGGGAAACATGGAGTGGCGCATGGAACTCCGTTTGCAGCAATCTGGACAAACCTTGGTTGAATAGGACATAGCCAGCAATCCCAAGAGATAGAATCGTGTTTCGTGTCAGGTGGTTTGGTTATAGAAGACATTTAGTAAATATTTGCAGGTTTCCCGGATTTTCTATCATTTTTTCGGGTTCGGGGTTCGTCTGTGCACGTCAAAAGTGGGTCGTTTGTGCACGTCAGACGGTTGGTCGTCTGTGCACGTTTTTGTTGTGTGTTTTTGTCATTGTATCTCTGTAACATGATTCTTCTTCTAGCTTTTTTTAAACATCATCACACAACTCATCAAGTTATGTTTTTTTCCTCACATCTCTGTGAGGGGCTTTTGTTTTTAGGTTTGTATTCCTTGCCTTCTCCTCCTTCTCCTCCTGAGTTGCTTCTTTCTCTCTCAACTTCACCCAAATTGTCTCACACAACTCACAGAACTCATCCCAGACAACCCCTCTCATCTCACAAGTCACAGAACTCGTCTCACACCACTCCACTCACCTCACAACTCACACAACTCGTCTCATCTCACAAGTCACACAACTCATCTCACACAAGTCATCTCTCACAACTCATCTTACACAACTCAACTTACTCAAGAGCTGCTTTCGTGTGCCATTTGGTGGAGCTGCTTTCGTGTTCTCTCACTGAAGTTCACCCAAGTTCTTTCACACAACTTATCTCACAACTCACACAACTCATCTCACACAACTCCACTCATCTCACAACTCACAGAACTCATCGCACACCACTCCGCTCATCTTACAACTCACACAACTCCTCTCATCTCACAAGTCACACAACTCATCTTACACAACTCATCTCACATGAACGTTATCATCCCAGCCCACCCCACCCCACCCCACCCACCCCCCCTACCCCCACCCCCCCAAGGGTAACTGATCATGAAAGAGCAGTGCGTGTAAGTGCTCTACAGCAAGAAAGATGATGAGGTTGCTGTGCGTGTGCAGCATAGGAACATGAACCTTATTAACTCACCCCACCCCACCGGTAACTGATCATGAAAGAGCTGTGCCTGTCTCTGCTCTACGGGAAGAAAGATGATGAGGTTGCTGTGCCTGTGTGTGCATAGGAACATGAACGTTATCATCCCACCCCACCCCACCCCACCCCACCCCCCGCAACCAAACCCGAAATGGCTGGCTCCCAGCCTCAATGTGCGCGGATGACCGCTCTTTGTGCGCGGATGACGCGGTTTCTCTGTGCGCAGATGACTCGTTTGCAATGTGCGCAGATGACTCGCTTTCAATGTGCGCAGATGACGCGTTGACCATTTTTTCGGGTTGCGATACTATTAGAATTATTAGAATCTATTAGACTGCCTGTTTTGACGGATTCTGGCAGGCATCTAAGATTAACACCGGATAATGACTGGGCGAACTGGATGGTGGTACGTGAACATGGGCGGATTTTGAGCCATTTTGATGGACCTAGAGTTTGACAGGGTTTCTATTGTGAGCCCTGAAATGATAAGTGTATATATATATATAATACATATATATATATATGTATACAGTTCATATTGTCATATAGAATTCCATGCTGAAGTGCTGTTTTTTTTGGACACCGATTTCAGCTGGAGGAGATGACACGGTCTTTGATGATTTTGGAGCCTGAAATGATGTAAACATCAAATTCGATATGTTTCAAAAGTCTTGGTGTTTCTTGAAATTGTTCATTTGCCTTCAGGCCTTCAGATTATATATATATATCCCATATATGTATAGTTGGGATGATGAGTATTCCCAAAATATATGGAAAGTCATAAAATCCCATGGTTCCAAACCGTTTGGAACCACGGAATTTTATGTCTTTCCATATATTTTGGGAATACTCATCATCCCAACATTTCCGAAGTCCATCATTTTTCAGAGGGGTAGGTCAACCACCAACCAGTGATAATCTAATAGTTATCCCATGATCTTCCAGTTATATATATATCCCATATTAATATCCCAAATTAATATCCCATATTAATATCCCATATATGTATATGTAACAATATGTATACATGTATTTTTATCGTGTTTCCGTTACGACTGCAGATTCTGTCCAGATGAAGCAACCAGATGGGCATCCCTGCCAGGATTTCAAGGGCAAATATGCTCCATCTATTGGATTTATCCCATAGTTGGTTATATAAGTTATATATTATAGATTTTATACATATATATATAATATGATTATGCATAATACTATATATACATATACCCTACGTAGGGTATATATATATAGATATCCCCATTCTATCGCCCTATTTCATGAACATCCCGTAGGTGAAGATTCTGAACGGCCTCTCGCTGAGCATCAGCCGCGGCCAAAAGGTGGCCGTGGTGGGCGAGAGCGGCTCTGGGAAGAGCACGGTGATGGCCCTCTTGGAACGTACCTCGGAACCTGTGGGGAGCAGGCCGAGGCCAAACACGTTTAAAGGGACAAAGGGGAGGACGTGGGGAGTTCCATGGGAATATCATGGGAACATGTAGGAAAATTATGGGAAAATATGGGAAAACCACCGAAGGAATGGAGGTTTAAATGGGGATTTTGTGGGAAAAAAACAACTACATATGCGGATCTACTGGGGATATCATGGAATATAAGCAACAATATGGTGTATTTGGGTGAGTTCTCATTGTTTCAATTGGTTTCCGTTTGGAACATGATAAATATATCCATTCCATTCTTGGTGGACTTTCCACGTCTCTGTCTTAGGTGGTGATACATTTTATCATTGGAGGTAAACGGAGGACATGATCTAATGATCATGATCTATGGAAAATGGTGGAACATGACAATGACAACATCGTTTTTTTCCCAGGAAGCGATCCACTTTCATGGTGGATGTTTATAACACAAGTTGTGGTTTTTCTGGTTGACTTTGTGAATCATATCAATGGATTCGTGGATGGCCCTTCCAACATAGACTCGGCTGACGACCTTCTCCGGACAGGTTCTGCCCAAATTGATTGAAGATGTTTAAATCAAAGGGGGATCTCAATTTAAATTGGGTCCACCCACAGATTCTGAACTTGAATACCTAGGATTCATGGAACGATCTTGCCCTGTCCATAATCTATTGCGGACACCGAAACGGTCCGACGATCTTGTGCAGATCAAGATAGTACCCGGTCAATTTGAATTGTGATGCACCATGATGCACCATTGCAAATCAATGTTTCTTGTGTAGATTTGCCTTCAAATCCTTCAATACTGCACCGGATTTTGCCACAGCCCTCGGCTGTCGATAAATTGGAGCACCATATTTTGGTTGGGTGTAATCCCCATAATCATAATCCTTCATCAACCACGTTCTACTCATACTCAAAGAAAATAGGTGCGTCCAAAGAAAAAACGACTTCTCACCATTTTCCTCACTGGATTGCCACAACTTGGGGTGTCAGACCCCAGTTCGTTGAAATTCTGAGGATTCTACGATCCCTCAGCCGGGCGCGTCCTGGTGAATGGAGAGGACATGAAGAACTTCAAGATCTCAGCCCTTCGAAGGTGCATCGGTTACGTGGGGCAGGAGCAACTGAGGGCTGGGGCTGGGTACTTCATTTGATTTTCTTCTTCTCTGGGTAAATTCAATCATAATTCAACTGAGGTATCAAATATCATAATTCAATCTCTGGGTATCAAATATCATAATTCACTCACTGCAACCTCACTGAGGTCTATCTATCAGGTTAGTGAATTATGATTATGATATTTGACCCAGCATATTTGACGGGATGGAACTGGCCAGTGACAGTGAGCTTTTTGGTGTATCTGAAATGGGGTTGCTGCAACCCCTAATTAATAAATGGTCTCAATGAATAAGGAACATGCTAAACCAGGGGATTAAAATTGGGTACCAATTTTGAGACGAAGCCATTTCGTGGGGGAAAACCCTGGTGGAATCCGTTTAATCATGTTTAGTTTAATGTGAGGTAATTCAGGGGGATGGGATAGACCAGAAGTTTCCCAGCGTATACCTGGTAGGAGGCTTCTGCTGTTTCCCCTGACCAATAAGACGATTGAGCTTGCAGCAAGTACATATCAACATCGCGGTGCGTGATTTTGTATTCAGTCCTGATATGCAATGGAAGGAACACCTGACATACACCCCTAAACTGGTGGAACATGACCAAAATGGTGTGTAGCACCCAAGACCTTCGGTATCAACATCAACTTTTCAAACGGCAAGAATTTCGATGGCAAAAATCCCATGCCGCGGCGGACAACAAAAACATGGATTGAGTTGACTCATCAATCAATTATAACATATATATATAAATATCATATTTGACTCATCAATCAATCAATTATCATATATTATATGACATCTTTCAAGTCCCAGTTTCTCTCTCCAGCCCATGGATTGCCAGTCCACCGGTCCACAATCCCGCAGGAGCCTGTGCTTTTTGCCAGCTCCATTCGGCACAACATCATGCAAGGATTCCCCGATGCCACCAAGGAAGATTTCCAGAAGGCGCGACTTTTGAGCCGACGAGAGGTGGTCGAAGTGGGGATAGCCTGGTCTTGGCAAGCTGTTGCATCATGTGAAACAGGACATACATACGGAATGGATATATATATACATATATAATTATATATATAATATATAATATAATATGATATAATATAATATAGTAAAATTATATATAGAACATAATATAATATAATATAATATGCTATAATATAATATAATATAATGTAATATAATATAATATAATATGATATACAATACAATACAATATAATATACAATACAATACAATATAATTTAATATAATATAACATAATATGTATTGGTAGTTAAGACAGTATAGTCTGCCAACACCGAAAGGTCATAGCGTTTTTACCTCCAAGAAGTAAGTCATCCCAAATCTTAGCGGTTACATGCTCAAGACGCCACAAAAAGCTTCGAGGCCCTTGCCCTTTCCAAGATACTGGCTGTCCAGCCTGAAACGGCATAGTAAGCAAACCTAAAAGGTTGACATTGAACATATGTACAGTGCATGTTGTGATGTCAAAAAACGCTAGCCATTTCTTCACGGGACCACAGGTCACAGCTACCCTCTGGTAAACGCTTACATAACTATGGAAAGATCCACCATTTTCAGTGGGTAAATCCACTATAACTGGCCATTTTCAATATCAAACTGTTAGTTTTACCAGAGGCTATCATGAAGCCCAACCCCAACGGTGAAGCCCAAGGCATGTGCCGATGCCCAGCTGTCCTTTGTGGAGAATCTGCCGGAGAAGTACAACACCTTCGTGGGCGCCGGCGGCGGGCAGTTGAGCGGCGGCCAGAAGCAGCGTATCGCCATCGCGCGCGCCCTGCGACCTGGCGTTGGGGGCTGGGGGTTGGGGGATGGAATCTGGGACATCTTGGAATATGGGGGAAGTATAGAAAGGGGTAACCCTCTGGTTATGTCAAAATAGCTATTGAACATGGCCATTTATAGTGAGTTTTCCCACTGAAAAATGGTGATTTTCCATAGTTATGTTAGTTTATCAAAGGGTATCTTGAGCAATTCAGGGCGCACGACATACTCCCATGTAAATTAATCAAACTAAAAGCGTAGCCCATGCCACCATATCCCACCTCCAAGTCCCCGTCCAATAAGGTGAACTAATCCAATTAGGTAAGCCTGTGATTTTTTTTTTCTGCCCCAACTTTTGCGGTGACCTCGGCACATCTCGGCTACCGACCCTCGTCACATCTCGGCTCGGCTTTCCGCAGGTTGAAGAAGGCGTCGTTCCTCTTCCTGGATGAAGCCACTAGCGCCTTGGACAATACGTCGGAGAAGATGATCCAGCAGACCATTGATGCTCGCCGTGTCGGATGATTCAGGATGGGGATGGGATGGGGATGGATCAAGTTCTGCGATTTTTTGGGAGAATGGGGAAGGTAAAGATTCTAATTCAGTTGTTTTTTTTTCCGTGGTTTTGCAGTTTTGCTGGAATTGTTTAATCTGCTGTATTTTGGTGGATGATTTGATGTGTTTGGAGATGTTTTTTCTTGTCAGCAGTATGTTTGGGTGAATATGACCCATTCTTAGTTAGGTTTTGTTGTATGACGCAGTTGATGTGTTCCGATTTGGTTGGTGGGGATGTCATGGGGTGCAGGTGGTGTCTCCCACGAACATGCTGGGTGACTCTGTGTCTTTGAGAATAAAACACCAGGAACTATGATGAACACGTCTCCGCCTCACGTTCATTGCGAAAACATTGGTGAATGGTACCTGAATATTTTGATTCCAAGCGACTCTGATGGGAATAGTTCAAACCCAGCTAAAATGCTTATGAATGCTTATTCGTGAATTCATGACTGTATTCGCTCGGCATCCAAGGTTCGGAGTGAAGATGGTTCAATTTTCAAAATCATATGAATCTCCATGAATCTCCCCAAATCTCTCCATTTTCTGTTGGTAAAATCCATCCCTTTACCTTCACCGCCGTCATGTCCGGCCAAGGACAGTATCAGCTCCAATAGCGAGAGTGGCCTGGGTATTGTGAGCATCGCACATCGTCTTAGTGCCTTGGTGGGAAACTCTTCATGGGCTGGTGACGAAGACCATGCCGCCTCCCCAAAAGATAGAACCGCGTTTCCAGGATGATGAAATTTACTGAACATATTTCCAGCTTTCTCACTTTCCTATCTATTTGGGGGGTATAATCCTTTGCCAGTGTTTTGTGGCATGAGCTGATATCTAAGAATGCGGAATGCTGGATATCTTTCAGAATGCTGTAGATGGACTATATAGCCGTGTGGAAAGCGAGGCATAGAGAGGGTCAGGGTTGATGAAAACCCGGCCTCCGTCGGGCCTCGTCGGGCCTCGGGCTTCACCAGGCACTGTGAGGAACAGCGACCTGATCTACGTCTTGGGTCGTGGTGCCCTGTTGGAGAGCGGCAACCACCAGCAGCTGCTCCTCGGCCATGGAGGAAGCGATTGGTACCTACCTTTTTTCAAGGTCTAAGGGCTATGAAAGGGGATATATCATGATATATCCCCAAGAGATGGCGATGGAAATGTAGCTCCAGTTTAGGTACCCTGATATCCCAAGGATCAGAAGTGATATAGATCTACAGATCAGGAGCAACATTTGGGATTGAAGCAAGAGACAGTGTTGATTCACAGAGAGCCACAAAGTATCGGTCATTGAAAGAAGAAACAGTTTGCAAAAGCAGAAAAGGATAACAAAAAGGTTGGTCCAGGCTCGTTTCTATCCCATGTACCCTCTAACATAACTATGGAAAATCACAATTTCTAATGGGTAAATGAACTATTTCTATGGCAATTTTCAATAGCAAACTGTTAGTTTACCAGAGAGTAATCCATAGTAATCCCTAGAAAATCACTCTTAGTCACTATTAATCCCCGTTAATCCATAGTAATCCTTATACCAGAGGCTGTGGCTGGTCCAAAACATATCCACCTACTGGGTCTCCATATTAGTGCATGTGTCGAAGCCAGCGCACAGGGTGATTTTTGGTGGCTGTGCCTGTTTGGTCAACCATGAATCATTTTGGGTCAGTTATGAAGGCATATAAGGGGTTATATGGGGGTTTCCATAAATGGGGGTACCCCCAAATGGATGGTTTATGATGGAAAATGCCATTAAAATGGATGATTTGGGGGTACTGGCTACCCTAATTATTAAATTATATCTAGACAATATCCCAGTTTTGTTGCTGGACTCTGGATTTTTTTTTGGAGTCCCAAGAATCCGAGAATCAAACAAAAACCACCTGAGAAATGTCCAACATCTCTCCTGTTTTTTTTTTGGTCCCAAATGATGGGCACTACAAAATCATATCTGGATATTGGGTGGATAATATTGGTTTACCCTGCTGATTTACGCTTGATGTTTTCTTTTATGAATCCATCGGGGAACCCACAGGACGCAAACCAACCGGCAGCGATTTTCCATTGGTTCTCTGTGGGTTTTTGCGGGGACATGTGTCATGATTTTACCAGCTATAAACCTCCATTTAGTTCGTGGTTTTTCTCATGAATTTCCCATGATTTTCCCATATCTTTCCATATCTTCCCATATTTTCCAATGATTTTCCCATATTTTCCAATGATTTTCCCATATTTTCCAATGATTTTCCCGTATCTTCCGATATTTTCCCATGATTTTCCATCTTCAACGCCGGTCAGGATGGAAAGGAAGGGTGCCTACTATGCCTTGGTGGCGGCACAAGAATCTTCCGAGAAGGCGGACGACGCGGAGGACCATCAGTCGCTAAGCTACAAATATGGGGTCATAGACATGGACGACATATTTCTGTATCATTAATATACTGCATATGTTCCTACGTTATACTATACGTATATATATATATATATGTATATATGTATATATGTATATATGTATATATATATACATGTTCATATATGTAGTATGTATAAATGTGTAGATGCATATAATCCCATCCCATCCCGGAATCATACTGGACCAGTGAGCAGTTGGGGCTTCTGTTTGGATGTTAAAGGGGCATTGACCAGCAATAAAGGTAGGTTTCCAACAAATCTGAGCTTTATTCCACAAAACTCCGTTTCAGCGTGTGTCAAGCCCATGTTTCTCTTTTAGCCCATTTTTGGATGCTTTTCCATTAAAAACACCTCCATTTCTGGTGGATTTCCCGCCATGTTTGATTGCCGGAGGCTTCCCCATGACCACACCAGTCACATGTTGGTGCGTCAGATGAGCGAACAGAGTGGTGAGTCCCAGAACGCACGCATTGCACGTGAGAAGAAGGACATCATCGGATCTGGAAGGGCAAAGTCTGGATTAAAACCGTTGAAATGATGAATAGATATATGTATATACATATATATATATAGATAATTGATTGAATAGATTCTGAATAGATCATAAAGATTTCATAAATATTTACAAACGGGTTGATGAATTCACAAAATTCATGGAGATCAGATCCTGGGTATCGAGCTAAGTAGGTGAATGCTGGGCTTTATGAAGCGCCTAGATGACTTAGCAGGTTTTTTTGCGAACCACCAAGTCGAATTTCCCGATTTTGTAGAAGGTGAAACTTTACTTTTGGTGGTGATATAGTGATGAGCCCTGAATGTGATGTTTACTAATTTACAAAATGACTATGCGACAATGGGGGGGGTGCAAGGTTTATTTATTGTTTGTTTGAACCAACAAGCCACTCAAGAGCAGAGTTCCCCTGCAGATTTTGAACCAGTTCAAAGACATGCTGGGATGATATGGGTATTGGGGTATGGCGCACATGCGAGTAACGTTCCAGCATGAACATATTCAGATGGGGTGTGTCTTGGATGGTACTTCTTAGTGACCATCAAAGCTATCCAACTTGGGGTCAATGGTATCCACAAACCCTAAGAATCATCAGGCTTCGGCCTGAACATGTGAAAATGCCTGTATTTTCTCAATCTATCGTCGTTTTTTGTCGTCGTTTTTTAACCATTGTTGTCGCTGGTAGGACTTGTCATGTTTGAAGTGAACTTCTCATGTTTCACTGGTAGGAGGAAGAGGAGCGGGAGAAGAAGATTCAGAAGGACTACAAGGCCAGCGGGTAAGGAGAAACACCGAGGAAAAATGGAAGATTCAAAACAAAGAATTAAGTGTATATTTTGTGAATATAACCCATGGATACCCATGGGATGTACTCAAGAACTCTGGAAAAATCGGACGGAATGCGTACATATACTATTAATCATATTCAATATCTTGCTATTCTGATGTTGATGTATATATATATATATATATTAGTATACATACAGAATCTAACCGGCCACTTGTTCTCTTTTTTTAGGGTATCCAAGATTGGCCATGACAATGGATGTCTCAGTGGTGCCTCAGGTGCCAATGGGCCGCCTCTTTAGTTGCTTTGCTGCAAAAAAAGTTGCACTTTCGAACGGTTCCAGACGCTTTGTAGTCAAAGCTTGGTCTGAAAATAAGATACCTCCAAATCCAGTGGCTAATCACCACTATTTACCTATTTTCTGATAGTTATTTGGGAGCTAGAGCCCATTTTCAGCTCAGTTCCACGAATTTCACGAACAAACTACCAGCCGAGGCTCCACACTGCTGGGTCGTTCTGTCATGTGCTTCATCTCCTGAGGGGACTTATATAGATACAAACCTCTGGGTTGATGTCAATGTCGCAAAGAATTCTTGCTGGTGACCCTAATTTTTGTGATGTAGCCGCTTGATGTAGCCCTTTTTTCAACTGGAGAAATGATATATTTAAATATTGGTACTTGTTTTTTCTAAATATATCTAAATATATATATATTGGAAATATCTCGTTGATATTGGTACTTCATCTTCCCAGAACTGATTCAACTGCTAACCATCCCCAGAAATTTGCCAATGGGATCCGCAAAAAAGGGATGGTTTTCACATGGCCAATCTGCTTAGATGTGCAACTTGGAATCCTTTGAGTCCACCATTTTTTGGCGGAAAAAATCTGGAAACATCACCATCAAAAAAATCACCATCTGGATATTTTAAGGGACCATTTTCACACCCACATCCGCTGTGGGTGAAAATTGTATCCCAAATAATAAATGATATAATCGCATAGATTTTTAATGGTTTTCACATGAAGTATCCTCGTGAAATACCACCATTTTTTAATGGTTGAATTCCCACGTTTTTTTTTAGTCGTAAACAACATTATATCTAATTATATCCCATCAAATCACGATACAACACCCATATATAGTTGATGAGGGGTTCTTTCCATCCCCAATGTCTCACCAGATTTCCAAAAAAACTGAGCGGAACCAGCAGATCCCATAAAAGATCCCCATGAGATTCCAGTAAATTCCATTAAATGATCATATTTACTTGATAATATTTCATTTTATCCCCACATATATATATATAATTATATATATATATAATTATATATATATATATAATTATATATATATCATTTATTTGCCATTAATCTTCATATAAATCACCAATTTCCCCTCAACAAAAACCATCTAAATCCCACCCCTATGATATAACTGGACAATTTCCCATTCAAACCTCCTTTCATAGATGATGTTTCCCATGTTTTCCTATATTTTCCCCAAAAAAACCATACATTTCCCTGGCCGTAGCGTCCTAGCCGTAGCGCTCGGTTGGTGAAGCCCCGAGGCTACAACCGCCCCGAGTGGCCCTTCTTCATCCCCGCCGTGCTGGGCGCGTTGATCGATGGCTCTGCTATGCCTCTGTGCACCATCGCCCTGGTGGGGTCCATGAGAGGCAGGTGGTTGGTGGTTGGTACCCTCTGGTTATGTCAAAATAGCTATTGAAAATGGCCATTTATAGTGAGTTTTCCCATGAAAAATGGTGATTTTCCATAGTTTTTTGTTAACGTTTACCAGAGGGTAACCAGAATGAACGGATCGTATATCATTACCCTCTGGTTATGACTAACATAGCCATGGTATAGATGACCCATAGAAATAGATGGTTTACCTAGCTATCAAATGGGTGGATTTTCCATGGCGATGTTAAATGACCAGATGGTAATAGATATTGTATATATATATATATCTGGTTAGGGTTCAAGTGGGGATGAGGTAGCGTTTAGGATGTAGAGAGGGGTTTGCCATTGCAATGGCAACGGGAACAGTTTCGGAGCGAGACGCTCCGACAAAAAGATCTCTGCACACAATACTCGAAAAAGAACAAGAGCCAGTGCACAAGAAAGGAAAAGGAACAGGAAAAAATAGCTCACCGAATGCAACCGCCGGGAAAAGAGTGTGGGGATCCAAAAGGTGGTCCAAAGAAATGGAGCAATCTGCATCTACACCAGTCAAACCATCCGGAGTCAAAACGCCTGACAAAGTCAGGACATCCATAGAGACCCAAACAGAACAGACAGATTCGATCACAGAAGAGTCTGTTGCGAAAAGACTTACTGCAGCTGAAGAGGAGATTAGATACATTCTCAATGATGCTAACAAGATGTGGAAGAATCAGACATGGTACAATCACCAGCTCATCGCCATGCAGAGAAAGGAAGCCGCGATGCAATACATTTTCACTGGTTGGACTGACATTCCGAACGGCTGCTCGACAGAGGACAGAGATAGAGTTATCTCATGGGCATTGATGCAAGCTGGAGTTGCGCAGTATGCTCTAGATATCAGTCACCAATCGCAGATTGACAAGCTCAGCCCGATCTCCATTGTCACTTTCAGAAACTCTTGGCAACGACATAGATTGGCAACCTTCATGGCAACACTTTCCAAGACCAACCAGGGCATCTCTTGCTGGGCAGCTGACGGTGAGGTGAGTAGTAAAGTGAAGATCAAGGGACGGATCCAGATTTGCACCTATGATCGGGTCCTGGGTTTGCCGCTGAAAGCTGCATTAGAAATCATCGGGTCCAACAACCTGGGAAGTGACACAGTGGAGAAAACCTGGAAATTTGGTGAGTTGAGAGCATCATCCGGCCTCATCATCGTGAAAGTGAAGACAGACATCGAGATGGGCATCAGCAAAGTTTTCATTCACAAAGACCTGTTTGAGATTTTCCTACGAGGGTGGGAGGCCGCATGGAACAAAGTCACGGTTGCTCCTTCCTCTTCAAAGTCCAACACGAAGAGCTCTGGCAAGGGCATTGCCGAGGAACGCAGAATCAGAGTACCTTTCGAAATCAAGCTGGTCAAATTTCACGACTATCCTGAGGATGAAAAGGTCGATTCTGAGCACAACGTTGGTGAGTGAAATGCAGCCGGTAAGGTGCCGCTGAAAAAGAACCTTCACTCTAGTCTTGACAAAGACTTTCGCTTCTATATCGCTTCTAATCCTTCTCCCAATCCAACCCCCAACTATCAATTTGAAAATTTTGCTACCTCGAAACTGCCTTCTAGAGGCGACCCGGGATTACCGCGAACCTTACCGGCTCTGCGGGAACGAAAGGTTTCACCCCACAGGCGGAGAAAACGTGGTAGACGTGCCCCTGAAAGAGATGCAGCTAGAAGGTTACGAATGAAATCGAGACGTCAAATGAATAGACAATGTTTCAGAGTTTTCAAGAGACTACTCCCGCCTTGGAAGCTGGGCTTGGTGGCGGCCCAACCTCCAGTTGTAGCCACTCAGGAAACGCAAGGACAGAGACTGAATAAACCTTCTGTCAGACCTCATATCACCTTTCAGAATGGCCGTCGCAAACTCAAGTTGCTGCTGCAGCAGCGCCAAGCTGTTTCACCGAAAATCAAAAACCAACTCCAGGGGAAATTGGAAAGCCTCGCCGAAAAGCTTCCCTATGGCAGGACCTTGAAAATTGGTTCCTGCAATTTTCAAGGGCTCAAAATCACTGACAGGCAAAACCTTATCAAAACCATGATGGCACAGCATTTAGATATTATGTGCTTACAGGAGACCCATGTCAATCATTGCAGCATCGAAGAGCATAACGGTTTCTGGTTTTTATTTTCCAGTGAAATCTGCAATCCTTTGGTGGAAAATGCTGTCAGAGAATTCGCAGGAATCGGATTTATCATTTCGCCTGAAATGTGGCTTTTTGTTGTGAAATTTGATGCTGTAAATAGCCGAGTTGCGAGGTTATCTTTAAGGTGCCACGGAAACCCAGTTCACCTTTTCTCAGTTTACGCGCCTCATTCCGGTCGCCCATCTTGTGACAAAGAGCAATTTTATCACAACTTGCGAATGAACCTGCGAAGAATTCCTGATGCCGAGATCCGATTCATTTTCGGAGATTTCAATGCAAGATTGCATTTTGTACAAGATGAGGACCGTCCACAGGTAGGACCCCATGTCTTGGGCAGAGGCTTTGATTTTTTAAGCAGCGCATCCCCCAACACTCTTGAAAATCGGGAGCTTTTTGTAGATTTTTTAAAATCTGAAGATTTCTGGGCTATGAATACGCATTTCCAAAAACATCCCAAAAGCCTTTGTACATATTCGGAAGTTTCGAACACTACTGGCGGACCTCCCTGGGATGCAACTAGATATGCCCAAATTGATTACAGCCTTGCACCGTCGCGATGGAAAAATAGTGTTCAAAATGTGGAGGCATTTCCTGATGCACAGACAGATTCTGACCATTTCCTAGTTGTCACTTCATTATTAGTCAAGCTTAAAGCTAACAAAAAATTGCCTGGAAATACTCGCTTTAAGTTCAAGAATCCATCGCCCGAACAAATTTTGCATTTTAATTCGGCAATCTCGAGAGATTGCAGATCTTTGTCCGACAGTGGTGAAGATCCTTCAGTTTGGCTGCGTGAGTTCAATAGCAACATTTTGACTTCTGCGAGAGAGTCTTTTTCACATTTGCCTCGCCAACAGCGAAAATCATATCTTTCAGACGAAACGTGGCGTTTGATCGAACTCAAGCGCCAATACCGTATCATAGGAGATAAGCAGGCTGAAATCGAAACAGGGAAGCTGGTGCGGCGTTCCGCAAGGAAAGATAAAGTGACCCACTTGGTTAATTCTTTTGAGAACGCACAGCACGTCGAAGACAGATGGAAGTCCATTAGGTCAGCCAGAAAGAAATTTGTTCCCCGCTTTGTCCGTTTCAAAAACCGTCATGGTGAATATATTGATTTTTCCGAAAAGGCTTCAGCGACTGCCGATTACCTTGCCAATGTGCAATGGTCCCGCCCGGAGCCTTGTCCTTCTAAGATCAACCCCCGACCTATTATTTTTGATGATCTCAACCTTGACGATTCAGATTTTTCTTTGGGGGAGCTTAAGTCTGTTTTGGCTAAGTCTAAGCAAAACAAGGCTCCTGGCCCCGATGATATCACTGCAGACATGCTGAAGTTGTTCAACGATGAAAACTTACAATTTGTGTTAGATATCGTTAATCATTGTTGGAACACGTCCGTTCTCCCATCCGATCTTGAGCTCGCTAGTGTCACTTCTATCTTTAAAAAGGGTAACCCTGCACTTTTGCATAATTATAGGCCAATCAGTCTCCTCAGTATATTCTACAAGCTTTTTGCTGCCTTAGTCTTACACAGACTTCGCCCAAAGATTGATCCTTATGTCTGGAAAACCCAATTCGGATTTAGGAGAGCGCACAGTACGCAACAAGCTGTTTTCTTGGCAAGACGAGCGCAGGACCAAGCCGAGATGAGTGGAACCAATTTAGTATTTACTCTATTGGATTTCGAAAAAGCTTTTGACCGTGTTGATCAGCCCAAATTACTGGAAGCCCTTCGTAGGTTAAACATTTCTGGGAAAACGCTTGGCGCCATTCAAGCTATGTACAGGAATCCGCGCTTCTTTGTCAAAGATATGCAGGGCAAGTCAGTTGTTCATACACAGGGCAGTGGAATTAGACAAGGTTGTCCGTTAAGCCCTTTTCTTTTTATATTATTGATGACTGTCTTGTTCCATGATGTTTATGATGTGATTGGAGTTGAATTGTTGAACAACCGGCTGCCTCATATCAGGTATAGCGACATTCTGTACGCTGACGACACTCTTTTGATCACTACCGGTTCTCACCTCACTCATCGGTTTCTTTCTTTGATTGAGAAGGAGTCAGCGTATTACAATTTGAAATTCAACCATTCAAAATGTCAAGTGCTTTGCATGAACGGTAACAAGCAAATTTCTTTCCAAAATGGAGAACGCCTTGAGAATGTAAATCATGCTAAATATTTGGGTTGTCTACTATCGAAGGATGCATGTGTTTCTACGAAGATTAGCGGGAGGATCGCTTCGGCCATGGATGCCGTGACCTCACTCAAAAAATTCTGGACTTGCAACTGTCCAATTGCCTGGAAACTTGCAGTGTATGAGTCTATCGTTGATTCGAGATTAACATACGGGCTAGAAACTCTTCAGCTCAATGCCAACCATCTTAAAAGGCTAGATGCATTTCAACAAAAAGGTTTACGTAGAATTCTGAAGATTCCACCAACTTTCGTAAACAGAACACGGACCAATGCCAGGGTACTAGAGGCAGCTTCCTCTCACCGTCCGCAAAGGACAGTCAGCGCAGTCTTGGAAGCAAGGAAATTGAAATTGATTGGCCACCTTCTTAGGTCCCACGGCAATGATGTCATGAGATGTTCGGTTATTTCGTCAAATTATTGTTTAGCGACACCACCCCATCGACGACAAGGTAGACCTAGGCACAATTGGTCGTACATTGCTTTGAAGGCTGTGTGGGCTAGTTTTGGCAACCCTGCTGTTTTCAAAGCAGACCTTGACCAAATTAATTTTTTGCACACGCAAGCAGTGCAGAGGCACGGGGTTTTTGGATAAGGCCAGAGCGCCTTTCGCTTCTATATCGCTTCTATTTAGTAGATTCTCCAATTGAGTTTGCGACGGAGATCACACCTTGACGGTTATGTGTCACATCTTACCATCTTTGGTTGTGCAGTTACGTTATTTTGTTACCTCGCTGTCCTGTCCTTGTGTGCCAACGACACGACCGTGTTGGGCACTGAAGAAGATATATATCTGGTTGGTGGTTTGGAACATGAATTTTATGTTCCATTTCATATATGGGATGTCATCCTTCCCATTGACTTTCATATTTTTCAAGATGGTTAAACCCACCAACCAGTAATTAGTTCTTACAGTATAGAATATGAATTTAAGAGTCACATGATGATTTTTGTTTATAGGTTTCCTAGCTTCACATAAATTCACTGGTTGGTGGTTTGGAACATGAATGGATTATGATTTTCCCATCATATTGGGAATAATTAATCATCCCAACTGACGAACTCATATTTTTCAGAGGGGTTGAAACCACCAACCAGATATAACTATTTACAAATATTAATATGTAACAATATGTAATGATAATCATAAGTTAGGCTGAGTAGCTTTGCTGAGTTGCTTGCGGGCCTTTTCTTGACATGTGTTTCCGTGGCTACCTTTGGCATAGGCCTGTGTACACAATGGGTAGGTAGTCGTACCCTAAGTTGAATAATCAGTGTATAGGACTCATGCACCCGAAAAACACTGCTCAATTCTTGCTGGTCAATTTCTATTTTTGGTTGGTTTCCGGAACTGGTTGGCTGGTCGTGTTGCATCTTCTTCTTCTGACATCATTGAGATTGCCTGGTTCAATCCCAATTTCTTTTGCGTGTAGAAACCTCATACTTTTCTGGTTCAATTTGTACAAATCTTCATACATCCTTTCTTGTCCCGGCAGATCCCGATCTTCCTGTCTTTACAATGCGATTTGTTTCACACAAAACATGTGGGCCCCCAAATTTAGGATGGTCTACTTGATACCCATCTAACATAATCGAATTTTATCTAACCTTTAGAATCTAACCATATCTAACTATATCTTCTTAGTCTAGGTCACAGTCTAGGTCTATGTAACGTACGTTTATCCAAGTATATATATATACATACTGGTTGGTGGTGTGGAACATTTTTCATTTTTCCATATATTGGGAATAATATTCCCATTTGACCAATATTTTTCAGAGGGGTAGGTCAACCACCAACCAGTATATATATATAGAGCCAACTTTTTTTTTCGATCTCTAGATCCACAATTCTAAACCTGTAGCTTCTGTTTGCAGGTTTCTTCAAACCCAAGGAGGAGATGCGAGAGGACTTGGAGAAGCTCGGCGTTCAACGGAAACCATTGGGGATATGGATGTCATAATATATATATATATGGATATACACATATATATATATGTATGGAAATATATGGACAGATTGGGATGATTGGGGGTTTAAGATGTTTTTTAAGCACCACAGCAGAACATGGACTTGAAAACGGATGATATGGAAAGTCACGGCATCGTCAACGTTGCAAGACTCTCCTGCGAACTCGCCAGCATTTCGAAATTTTTGGATTCACCAGAAACGGTTGGATGAAAAACCAGCATCAAACGTACTTCATCCACAATTTCGTTTTGGGACCAGAATTTTTTTTGGGCCAGTGGATAATTCAGCCATTTTTTACCACACATTTCACTACCATTTTGAATGCCATTTTTGGATGCCAATGGGATGGTTTTCTGAGACGGTCTCAGAATCGCGAAGAAACCTGCGACCATCTCAGGTGGATGTGCGTCATCTTCGTTCCTCGGGCTTTGCCTCAGCCGTGGGATTGGAGCGTTTTTGGGATGATCCGGACAACGAATAGATACCCTCTGGTAAACTAACATAACTATGGAAAATCACCATTTTGAATGGGTAAATCCACTATAAATGGCCATTTTCAAAAGCTATGTTAAATTACCAGAGGGTAGTATTTGAGAGGATATTCAATATCAACGCATCCACAGTATCATGGGGATTGGCTAGTTACATCTCATGCAGTATGTCCTTTTTTTTAAAGTTGGTTTCCCTTCTGTATTCCCAATGTACCAGCTTGTTCAAATCCATTCAAATCCTTTTTGGACACAATTTTGGTTGGTTCAGACATCCCATATCATATCACATTAATTCACAATAGTTATTTAGTTGGTTATATCCCCTTTATATTCCCGCATCTCACCATTATATTACCATTATCTCATCATGATGCTTGGTTTCATGCCCCCATTTTGTTGCTTAAGTCCACCAATGGGTTAATACCATCCTCACACATCCCATTATATCCCTAGTATAACACCAGTTTATATAGTCTATCATATACCAGTATACATATATAATCATATATATATACAATATATATTTTTGCGCAATAATATATCCCATTCAATCAGCACCCGTCCCCATGTTTAGCATAGCCCATTAACCACCATTTTTGGATATGTTTGGTCCCTTAGCTGTCATTCTTTTGATCTCCACGTCTCACCATATTTACACATATTTAGTCACTCAGGCATATTTATCCCCAGTCTGTTTGCGTGTATACATATGAATTTCAAGCATCCTGGAGTAGATTCGTAGATATGGAATGATATGGAGATTTCAGAAATCCTCACTACAATGAAAATTATCTTTGAACATTCACAATCTATCTACTTCATGATGATTATATGTATACAATAGATATACAATAAACATCTCACTGCGACGTTACTGGAATCATGCTTAGCCAGAGTAAGTATCCCGAAATGGCCACAAGTTCCAGCTATTTTCAGGATAGGCAACAATAATTCAAATTCTTCCTGATATACATATATATATATATATATGTATATATTCCCATACATATGTATATACCAGTTCAAAACCTCCATTTGGTTCGTGGATGTTCCATTGATTTTCCCATTGATTTTCCCATTGATTTGGCCATATATCTCACCGAAGAGTCTTCATCCCCTGGCAGGTTCTGATTGCGGTCAGCTGCTTCATTGGCAGCACGATCAGCCACGGATGCTTCTCGATCCTGGGTGAGGCGTGGATGCCAAATTTTAACATCACTGCAACATCACTGTAATGATTGTAAGTGCTTCAGGGTACCTATCCCAATTTTTTTCCGAACTTTTCTGATTGGTGAATTATCATGAGTTTGATCCATATATATATATATAATACACACACACACATACTTCCACATATGTATATATATATACAAAATACACCTCTGTGTTTGTATTATATACATATTTCATGCATATTTTTTTTGACATTATATTAGTAGTATACAGCTTATTATCTCAGCCCATATACATCACCCCATCCCACCTTGGGCCAGGCGATGACCCAACGCCTACGCGTGGCCATTCTGACCTCCATGTTCCGCCAGGAGGTCTCGGATGCCGATGGGGATTTCCAGTTTTTTTTGTGGCTAAGCCATGAGTTTTTAGGGTTTTTCGTGGGGTTTGTCGTGGGGTATAAGCCGTTCATCCAGCCTGGACAGCCTAGATAAAACTAGATAAAACTGGGCTATGAGACAATTGTGAAGTGAAGTGTTTACTGCGATGTGTAACCAGTCGGTTCGCCTGCCATTTTGGTGATCCATGGGGATTCACAACAGATGTTGGGATGAAATGGTGAGCCAATACGAAACATACGTAGAAGACCCATATGATTTCCCATTCGGAGAATGATCTACAGTAATTGGGACGCTATGTTTTTTTTTGGTACAATTTACACGTTTATTTGTGGATGTTTGTTTTTTTTGTGAATTGTATTCTTTTTAGTGAAAATTGGTGAACTGCCATAATTATTGGTTACCAACTGCCATTGAAAAAAACGGTAGCGTTTTTTCAGGTGATCTAAGATTGGACCACAGAGTCTTGAATAGTCCAGGGCTGAAGTGGATCCCAATCCAGGATAACACAATTGAATTCCCAACATTGAATGATACTTGATCATAGCGATTATTAATGTCACTGTGAACACAAACAATGATTGTTTGAAAGATCAACTATAATCATTGTTTTTTTCTTCACATTGACAATCAATCATGTTACAATCATCATTTATCATTATTTGGTATTTAGTGAAAAAACATGAACAAACAATGCTTACAGTAATTCCTTCAACAAAACTATGGTTTCTTGGTTCCTTGTCCAACCTTTTCAACGCGGTCTCTCCGTGAGAGCACCCTGTTTTTCAATCAACACCTTTTTCACCGGGAAAAATATGTGGCAGCACTGCGGGTGAGGAGTGGCTCCAAAGCAGGAGGTTCGTTCTATAAATGGAGGTACCCCAAGATGGATGGTTTATTTCATGGAACATCCTATTAATTAAAATGGATGATAACTAGGGGGGTACCCCCAATTCAGGACACCTCCAAATTGATCGGATGAATTTTCAGGGGGAATTCTCCCATTTTCAGGTGGGATTCCACGACAATCCCGAGAACACTCCAGGTGCTTTGGCCCGAAGTTGGCAGGTTGAATTTGGCCCGAAGTCACCCAGAAATTGAGGTGGTGAACTGGATGCCACCAGTTCACCATTGGCCATTGGTTCAAATACCCTCTGGTAATTTAACATAGCTATTGAAAATGGCCATTTATAGTGGATTTTCCCATTAATCATGCTGATTTTCCATAGCTATGTTAAATTACCAAAGGGTATCGGAAGCTTTTTTTTGAACACTACTGTAGGGCCATCTGTTACTAGACTTCCACTAAACAGAGTCTCTGCGGGCTGAAAAATCTATGTCTTGCGCACTTTGGAATAATTCTGAATTAAGGTATAGGGAAGAAATGGGCCGAGAAACACATGATGCAGTTACCTGTGCAAAAAATCAATGTTAAGGGAGAAAGCAGCATGCAGACGGACAAGTCTGGAACAACCTGAAGCAGACAGACTTTGGACACCAAAATAAGTGAGAACATAAGAGCGCTATTCAGACCCTGCAACAGACTCTGTGTTGAACCCCCAACCCCAAGTCTCAAAGTTTCCGTTGGGGGTGAAGGGGTTGGATTGGATAGAAGGGGTTTGAATACTTCATCCATTTGCAGTATCGCTACTATCGTTACCATCATCACTAATCACTATTATTACTATTAGTTAGTAAGTATCACTACTATCGACCATCGTGATTCATATCTCTATTCCTATTAAGTGTTATTTTAGGATATTCTAAGTATCTATCATTACTTTCCAAAAAATACTGTGATTCTTAGTATAACTGTCTATCTCTTAAGGTTGGGAGGATTGTCGACTACGAGTATAGACTTGGAGGATGAATGATGATCTCCAATAATCGTGATCTTGTATCATTACCATTAGTATCACTATTCTATTATGATTATCAACATCATTACTACTGGTATTCTCATTACCATCATTGCAGTCATTACTATTAATTAGTATCACTAGTACCTTTAGCATTACTATCCTTATTACTTATTACTATGATGATTAATATCATTCCTATCATTAGTCTCATTACTATCAGTGTCACTATAATTATTGTTATGACAAGGATTATCATCATCTATTTATAACTATAATTATTAATAACATTACTATCATTACTATCAGTAGTAATACGTATTATATGGAGGTTTCCCAAAATGGGGGTACCCCAGACATGGATGGTCTATAATGGACAATCCTTTTAAAATGGATGATTTGGGGGTAGCACCATTTCAGGATCAGTATTACTATCCTTAATCCTTTTTATCAAAGGAAGGGTTTAAGTTTTTTTTTAACACCATATTCAATGGGAACATATATGCTTTCCTGTAGGTTTTTCCTTGAGCCAATCCATTCATATCAATATCATTTAGCAGCATTACTTATTACTATTATCAGTATTACTATCAGTATAAATATACTATTATAAGATTTATAAGTATTACTATCCTTATTATCGATGGATTGGTAACAATATCTGATAAGGATAACATCATTTTTTAATGAGGATAGTTATATACATCATATTACTATCATTCCTATCCTTATCATTACCCTCTGGTTATGTCAAAATAGCTATTGAACATGGTCCAGTCGAAATAGTGGATTTTCCCATTAAACATGGTGGATCTTTCCATAGTTTTCCCATTAAAAATGGTGATTTTCCATATAAATCACCTTTTTCCCATGGTTTTCCCATGGTTTTCCCATACTTCCTAACGGTTTCGCCATCTCCCCAGGCATGTTGTCGAAAGCCCTGGAGCTCTGGGCGTTCCGCGTGAGCGTGCTGTGCAAGTCGATCCAAGCCAAGGTGGGAAAACAGGGGTTGGTAACTGTCCCATTTTGGGAATATTGAACATCACCTGAAAAAGTAGCCATCTAGTAGACCATATACCGATTTTGGTTGGGTGATGTTCAATGGGGACATTTAATGACCCATGGGAAAAAAACCCTGGAAAAACAGGGGAAAAATCACGAGTTCTACAGCCAGATATAGCCAACCTGATTATGACTAACAGTTTGCCATGGAAAATAGATGGCCCTAATCGAAATAGATGGTTTAGCTAGCTATAGAAATGCGAGTTTCCATGGCGAACTGTTAAATAACCAGATGGTATCATGATAAATCCACCATGAAACCCGAGGTATAAACCAACAAAAACCTATACCATCCTATACCTAGGGGGCCTTAAATCTTGGGCGGGTTTTCCGAGTACCTGTGAATAGAACAGCTGGCCTCGCAGGCTGCGGCGCTGAGTTCTTTGGTGGTGGGCATCGTGTTGGCCTTCGTTTACTGCTGGCAGATGGCGCTCGTGATGTTGGGTGCTCTGGCGGGTTAGCGGCGGAAGCTGTTCGAGAGGATGGCAGCCATGGGGCCATGTTTTTTTTTTTAACTATCTGGTTATGACTAACAATATTTAACATAGTCATGGAACATGACCCATTTGCAGATTTATAGATGATTTATATGATGATTTACTGATTTACCTATTGAAACTGTTGAAACTGATGATTTTCCATAGCTAAATAACCAGAGGGCATGGTTTAAATGCGATAATCGGAGAGAGTCGACGAGATTATAGAAAGATATAGAAAGATCAGAATGGATGAATACAGGTGGGTTTGTCTGAACATAGGGTACTGTACCTCCAAATCCAAAAGTTACAAAAACAGAGTTTTCCTCATGAAAATTGCGAAAAGCAGTTTTTTTTTTTAACCATGGAAAAAACGCAATTTTCAGCCACACCCAACTGGTTTTTCAAATGGGTTTGTGCACTTCAGAATCCCGAGGGTGTCTCTTCAAATGTGACTTTGCAAAGGCTATTTCATCGAGTGAAACATCATATGTATATATGTATGTAATTATAATTATATATATATAATTATATATATAATCAGATTATTATCGTATATTGAAACGTGTTTTACTTGCTGCTTTGAAATTTTAAAAGGGACGATGATCCCCATCCTGAGTCGTCGTCGAGGTTCCATTCCTGTGATGATCCTGGCGAACGCCATTCAGATGTTGGTGCTGCTGGGTGCTTCCAAGAATGACAACGAGAAGCTCAACCAAAAATTACCCTCTGGTAAATTAACATAAATTAACATAGACCCTGGCAGATAGGGGTTGGAAGACTAGTTTCCATGAAAAATTGGCTATTTTCAGGGTCTATGTTAATTTACCAGAGGGTAAAGGTCAGGCTTGGGATAAGACACGCGGCTTGGGTGCCTTGAGCATGTGAAAAAAATATGAGGGTGAAAAAAAAATGAGGGGTTGAAGCATCCATGACACTTCTTGCCTTTTTTCAGCTTTCAAGCACAACATAGGCAACATCCATTTAGGACACCACGGATCTTTTTTGGGGATTCCCACCATGGATTTTCCCCATGGGATTTTCCCCATGGGATTTTCCCACGTTGGACTAGCTGTGGTTGAACAACGGAAACTGGGGGATTTGTGGATGGTAAATGGGAAATCCATCACTGATATTGTCCATATGAATCCATATAGTACAATATAAATCAATATAATACATATGTTTATATCTGTTTGTATCATATTCCAGACACATAGAAAACTAGACGCGGGGGTAGTTCAAATGTCATTCCACCTATCAACGCTTACAACAAATTCCAGTGCTTTATGTATATATCAAGTTTCTTCAGTTTCCCCATTAATATGGACATCATTGTCATGGCCTCATGGCAAAAGCATGATGATCATACAAACAATGTTGAAAACCATGATTAAAATCCATTAAATCACTTTTCAAACCATTTAAATTTAAACCAACATTTTAGAACTACAAAAGCCATCAGTCATTGTTATGATTGTCAATTTGAATCACTCAATTATTGACGGCAAACATCACAATGTTCAAAGCACCAAAACCACTTACCCTTTGGTAATCCAACATAGTGTCACATAGCCATGGAAAATGGCCATGTTCAATCGGTAAATCTTTGAGTTCACCAAAACATATTTAAAAATGAGTTATTTTTCCATTAGGATTTAGGCAACAATCGTTGTGAAATCAAGATTGGAATGATCATGCGATTTGGTCGTCAGTTTTTTGACACATAGTGACATAACATGTGAACGCCGATTTCATAGGTCGCCAACATGTCAGTCCCCAACATGTTAGTCCCCAAGAATTTTGGAAAAAAAAACATCATAAATCATCATGTCGTCTATAGATGGACCATTTTCCCGTAGGAAACTCTTACCCTCTGGTAATTTAACATAGCTATTGAAAATGACCATTTATAGAGGATTTACCCATTAAAAATGGTGATTTTCCATAGTTATGTTAGTTCACCAGAGGGTAGTCACACCCAGCCGTTCGCCGCACCGTTCGGAACGGCGGCTTCGCGGTGCGGTTTTTCGGTGCATCAAAGGAACTTGACCAACGCCCAGCAGATCGTCACCGACAGTTTGATGAACGCACGCACCGTGCAAGCTTTGGGCCCCTTGGTTTTCGCAAGGTACGAAGCCATGGGTTTCTGTAAAAAATGGTGAAAAACATGGTGAAACGGAGGTTTTCCATGGTTTTAATGGGAACATCACTGTTGAATCAGCTAAAAAAGTTGGAAAAAAAGGTCAAAGTGGTGGGAAATCACCATGAAAGATGGAGGTGTTCAATGCTGTTAATGGGATTTAATGGGAACATCAAGTAAATATGTTGTTTGCTCTATGTTTACAGCTGGGATATGTTCCATCGAAGAATTGCTGGGGAATTTTCCTGCCATGTTTGACAAGAGGGTATGATGGGAGCACGGGGATCCAGGGATCAGTTTTTTTTGAGTTGTTTCAAAGAACATCGGATCTTTTTAAATCGGATTTGTCAAATTCGGCTTCAATTCTGATGCCTTGGTTTCAGGAATTTCGGATCTGTCAATTGGATCTTATTTTTTTTTGATGCCCAAAAACTGGGACAAGATGGAAGCCTCAGCGACCGATCTGGGATGATCTGGGACTGGGGGATCCAAGAATGATCTCTGGGGATCAATCGATCCGGGGAACGGTTGCCTAGTTTGATGGGTTTTCCCCAAAGGAGTCCGAAAAAAAGAGGGCAACGGTTCCAAAAACATGATGATGTAGGCATTTGATACCTTACACTTCATGCTTTTCACTGGATGGTTGTGGTAGGTAGTTCCCTTCAAGGTGTATGATCATGTAGATTGAGAAGAATTTCCCCATCAGAACGTTCCGCCTATATCTTCACCTAAAGGTTGAACGTTTCTAATTCAAAAACCATGACCTGATGTGCTTGAGGCGCTTACCAACAAATGATTTGCCCAAAACAGCCTTGATCTGCTTGGAAAATATTGTAAGACAACATACGTAAAATTTAACACACCTGGTTGGTGGTTTGGAACATTTTTTATTTTTCCATATATTGGAGATTCATCATGCCAACTGACGAACTCATATTTTTCAGAGGGGTAGGTGTACCACCAACCAGACATAGTAACCCATATTATTAACCATCCACTAGGGAATTTATATTCATATTATTGTTATGATCATGATTAATCCAAATGGGTATGAACCATCCAATTAACACTAATCGTAACCAACCATCCCCCAGTCATCACCATGTTTTTTATAGGTGGTATGGGTACCATTCCCAGTCATGGGTGGTAAAAATGGCATTGTTTAACCCCCCAAAAAGTTGCCGTCATCCAGGATGGCGAACGATCCAAGGTGTCGAACGATCCCTGGTGTCCATGTACATGACCTGGGCGCCTTGACGGCCGTTGGACGGCTATGGACGGCTGATGCTCAATTCATGGAGATTGATCCCTAGGGATTTAATAACTGGGATCAAGGGATGAAAAAAAACTGGTTGGTGGTTTGGAACATGAATTTTATGACTTTCCATATATTGGGAACCATCATCACAACTGACTAGGATTTACCCTCTGGTTATGACTAACATAGCCATGGTATAGATGGCCCATAGAAATAGATGGTTTACCTACTGTATTAATAGCATGGTGATTTTCCATGGCAAACTGTTAAATAACCAGATGGTAATAATTATTAGTAATTATTGTCTTATTGTAATACTAATTTAGTCTTTCCTCACCTTGGCCTTTCTGAGGTGGCACAAAACCTTCATAACCGATAGGGGACGACCCTATACCGATATCTCATTTGTGATACCTCCAGGAGTACTGAAATCCTCACAACCAATAGGGGACGACCCTAATTTGTGCATGACATTAAATTTAACAAATAATTTTGTCCGCGACTCATCTGGTTTATGCAAAATTTTACAGCAAACATGTGTGATTTATAAGAACTTACAGTTATAGAGATGTATCGTTAGTATAGACATTTATAAGCCACGATTGTCATGAATAGAACCATTTCTAAACAGCCATGATTATCATCTGCTTGATTTCAGGTGGAGAAGTCCGCAAGCGGCATGTATTCTCGGAACATCTTGGCAGGCACCCCTGGTGTTTGAGATTTGCCTCGAGGATCATCCCACGAATAAGTCCCCGTTCAGGGGTTATCCCATTAATCTAAGGAGGATAGGAAGGCTATTTTAAAAGGGAATCTGTGAATTTTCTGTTTAGTTTGTTTTTTGGATTTCTGGTTGCTCCTTTGCTTTTCTGCTTTTCCCTACTTCTTTGCTTCTTGATTCTCCGCTGTTCCCTGCTTGCCTGCTTTTCTGCGTTTTCCTTCTTCTTTGCTTCTCTGTTTCTTTGCTTTTCTGCTTTTCTGCCTCTCTGCTACTCCACTTTTCTGCTTTTCGCTGCTTTTCTGTTTTTCCAGCTTCGCTTTCTGCTTTTTCCTGCTTCTCTGCTTCTCTGCTTTTCCCCGCTTTTTTTGTGTTTCTCATACTGTAAATAAACCCTACGAAACATCATATAAGTAAACCCTGAACTAGCCCTAAATCAACCCTAAACAACCCCCAAACCAACCAAAAAACACTAAAGCACCTCTAAAGACACCCTAAACACTCCCTAAAATCTGAAACTACCGTAGATGGACGAAATATTCAAACCCCTTCTATCCGGTACAACCCCCTCGCCACCAAAGTTCAATGTTAATGTAACCTGAAGTGCATTAACCCCAATGGACGAAAAACATCAAACCCCTAACATCACTTTTGGTAACACGCGCACTGAAACATTGAGATTTGGGGGTGCGGGGGTTCAACATAGTGCGTGTTGCAGGGTTTGAATATTTTGTACATCTACTGTCTCGCTCTCTGATGTTTTCACATCTTGTGGTCTCCAAACTCTGTGTTGTATATAAGCATCACTCTGCATTCTGCTGATCTTATTCTAAACTGCGCAAAACATTGGCTTTTCACAAGTAAATGCCTCCTGTCTGTCTCCCGTGCCATTTTTTCTATTCCATAATTCGCAACTTATTCCTAAGTGCACAAAACATTGTGTTTTCACGGGCAAGTGCAACCTTTGTGCTTCCCATCCCATTTTTTCCGGTCCTATTCCCTAATTCGCAACTGATTCCAAAGTGGAAAAACATTGTGTTTTCACAGGTACATGCTGCATGTGTCTCTCGTCCCATTTTTTCCTATTCCCTAATTCGCAACTGATTCCAAAGTGGAAAAAACATATTGTTTTCACATGTAGACGCTGCATGTCTCTCTCGTCCCATTTTTTCCTATTCCCTAATTCAAGACTACTTAGTTTGAAGTGGCCCTGCCAATGGATTATACCATTTGTGACGTGCTGCTTTCTTTTTTAATTAGGAGCTGTCTCATGCTGTTCAGAATGGTATATATAGTTACAAACAGCTCACTACCCATTGCAGTTTGCACCTGCTGATGCCTACCAACAGGCCACGCCCAACTATGTGTGCATGTGCTTGTGCTCGTGTGTGTGTGCGCGCAATATGCACGGTTGTTTGTGCCTTTCGCACTTGCGCGCAAAGATTTCACAAAAGCCAACCTATCCGCGTTGTTGAAAAAGTACGCGCACGCTTGTGCTTCCTCAGCAGCACTTCCGCCTTTTGTGAGCAAACCCGACTGGCTGCGCTGCTGCCCACTCTTTGTTAGCGGCTGCAATTGCGCTTGTCTTGTGTTTGCTTGTGTTTGTTCTTCTTGGCTTGCTGATGGCAACAGTAAATTTCACACAGCGCTGTTTTTTGGGTATGTAAATCACCCGGTTGCGCTTAAGCTGCAGGAAAAAAGCACCATTGAGCACTCGTGCTATGGTGATGATGTTGAGCCAGTGCCTGTAACTCACAAGTGGCCTTGGCATTGCCTTTCCGTTTTCTTGATGTGCTACTCAGGCCAGCCCAACAGAACTCAGCAGCTCAGAAACAGAATTGAGCGGGTCTGAAACAGAAGCAGCGTCGACTCCGATAATGATGCGGATGCCCAGCGACGGACAAGTTGTACAACAACCATCATCGATACCAGTGATGATGAGGCACTGCCATGTCGATATCAAGTTTTCTTATTGATGCTTGTGCTTAACTGCTCTGCCAAAGGAGCCATTGCATCCGCCAAAGGCTAGCGGCTAGAGCAAAGCCATCGAGGAACAAACTGCCCAACGCCTTCAGGCAAAAGGGTCCCGCAGCTTTCAGATGGATTTTTGCTAGCGGGCAGAAGTTGCCAACTGGCCGCAAAGTAGCACTCAAAGAAGTGCGCTTTGTACCGCCTGTGAAAGGGATGTTGATGTAGATTAGGGTCGCAAACATCCAAGGCTGTGACAGAAGCCCTTTCATTGCGGTAAACAGCAGCTGCTTCAAAGGTTATCTCTGGGTGCGAGGTGCCCCACAAAGCCTTATGCATGGTTTGCGTGCGTGTTTGTTTGCGCTGGTTAGTTTCCTGTAGTACAAATGCCTCTGTGATGATAGAGTGCCTGTGTGCAGCAAGCGAACACATGCTGGAAGCGATATGTCAAACTCGTGACCAATGGAAACCAAAGCCAAGCTCTTACTAGAGGCAAAAGTGTTTGCACCATGGGGTTCTGATTAAAGTTTGCTAAGCAACTGTCTGAAAATCTTGCTGGCAACCTGCTCTGGGTTCTTAGGTGTTCGGCAGATCCAGGAAGAGGTTGCCGAACTCCAACATGAAACACATTTTGATTCTGCCCTTGCCGTTGCACCTTTGAGCTCGTGCACCTCAAGTGATCAGCTGGCACCTTTCATTTCTCTACAGACGAGGCCCATTGCAGTGAACCGCAATTGGACAATACAGAACATATCATGTATGCCTGCATGTACGGTACATGCAGGTACTGGACGGATATGTATGCTCGCATGCAGGTACAACTTCACACATGTGTGTACATATGTACATGTGGCATGGCCCTTGTCGATTCGCACACAAGTGTCTCAGCGCTGGGAAGCAGAGAAACTTGGAGACGGGCCGATCATGGCTGATACTTTTTTTTGTAAACGCAGCGTTGTTTGAATTGTAACTGGTGTCGGTGTCAGAGGCGATGGGGCTCCTGGTTGCCGCCGTAGCTGCCTCCACAGGCTGGTTCTTGACCACCGATGTTTCAGACTTCTGCCTTGTGACCTCCCAGGCTTCACCGCCGCTGCCGTTGCAGCCTGGATGTGGTTGGGGCACCCATTTCCAGTTGAGATGAGTCCAGATGCCCCGGAAAGCAGCGGCAAGAAACATGATCATGACGTGATCGCTCGTGCGGCCAAGGAAATGCCGGACCAAGGCCAGGGAGAAAGCTCACGTCCCAACATTGCGGAACTATGTGCATTGATTGTTTACATGGCGTGGTTCTTTTTTGGTTCCGGTGCCTTCCACTGACTGAGTTTGGCATGCTGCTCCATGATGGTGTGGCTTCTGGACCAAGTTGCATGGGTAGATGCAGGAAATGAAGGACTTGCCGGAGAAACAAGGCCTGCCAGCCCCTGCAGATTCATTCCGATCTTTGCACCTAAACCTAGCTTTTGAGGTAGACAAGTATCAATCCTTGTGTGTCAGGCCGGAGGTGCTCTCAGGTGTGGGGACGCCTTGCGCACAAGGCTTCTTCAGATGTACACCTTCAGCGTCTAACCCCCAATAAAACAGCTTTGGATGAGGCCCCCTAAAAGATAATAATAACTCCCTGCCACACCTAGCTGGCAGCTACTGTTAGATAATGACTCCCATCTAAAGAGAGAAGCTGTTTAGATAAAGCTGGTGTGTGCGCGTGGAACATCTGAATAGATGTAAAACCTCTACTTAAGCAAGGGATCATGATTTTTCCGGGGGTGTGGATGCATGGTCTGGCAGTCATCCACCAACGAAGACACTGCCTTTCCATGGTGATATGACGAAGGGACGCCTTTGTCACGTACCTGCTTCATTTTCGGACATGGGATGTGTCCAACCCAAGAACCACCATGCCGTTTCCAAAATTTTTCCTTTCAATTTTCTCGATTTGCACGGTTTTCGCAATCTGTCAACTTATTTCATCTAGCACTGGACATGGCGATGGCACCTTTTCAATTTTTCTCGTGTCTCTTCACCGACCCATTCCTGTCAGGTGTAATTGGAGTGTTTTTGCTCGTAAGATGCATTCCACATCAGAATTCGCAAAGATTGTTCTGAGCAAGTGTGTGCGTTAGATGAAGCCATCACCTAACCGGTGAAAATTATCATCTAAAAAACGTGCGGTTAGATGAAGGGCAAAACGGGTTAAGCGTGAAGCGATCCGGTTATATAAGTAAAAAGGGTTTTTGGTTTGAAAAACATGGTGTTTCGGTTAAAATTTTTGGGTTCAGGTTAGGAGCACACTTAAAAGGTGAAATTCGGGCATGCTCCACGAACGGGAATGAAGGGTGTTAAAAATACAAGTAAAAACATTGTTTGGGCGCCAACTTCGTGGCGGACCAAGTGTAAATAAACCCTACATAGATCCTAAACCAACCCCAAATAGATGCTAAACCAAGCCTAAATGGACCTTAAACCAACCCTGAATAGATCTTAAACAAGGCCTTAACAGATCCCAAACACCAAACCTACATAAATGTTCAAGACAACCCGAAATAGATCCCGGAGAAACCCTGTTAAAAAACCCTAGATCAACCGTAACTCTAAAACCAATTCTCAAACAACCTAAAGCCGACCCCAACAAAAACCGCAATTTGACCCTAAAACCAATCCTAAATGAACCCTAGTTGCAAATTACACTGTTACATGAACAGTTCGAGCACCAAAATGTTACAAATTCCATGGAAAATGAAGGGTTCGAACTAAAAAATGTTGCAAATACGTTGAAATGGCAGCTTCCAGCTCCAAAATGCCGCAAATAACACCAAAATGTTGCAGATTCCATGGAAAATGAGAGGTTCGAACGCAAAGTGCTGCAAACACCGTTGAAATGGCTTACATCTCCAAAATCCAGCAAATTGTAAGGAAAAATGGACAGAACAGGCCCAAACTGGAAAAATAAACAACTTATTTCGGAGCCTTCATTTAACTGGGTCATAAATATGGTTCTTAAACACTGCGGGATGATCCTCCTTAGGGGGACTGTTGTGCACACATCACCGTGTTCATGGCATGTTTTTTTTTCAATATCAAACAACGATTTCACATATTATTGACATTTATTGGCATGTTGGATCAGTGAAGGGTGCTTGGTGGTTTCCATTTCTCATGCCTGATCTTGACTTGCCAGGCATTGGCTTTGGAGTGCCTTTGTTTAAACAAGGGGATGCAAAGGATTTTCCCATTTCAATGGGGGGATGAACATACCGCGGCTATTTGGGAGGGTAACCAGGATTTTGATTCACGGGTTTTATCCTGCCTATATTGTTTCCCACATTTTATTATGTGCTTATCTTAGTTGATCTTGTGCTGGTTGGTTTGGTTTCTGGTTGTGAACATGGGATATTGAGAGCTTCCAATTCTTTTCTGTATAGCTTCCAGGGAACTCAAACGACCCATAAACAATGGTTGTCAGGGGTCAGGGGTCATCCGAAAAATGCCCTTCAATTTGTTTTGTTTTTTTCAAATGAATCATCCACAGTTTTGACAAGTCTCCCAAGTTTGGAGTTCATGCCCCCCAAAAAATCTCATTCAGATGGGACATGTTTGATGGTGAGGATGGCTGGAGGATGTTCCGATTTCCGAAAACAAGAATGACAAGATGACCTTTGGACTTCTATTGAACTATTTGATACTGTCCGAAACTGTAAACTATAGTATCTGTCAAATTAATTGGATATTATGACAATTATTGATTTCTATTTGATACTGTAAACTCTGGAACCCTGGTTAACCCATTAAAACCTTCCTCCACCGAAAAGTGGTGCCCCCAATTCAATAGCGCAGGGGTTTAGTATGGTTTGTTCATCCCGGGATGACGTTGCACCTCGAATGCTGGTGATGTGAACTTGCATTGCTGGATGACAGGACAAGAAATGGGTTTCCTCTCCGGTAAACTAACATATCTATAGAACATGGCCTATTTATAGAGGGTAGGTCAAATGTTGTTTCGACCTGGGAAACACAGATGAAAGGGAATCATGTGGTATATTGATGTCTAATGTATATCTATCCAATTTAGGCATGTCGGCGAAATTTGATCCATATTGACATAAATTGTTGGCTTTCTATCAAAGACGTCCTTTCTTGGCTTTTCTTCAGATTCACCGTTCTGTTTGATAAGGTCTATCGTGGTATATGCCCTGTACTTTGCATGGCCATAACCATGGTGAAATCGGGAATCTTCGGATATTTAAGTAACCCCAATCATTGAATCATATTGGGGAAATCATCCCAATGATATATATATATATGTACAGTATGTATACATATATATATATATATATGTACAGTATGTATGTATATATATATATATATGTACAGTATGTATAATATAATATATATATATATCTCGATCTCTATCTCTATATCTATATTATATATATACACAGTATGTGTATAAATATATATATATAGAGTGTTGGTGAAATAATCATCCCCAACATGCCTCGGGCGCTGAGATCGCCTCGGGCGTGATGTTCTTCATCATGGCGGGGGGCTTCTTTGTGGCTTCCCTCCTGATCCAGGCGCGATGGCGCGAAGCTGATGCAGGTACCCTCTGGTAAACTAACGTAGCTATTGAAAATGGCCATTTATAGTTGGTTTACCCATTAAAAAGGGTGATTTTCCATAGTTATGTTAGTTTACCAGAGGGTATGACATACTTAGATATGATGTGGCGCATTGTTTTGCAGCATCCAAAAAAGATAGAAAAGTGTTTAAGCATGAAATGATCACGATTTGTGATTCGGACTTTACTTTTTCTATTTTGTTCGTTTGGTTGCAGACTATTTTCATCACGGTATTTCTCGATTCCCCAGGAGAAAGTTGCAGACTTTGAGGGAGTGATGATGGCATTCATGGGCATCTTCTATGCTGGCATGGGCGCTGGACAGGCCGGAAAATCATCGAACGACACATCATTTTTTTCCAGCAAGACAGGTTTGATGAAGGGAGGGTATGTGTATATATATAGTATACACACTATCATTAGACTATTAACATCTGATATTGTATAAAATTAAGATATGATAGACTACTATACATATACTGTATGTAATGTGTATATTATTGAAGAAATATGTTTGAATAGCCAATGAACTCTTCGATCCCGCCAATCACCTGAAGTGTGTTTGGCAAGAGCTGGGTCCCAATGTTGGAATGTTCACCACACGGATATGGATGATTTTGAATTCCCACTGTTAAGTGGAACGTCTATGAATGGATGTAAGACAAACATTGCAAGATTAGATTGCCGGAGTTTTTTTCTGGAACAGCGACCTGATGGGAAGGCTAACACCACGAACCGCCGGGGCTTGACCAGGGTCGCAGTTTCACCGTTCGAATCCCATGGAAGTGGGCCCAAAAGTGAAATTCCCCGGATCCCAAACTGGACCTCTGAGGGGAATTCGAATCGCCCAGATGATGGGATCTCATTTTTGGGAATGTAACCAAGTGTGTACCTTAAGTGTGTAACTGAAAAATTGGGAGTAGCGATTTTGTGTTGAAATGTTTTTAACCCCCCCAATGATTGTTAGCCATCCCCCCTTGATTGTTTCTACCTCCCTCTTGGAAGGCCATCTTGAACTGATCATGGAACTAGTTCCCTGACCATTAAAAATCTCCCATGTTACCCTCTGGTTGTGTCAAAATAGCTATTGAAAATGGCCATTTATAGTTGATTGTCCCATTAAAAATGGTGATTTTCCATAGTTATGTTAGTTTACCAGAGGGTAATCACCATTCTTGATGGTCAAGTCAAATCCAGTCTTTTGCACCAATCTTCTTTCCGATTGAAAAAACATCCTGTTGATGGTCAAATCACCATTTCTTACTGGTGCTTAGCAGGGAATTTATTTTCCATAATGGGATGTCATCCTTCCCATTGACGAACTCATATTTTTCAGAGGGGTTATTGCACCACCAACCAGATTATTATTAACCATCATTAACCATCATCATAACCATGAATATTAACCACATAGTAACCATTCTTTTAAACAGTATATTAAGGGGTAGGTCAAACCTCCAGTTCTGGTTGAAGACATACCGAATCTCCCGTTCTTACAAGTGTGTAGGCTGCTGTGATGATGGGCGACGCAACGAAGGCCAAGGCAGGTGACGATCGACGATCGAAATTTTGTTGCTATCAACGTAAACGAAATTGGGGTCTAACCATCGAAAATTGGGATCCAAGCAACAGATATTCTGGTTTAAGCGACAAACAAATTGGGGGTTTAACATGGTTTAACCATCGAACATCTGGGATTTAACATGATTTAACAAGCATGGGTGCCTTAACAACAAAAGAACTAGATGAAGAAGATCAAAAGAGCAGGGATTTAACACCTGGATTTTACCAGTAAAAATCATGAAAACATGGAGCACCGACTTTATGCATCTGGTTCTTGTTTCTATATAGTTAAAAATGATAGTGATATATGGTGATATATGGTGATATATGGTGATTAATGGTGATTCTGGGTGCTTTCTATTGGATTTTCACCTCTTATATTATTGTTGGACAAGGGCCGCGCCGGCTCGGTTAGGTGGCATGCCACGACATGTTCAAGTTGATGGATGCTGGGCTCGAGTTGTAGGGATTTCAGAGGGAGATTTTAAAGACTATTTTAACATATTTTAACTATAGAGTGGTGAATGGAGGGCTTGGATTATGTTCATCTCAGCCAGGGACTGGAAATCATGTGGCTGTAAGATTCTCATAAGGCTTGGATTGCTTGTTTTCTGAGGGATATGAATCATGATTTGAATCAACGAAAAAAAAGGTGGTTTCATGGGGTGATTTCATGGAATCTCATGGGAGAAGCTGTGGAAATTATGAACCCACCATGGGGCCGAAGCCAACAAAAATGATGGTCCATCTAAAACCAACCATAGTGGTTATACAATGGGACGCAATGCGTGTATATATATATATATAATACATATGTATGAAACCAACGAACTAGAGTGGTTTGATGGATTATAATGGAAATTTATTAGCCAACAAACATTGGGGGGGTTAAAGATTGAACAATGGTGGTATAACACATAGGATATTTCATGGGAAAACCAGGCATTTTATGGGAACACAATGGGACAGGTCTATAGAAAGGTATGAGGGATTTACCATCAAACGGGGAATTCTCCAGCAATAATGGTGATATATGTATATATATATACATATTACATATTAATATAAGGAGGGCTATTTTTTTTTCGTTCTTTATTTAAAAAAGCACCCGTTTTCTGGTGTTGGGAAGGAAGGAAGGACGGAAGGACGGATGGAAGGACGGACGGAAGCAAGGAAGCAAGGAAGCAAGGAAGCAAGGAAGCAAGCAAGGAAGGAAGGAAGGAAGGAAGGAGCCTGACCCTACAAAAACCCAAAGCCAACCCTAAAAAAAGTTAAGCCAATCGTAAATAAGGCTAAACTAACACTGAATAACCCTTAAGCCAGACCCAAATAATTCCTAAACCAGCCTTAAATAAGTTTAAAAGAACCAAACAAACCCTAAACCAACCCTACTTAACCCCCAAACAAACCGAAAACCAACCCTAAACAACCCCCAAGCCAACCTTCAACAAACCCTAAACAAACCCTAAACTAACCAAAGCCAATCCTCAACAAACCCTAAACAAGCCAAAAACCAACCGTAAATGCATTTCAAACCAGCCACAAATAATAAACAAACCCTAATCCAACCCTAAATAAACCCTAGACAACAAAGCCTAAACCAACCACCAACCCCAAGTAAACCCTAAAGCAACCCCAAATAACTACCAAACAAACCGTAAACCAACCCTAAACCAACCTTCAACAACCTAAGCAGCCCCTCAACAAACTCTAAACAAGTGAAAACCTCCCGCAAATACAATTTAAACAACCACACCCAACCACAAAGCCTAAACCAACCTTCAACAAACCATAAGTTAACCCTCACCCAACCGTAAATGCATTTTAAAACCAGCCCCCAATAACCGCTACACAAACCTTAAATAAACCCTAAGCCAGCCCTAAATAAGCCTTAAACCAACCCTAAACAAACCTTAGACTCCCTAAACAAACTCTTAACCAACCCTAAACAAACATTAAATCAACCCTAAATGAACCCTAAACCAACCCTAATCTAACCCTAAATTCTTTGGGCCTTACGGCACTTTGTGCGCCACGAAGTGTATTTATTATCATATGAGGTGATGCTTGATCTGCTTAGGTGTGCGACCATCTAACAAGCAGAAGGCAGTGCTATGTGGTGTTAGATACACAATCTCTTTTGCTTAGGTGTGTGCGCATCTAAAGCAGAAGGCATTGTTAGACGCGAGCTGTGTTAGAAGAAGTATCGCTTCTGCTTACTCGATTATAGTGAACTCACCCCGCCCGATCCAAAATCTTGCGTTTAGTTGGGGGGGACTTCCCAGGAAAGTCGCCCCAACATGCGTTTACTTGCTGTGGAGCAGTTGCGTAAGACAGAAAACGATGCTTTAGAAGTAAAATTTGCTTCATTTAGCTTGTGTTTACACTGGTGAACTTGTTTTTTTTTGTCATGCCTGGCTCATTCATGTGACCTTCGAGCAAATCCAGTCACGTGTTTACATGTCGCCCTGCCGGGGGGGTGCCTTTCTAGAGGCAGCGTTCAAACTGCTGCTGAGCTGCTGCCAGACTGTTTCTAGACTCCTGCTATAGACTTGCTGCCGGGCTGGTGGTAAACTGCTGCTAAAGCTGAGGGGTTTCCAAAGCTATTTTCTGGCCTCGTTCGGGCTTCGTTTTGGCCTCGTTTTTGGCCTCGTTCGGAACCCGTTGCAGAAATATTGAGGTGAGATGCAAATCAGAATACCATAGATTTGTTTTCAAAACATACCAAGACCAAAACATACATGAATCATGCGTTCACATTGCGTTTTGAACCAGAAGATGACATTTCTTAGATGTACTTGTTATACTTTGAACATTCGAATTAGATGCGTTTTGCAACAAAAAAATATTTTGCCCAAGCATACATGAATCATGCGTTTACATGGTGCTTTGATATTGAAACATGTCATTTTGTTAATAATTTTCGATAGTTTGAAACCATTGGGGTGACCTGCGTTCTCATGGTGATTTGCACATTTGGGATGATAGTTTTTTTGTACTTTTTCATTTTCGTGCTGCGTTTACAATGGGCGAAAAAGTTGGAGTTGGGGGGCGTAGTTCCATGCGGGAATGACAGTTGACTGCAACGTTGGGGGACCTTCGCCGGCATTGAGTAGAAGTGTCGCTGGTCTAAAAGGCAACGCCCTATTAGATGTGAATTGCATCAAACAAATTATCATCTCTGCTTAGGTGTTTTGTCGTTAAGTAAAAACTGTGTCAAATTGTTGAAATTTTCAACCAAATTACGTGTGCCTTTCTAGGTTGATGTTCTTGCGTTCTTCTTGTTTTCATTGCTGCAGAGGTTGAAAACGCAAATGACAGTCATTGCTTGGGGGGTGGTTCGGGGGGTGGAGAGGGCCGTGATAACGTTCTTGATAGTACGCTCTTGATGGTTCATGCACATGAAGTGACCTACATGTTGCCACACTGTGCACTCTTCGTGGTACATGAGTTGATATTTCAGGATGGCTGCACTCCCCATGGTTCATGCACATGAAGTGACATAGGTGTTGCTACGCTGTGCACTCTTCGTGGCACATGAGTTGATACTTCTGCTGCTACGCTCCTCATGGTTCATTTTTATTCCATTGCCGGTGGTTTCACACACCCTGGACTTATTCACCGATGGGAGTTGCCTGTTCCAATTGACTCCGATGCCCGAATGGCGTTGTTTGTTGTCATGGCTTAGCATTTTGCCTGGACTACCGTTCACAGAGCTTCCAGCTTGTCGTTGCTCAGCCCCTAGTAGGTATCCTGCAGTCAGCGTACCGTGCCGACTTGCAAGCGCTTGTAGTTTAATTGAAATCGCTGCCAAGACCAACTCTTGTGTCCGTGTTTGCAAGTGCCATCTCTGCGGATGCAAGGTATGTGAGAGACGGCTCCCTACCATTGGACCAGAGGTGATGATGATGATGATGATGGTGGTGGTGGTGGTGGTGATGATGAGGATGATGAGGACGATGAGGACGAAAACACCGACGAAGACGAGGACGACCACCACCACCACCGCCGACACCACACCGATGTTTTATAGTATTACTTGTAGTATTGTTGCTATTCGTGTTTTCGCTGTACCGCCCAAGGACCGTGAGTCGCAGATTGAGGGACTGGAGCCCAAGGGTGACAGCCCACAGAAGTTGGATGCAGGTATCATTGAGTTCAAGGACCGGCTTTCTGGATGGGTCGACCTGGGCAATTTCACCAAACATGTTCTGGGGATCTCATGGCTATATTTTGCATTTTTTTTTGCAAGGATATTTACCCGCAATAGTATATGAGTATTCCAATATCGCAAAATATAGGGATACGCGATCCTGGGATATACAGGCAAATTCTGCGGGGGGAATCCGGGGGGGTCGATGCCCACAGGCTGAGCATCACAAGGAATCAGCATGAATCAAACCATCTAAACAAAGATAAGCATAGGTGCCCCCAGGTAATCAAAAACACATGGATAAATCCAACATGGATTTCGATGATTTTCTTATTATCACATATGGGTTTGTCTGAAAATAGTGTACCCCTACACCCAATGGTTTTGCTGATCATTATCCCCCAAAAAAATGGCTATAATTGCGGGTATACCCCATTTTCAGACATACCATTTTCAGAAAATCACCAGTTTTAATGGGAAAATCCACTATACATGGTCATTTTCAATAGCTATTTTGACATTACCAGAGGGTATCACATATCAAAACCCCCATTTTTGATGGGGATCTTTGAGCCCATGATGATCATTCGTGACAGGACGTGAAGTTCTTCTACCCCTTCCGCCCGGAAATCCAGGTCGGAGCACTCTTTCCCACGTCCTCATATTGGGACATAGCATTGGAATATCATGTTTGCATCATTCCACTTGCACACATTTTCTGTACAGTAATCTATATATACATATCTCTACAAATATACACTATATATATATATATACACACTATATATATACATACTATATATATATACACTATATATATATACATATATTATATACTATATATATATATACTCTATATACTATATATATACTCTATATACTATATATATACTATATATATACTATATATATATACACTATATATATACTATATATATACTATATATATATATGTGCATGTATACAAAAGCAGCAACCTTTATAATTCCCAACATCCCAGATGCCCATCCCAGGTGCTGAAGGGTATCAACTTCAAGATCTCCAGTGGCCAATCCGTTGGCCTCGTTGGTCCCTCGGGCGGCGGCAAGAGCACGGTGATGTCGCTGCTGCAGCGCTTCTACGACCCGCAGGAAGGAAGCGTGCCGCGGTTATCGGTGGATGGGTCATGGGTGGCACTGGGGGTCAAGTGCTGTGTCCTAAGAGTTGGATTTCACACCAGGAAAATTTTTGATCCTTTGGTGATGTTGTGACTCTATGGATAATAAAAAAGATGGAACCTTCTTTTGGACTTTGTGGATGAATCGGTGAAATTTGTGGTAAAGTCACCAACAGATACCGGTAGTGGTTGTGAATCCAGGCGAAGAATTTGTATGGAGATGCATGAAGGGTACTGTATTCGCTTCTGAAACCAAGAGCTATGACGCAAGGATTTTGGATAAGAGAATCTCACGAAAAAAAGTTTCAACCTGTTCATCACATTTGACGTGGGGTCGTCTCCCAGCAGTGCTTGTACCCCACCCAAATACACTAGAATTCATTTGGCCGAACACTTGGTCTGTTGGAACTTCAACCAGCCAATTCTTGCTGGCCTTGGGTATTGTTTTGTGTCCCAGTGGTTTAGTTACATCCTCATGTGGGTTGATACCCTCTCTGAAAAACTGGTTGCGGACATTATACATTATTGTACTGTAGGAGATAAGGCTTAAATGAACTGGTTGTTCGATGAAAAAAAACAGGTGCATCCTCAATTTTGCTCATATCCCCATTTACAATGATTTGTAATCATTTTTAATCATTTACAACCATCGACAATCATTTTGTATGTGCAATTCTATCTTCACTGGGCAATTAAATTATAAATATATATAGTTTATAATTACAATATATATATATATTATATTATATTATATTATATTATATTTATATTATATTATATTATATTATATTAAATTATATCTATATTATATTATATTGTATTGTATTATATTATATTATATTGTATTATATTATATTATATTATACTATATTATATTATATCTATATATTATATATATTATACCCTATGGATCCAAGTATCTTAGGACGTGTTTGGGGCATGATTTGGGGGTTAAGTACCTTTTTGGACAGCGTTTAGATCCATAGGGATATATTATGTATATATATACTGGTTGGTGGTTTCAAACATTTTTTATTTTCCATCATATATTGGGAATAATCCTTCCCATTGACTAAATTTTTCAGATGGGTTGAAACAACCAACCAGTATATATATATATATATTACTGGATAACAATTACTGGATACCCTCTGGTAAACTAACAACAGCTATTGAACATGGCCATTGAAATAGTGAGTTTTCCCATCAAAAATGGTGATTTCCCATAGTTATGTAAACGTTTACAAGAGGGTAACCACATCAAAAACGTCTGGTGCTCTGGGACAGCCCAGGTGCTCGTGGGCAGCGAGAAACTCCCCCTGCACTCGCTGAACATCCGCTGGTGGCGCAAACAGATGCTCGGCGATGAAAAATCGGAGGATTTGGGTATGGGTCAATACCTATAGATACATTTTTAGTGGGATGAACATCCATTTACCAGTTCACTAGGTACCAGGGTTTTGACCCATCCCCATTTCAGTATCAAAACCACTGAGTTCGAGAGGATTTTACCCTCTGGCAAACGTTTACATAACTATGGAAAAATCCACCATTTTTAATGGGAAAACTCACTATTTCAATGGCCATTTTCAATAGCTACTGGTATGTTAGTTTACCGGAGGGTAAATGATTTGATTGGGGAAGATGATAGAAGAATTGAGATTTATATATGAACATTAGGACTTCATTGGATTTTAATGGGTTTTCATGGTCGTTTAATTCAATTTGATTGGACACATTCACGGATTTGTAGATTATTTCCAAAGGGGACTTCACTGATTTTCCATTGATTTAATCATCAAAACAATACAATGAAACCACGGATTTTCCACAGTATGGACAAGGACAATTATGGGACAGTTGTGAGATGATTATGGGATAATTACCCTCCAGTAAACCTACAAACAATATATGCTAGTTTGTTCATGTTTGTTCAAAGATTGAGTCATGAAGATCATGAAAAGCCATTTCAACTTGGAAATCCAACATGCATTCTTTAAAATCTTTAAACAGATGAAACCATGTCCACTGGTCCTGTCTTGAAATATCTTCACTTGAACACACATTGAACATTTGAATTTAGCCATTTCAGACATGGCGATGGCTCAGAAAAGGTCTGACAGGTATTGATCCACAGCCCCAACTATCAATTTAAGCATCAAACATTCTCCAGTATCGAACTTCGGAATGTAACAATCAAAAAAGGGAACCCAACAATCAAGAAAAGAGGGCTCAAAGATTGAAAGGGAATGTCAGAATCAGATTCCGGGTATTTATTTATATATGAAAAGCAATGAGGATACTCCAGAAGACTGGCAGATAATCCCTGTTTTGAAAGTGATGTGACCACGGCGACATACGCGGCAACCGTAACCTCGTGTGTCCCATCTTGCTTCGAAACGGTCTCCCTGTACGGGAAGATGTTGCTTGAAGGTTCAGACTTGATCAGGGCACATCGCCGTTTTTCGGTGAGTTAGATGCGAGAGGTGCTTGGGATGTTAGAATCCAGCATGTCCGTGGGAATTGTTGCAAGGTGGTGCCCCCCCCAGTTATAAGTTGGTTTATAATCCCATTAACTATAGATATATCTACCATAAGTCCTAGTTATTAGAGTTATAAACCAAGTTAGCTATCTTGGGGGCACCACATTGTGCAGATCATGTCACAAAGTGTTTGGTGTTTGGCAGCTTCGCTCTGGAGTTCCGGCTTCAGCGCCTGAAAACCAGAAGCACTGGAGATGTGTTGAAGGGCAGATTTCGGCCCACCAGTTCGACAGTTCGAAGCACGGTTTCAAACCACCAAACTGATCCAAGATCAATCCACATTTTAGTCGGTTTTGTGACCTCTTTCTGGGCTATTCTGGGCTCAGCCCGGCTCGGCGTCATGTTCACTGTCGTGGGCACCAGGTTTGACAACCCCCCCTGTATTTCAAGCCGCCTATCTGATTTCTACAGTCAAAGAAGTTACGATTCAGATTAATCTCAGAACTTCTACAACTTACCGGGTGCGGCCAAAAAAACAACAAGGCTTTTTAAAAGCATATCTCTTTTGGTCAGATAGGCCCCATTGAAGCAACGTCTTTTTGGGTCACCTGGGTCACCTGGGCCATTTTTTTCGCGGTCGAGGATCGGCTTTGTGGGCCAAGAACCGGTGCTCTTCAACACCACGGTGAGGGCCAATTTGATGTATGGCATTGATGAGGGAGACACCCACCTCACCGATGACTACCTCAGGAAGTGCCCCGAATTAAATGTTGTTTTTGTTGGATCACGAGTCGGGTGAGTTTAAGCGGGCTTGCCAGTTGGACGAATAAGATGACGGTAAGATCCAATCTCAAGGAGCATTGATGACATATGGAAAAGGTGCCCATACATATAAAATAGATATATACATGGTATAGATATAGTTACACATATATATATATATATCATTGTATATATATACGTATAATAATAACAATAATAATAATAACAATAATAATAATAATACTACTACTAATAATAATATATATATATATACACATATATATATATATCATAAAATTAACACGTATAATGGCATGATAGTAAATATACATGATATTTGCCACCTGCCATTGAGGTGCGAGAAGATGTGCAACCTTGGATTCCTCTACAAGAAGCTTTGGCAGGGATGATTTTCATGACGATTTTCCCATGGGAAAATGGAGGTTCTCATGGAAAAAACCATGGGAACATTAGGGAAAATCAATGAACATCATCTATAAATGGAGGTTTATAGCTGGGAAAGTCATCGAAATGGTCTAAATTCACCATCTATATCCGTTTATAGATGATTTTCTCAGCTAGAAACCTCTATTTGAAGGTGAATCATGGTTTGTTTGTTCATTTAGGCGGAAAAAGGTGAATCATGGTATTCCCAAATTAAAGACCTGTTATTTTGGCATACACCGGTATACCCCGTTTAAAAACAGTTGAGCTCTCCATCAAAGCGTAGGGATATGGTAAATGATGGTTTCATGGGAGTTGATTGGGATTTTTCATACGTGCATATGTGTTCATTCAAATATGTTTAAATCGGAAATGGAGGCTTCTAGCCTTCTAGCTCAACAAAAATCCTCTATAACTGGTTGGTGGTTTGGAACATGAATGTTATGACTTTCCATATATTGGGAATGTCATCATCCCAACTGACGAAGTCATATTTTTCAGAGGAGTAGGTCAACCACCAACCAGTATATATATAAATGGAGGTTTCTAGCTGGGAAAATCATCTATGTCTATGGGCCATCTATACCATGGCTATGTTAGTCATAACCAGTAATGGTTTTCATACCGTTAATAGTACCATGATTTTTGTTGCACCACTTGCCACTGGATTCACCGACTTTAGCAAGCACCAACGATAGCAGTACTTAAGGAGTACATAAGTATCCTCATATTGTTCATGATACCCTCTGGTAAACTAACATAACTATGGAAAAGCACCATTTTTAATGGAACAACTCACTATTTCAATGGCCATTTTCAATAGCTATGTCAAATTACCAGAGGGTAATCAATCCTCATATTCAATGGATTGGTTTGTTTGGGAAAATCTGAAAACCGGAAACCAGAGTGATTTTCCCATGAAATATGGGGCTTTCCTGTAAAATTTGCCGGAAGAAAAACAATCCATTGACTTATATCCCAGTTACTCCCCATGATCTCCCCATATTCGATCCTGCTTTTGGACATTTTTTTCCCGTGAAATTTCGCCAGGAATGGCAACAGTGGTCTTGAGACCAGCGTCGGGCCCCGCGGCAGCCGCCTTTCTGGAGGGCAGAAGCAGCGCGTGGCCATCTGCCGCGCCCTGCTGCGCGACCCCAAAGTCATGTTGCTGGACGAGGCGCCGATAAAAGATGGCGGCTGGACTTGACGAGTTCACAGCGGTTGTTTAAGATGGTGAAAAAGATGCTGTTTTTTGTGATTTTACCAAGATGGTGATTTTTGTCCAAAGAACAACAAAAATGGGATATTTTATTGTAATCTAATGGAGATAGTGCGGAAGAATCTCCTATGTTGGTGAAATGATACCCTCTGGTTATGTCAAAATAGCATAAGATAGCTAATTATTGAAAATGGCCATTGAAATAGTGGATTTTCCCATTAACAATGGTGGATCTTTCCATAGTTTTTCGTTAGCCCGTTTACCATGTCGGGTAACCGACTAGCTCCAAAATCGGGCCTGGGCATGTCGGGATGTCGAAGGGATGATGACCATCCGTAACAATCGAGGTTTTGATCATCAAACAAATGGGAATACTCGACCATGTTTAACCAGCAACAGTTGTTATATATGTATAATATATATATAATTAGAATACATGCACATATATACGTGATTTTGGGGTGGAAAAGTTTTTTTTTGCAACCGCAACAGGGGATGTGACATTTCACGTCCCCCCCCCCAAAAAAAAAACAACAACCCGATGGATGTGGCGGAACTGGAGTCACCCGATGATTTGATGAGAAAATTAAACCGGTCAACATGTGGCTATGAAATTTTGGGATACCCAATGGATCTGGCCATGATTGTTCAGTCTTGATATTTCCCAGCCCACTTTGAGTAACAAGAAGTGCAGCCACCAGATGATTTAACCAAAAACTGGCGAGGGTTGAAGCAGAACAAGAACGATCCAAGCCATAAATGACGGGGATAAGCGTTAACTATTGTAAATGATATGGCAAATGGTAAGAAAGCTGGAGCATTGGCAGAGGACAGCTGATTGGTAGTTTCAACATGTTTGACCTGTTCTTCAATGCTGGTGAAGCCAAGAATTCATCTCCGATCATTTAATGAACCATCCGATGGAACGTGGAATGATAAGAGCTGGTATGATTTATTTCCGCTTTACCATGTTTTACCAAAATCTAGTTCCATCCTAATTTTTGACCATTCTCTTACCAACGAAATCGTGCGATACGCAAGATTGTTTTTAATTTCTAAAACAATTTGTTTTCGAAAAGAAAAACAAAAACAAACACCAGGGTACAGAGAACAGTTACTGTAACAGACTTTTGACCCGTATTTTTTTGCTTCGAAGGTTCCATTTCTGTCGAAGAGTTGCCAGGCCACTAGCGCGCTGGACACGCAAAGCGAAGCGATTGTCCAGAAGGCTGGGATTCGTCTTATCGCTGGTTCAAAAAGGTGGGACTACGATGGGAAATTCATAGGGAAATTGGGAGTATCATGGGAAACCCCTAGTCAAAATAGAGGTTTTAATATGTTTTACTTGGAATCATGAACAAATATGGGAAAAAATAAAGAAAAATCATAGCAGGAAACATCCTGTTGGTTGAGAAAAGAAGGGGTGATTGCATTCGACAGGGTCGTAGCAAGATAATTTGGGGATCTTTGGGGATTATCGGAATCCATGATGGGAAAAAAAAACCATGTGGTTGTTGATTACTGTAGTGGGGATTTTGAGCAGCCAGTACACTGCTCATCATGATGGAAGCTCAAAATCCCCATGGCGTCTCGGCGGATGATCAGTTTCCCTCGGCGTTTTCGGAATTTCGGGTATCCCTTTTTTTGAGACAAAGTCTTGCATGATCTTCCATGTTTGTGATCCCTATTCTTGATGGTTAAAAGTTAAAACCATGTTTGATCGTTAATTCAATCCCCATGTCTGTTTTTTTTCATACTCAGTTGTTGGCTAGTTAAATCATCTTAACAATCCATCAACGGGTCGCCTCGTGCCCATTCGTGCCCTGTCATCCACTTCTTCCATTTCCGTACCCACATTTTCCCATGATTTGCCCTGTAACACCTATTAAAACATATTGAAATCTCCATTTTGAGGGGGGATTTCCCGGATTTTCCCATCATATTCCCATGGTCTTCCCACCTTGGTGGGGCCCCATATTCAGGTTATGAGTTGGATTAGAACCTCATCGAACTATGGAGATATTTTAATCTATCTTCTATAAAGCCACCCATGATATTCCCACATTTTCCCCGTTTTTTTCCCACAGGAAATCCGATAGTTTTCCGGTCTTCCCATCGGTCCGGCTATGTCGAGGCCCTTGAAGCGGCGTTGCAAGGGCGGACCTCCTTTGCCATCGCCCACCGCTTGTCCACGATCCAAGGTGCCACGAAAGTCTTCGTCGAAACGTGGGGTGAGAGGATGAATTAAGGACTTAAAACATGCTCGAGTACAAGAGTAGCAGTAGTAGCAGTAGTAGCAGTAGTAGCAGCAGTAGAAGCAGTAGCAGCAGTAGCAGCAGTAGCAGTAGCAGCAGTAGCAGCAGTAGCAGCAGTAGCAGTAGTAGCAGAAGTAGCAGCAGCAGCAGTAGCAGCAGTAGCAGCAGTAGTAGTAGTAGCAGTAGTAGCAGTAGTAGCAGTAGTAGCAGAAGTAGCAGCAGCAGCAGTAGTAGTAGTAGCAGTAGTAGCAGTAGTAGCAGTAGTAGCAGCAGTAGCAGCAGTAGCAGCAGTAGCAGCAGTAGCAGCAGTAGCAGCAGTAGCAGCAGTAGCAGCAGTAGCAGCAGTAGCAGCAGTAGCAGCAGTAGCAGCAGTAGCAGTAGTAGCAGAAGTAGCAGCAGCAGCAGTAGTAGTAGCAGTAGTAGCAGTAGTAGCAGTAGTAGCAGTAGTAGCAGTAGTAGCAGTAGTAGCAGCAGTAGCAGCAGTAGCAGCAGTAGCAGCAGTAGCAGCAGTAGCAGCAGTAGCAGCAGTAGCATAGAGCGTAGCAGGTAAGTAGCAGTAGTAGGTAGCAGTAGTAAATAGCAGTAGTAAGTAGCAGTAGTAAGTAGCAGTAGTAAGTAGCAGTAGTAAGTAGCAGTAGTAAGTAGCAGTAGTAAGTAGCAGTAGTAAGTAGCAGTAGTAAGTAGCAGTAGTAAGTAGCAGTAGTAAGTAGCAGTAGCAGTAGCAGTAGTAAGTAGCAGTAGTAAGTAGCAGTAGTAAGTAGCAGTAGTAAGTAGCAGTAGTAGGTAGCAGTAGTAAATAGCAGTAGTAAGTAGCAGTAGTAAGTAGCAGTAGTAAGTAGCAGTAGCAAGTAGCAGTAGTAAATAGCAGTAGTAAGTAGCAGTAGTAAGTAGCAGTAGTAAGTAGCAGTAGTAAGTAGCAGTAGTAAGTAGCAGTAGTAGTAGCAGTAGTAGTAGTAGCAGTAGTAAGTAGCAGTAGTAAATAGCAGTAGTAAGTAGCAGTAGTAAGTAGCAGTAGTAAGTAGCAGTAGTAAGCAGTAGCAGTAGTAAGTAGCAGTAGTAAGTAGCAGTAGTAAGTAGCAGTAGTAACTAGCAGTAGTAACTAGCAGTAGTAGCAGTAGGAGCAGTAGTAGCAGTAGTAGCAGTAGTAGCAGTAGTAGCAGTAGTAAGTAGCAGTAGTAAGTAGCAGTAGTAAGTAGCAGTAGTAGGTAGCAGTAGTAAATAGCAGTAGTAAGTAGCAGTAGTAAGTAGCAGTAGTAAGTAGCAGTAGTAAGTAGCAGTAGTAAGTAGCAGTAGTAAGTAGCAGTAGTAAGTAGCAGTAGTAAGTAGCAGTAGTAAGTAGCAATAGTAAGTAGCAGTAGTAAGTAGCAGTAGTAAGTAGCAGTAGTAGCAGTAGCAGTAGCAGTATTACATAGTATTACTATGATTCTTAGAATACATTTATTATTGTTTTTATTGTGCATACATTTCGATTATGATTTCTATCATTATGCCATTGTTTTGCTGTGGGACGTAAGGAGCAACACAACGGGGGATGGAGTGAATGTGAACACACACAGGGGATATCTGAGGGGTCACCAACCAAGCATCTCTGACAGGTGATTTTGATGCGTAGGTGCACCAAACACCTGGGGTTCAACAACTAAGACCCAACAGAGAGGATTGGACCCAGCTTCTAAGGAGACTTGTCTATATTGACAGCCTTCTGATTCTAATTGGATCTCCTCCCCATTCTTTTTTGTTTCACTTCCCTTTAAGCTTGGTCCCGTTGCTGACAAAACCATCCAAGTTTGGAGGGTGTCCCTTGTTGTTTTTCAAAGCACCATTTGTGTTGGTGAAATATGACCAGATGACTATGTGACAATGTTTTACTCCATGTCCACGGTTGTTCAGCACTTAACAGCTGTGATGATCAACTACCCCATGATGCTGACCACTTGTTTGGATCTGAGATTGAAGAATCCTAGATCTTTGAGCAAAACCAAACATGAGCAGGCATAGAAAAACATCCTAGGTTGGGGTTGAACAGGACCCAAAACTGTGACTAGCCAACCACTTCTAAATTGCCTTGCAATACCTTATTTGGTCAATAGTTTCAAACTTATTTTATGCTACCATATCTAGAATGATGCCTCGAAATAGCTATACAGATCTGTTTCAAGGGGGTTGTAAACCACCTAGGGTTCATAGCCCAGTCACCAACTATTTACATAATCCCTTCTCCCCCAAAAAAAACCGTGAGAAGAGACCATGGGTTTGTTACTTCCTTTTTCCCCATATACCCTCTGGAAATTTACCATAGTTCTAAAATAAACCACCATTCTTAATGGGTAAATCATTTCATAAACCATAAAAACAACAATTTTCCGTGGAAACTCACCTTTTCTCATGGCTAGATCCTCTTTTTTATGGCTCATTGTCCTCTTTTTCTCACTTCGCAACGAAGGCTGCGATGTGATCCTCGTGAACGCCGATGGTCGGGTGGTCGAATCTGGAAACCATGCCCAGCTCATGGCACTGAAAGGCGCGGGGACCAGGGGGACCTGGGGGACCTGGAGGACCTGGGGGACCTGGGGGACCTGGCACCAAGAAATCCCAGCATTTTGATGGCTTGAATTCATCCCCGGCATTGGGGAAACTGCCATAGGTTTGAAACATGATCTAAGCCAAACAGAAAGGAAAAACAACAAAAGACATTCAGATTCATCAAAAAACTTTCCAGATGTAATGATGTATGAGTCAAAGTGGATCGAAATAGGGTCGCATCAATCGCCACATCTCATGGCCGTCACGTGGCCCCCATGGAACCCGGGTCTGTACTGAGAGATATGGGGCTGGGTTTTTATTGGTGTGAAGGGTGGCATCATGTATCATCAGATTTCTAATGATGTGAACATACAGTGGTATCATATCGACTTCATATCCTGGCTGATATAACTGATATAACTGATATAACTTATTAACTTGCCCTTTCTTGATATATTCATACATTGACACGATACATGCATAATATACAATATATATATATATACGTATATATACTAATTACTCCTATCCACAGCAAAAAGTTGCTGTTACTGTGTCAGATCGCCGCGGGGATCCACATCGGCAGGTGTGTACTACAAGCTGCAGACGCAGTCCCAAAAGTGAGCGAGCGACCCGAGCGACTGCTCGAGGGACGTTCAGCTGACGCTGGACCTGTCCCCTTTTTTGGCTGGAACTGGGTGGAACCGTTCCAGGCTCTCCCGAGGACCTCCTGGAGACCTGCTGGAGACCTCTTGGAGGTGTCCCAGAGCTGAGAGAGCTGCTGAAGATGGGGTAAACGAGCTCTAGATGCACCTCAGTTTGCATCTCACCCATTTTTTCTATGTTTTTTGTCATATTTCCAAGTTGATTTTCAAGTATTTTCAAATACAAGTCCGACATGATTAGCACATGCAAACTTTGAGAACCTCTCTCTTTTCTCTGGCCCTCCATGCCAACTTGATCTGTCGATTCATTGCGGGTTGTGGTGAGTGTAGACAGTTCGAGTCCTCAGCGACCGCCATCGCATCTGAGTGGGTTCGGCCGGTCTTCGGATTGTCGAGCGGTCACTTAACTCAGGGCGAGGCGAGACGTGCCGTATAGATTTTCTCTGATTGGTGGCTCAACATTCACATTCTGAATATATACAGTATATTATACACATACATATATATACACATAGATAAGCTAATTAGATAGGAATGCTGATCCCATAATTGACGTTTTAAGCCACCAATCCGTCCATCTCCAGCGCGACTTTCCTTGGAGAAGCGGTTCCCCTGGGTGCAGTTGAGAACGGCGCGCCGTCTGAGACACCAAGGTGGTGTTTTCTCAGGGCGATTCACCGATGAAAGTGGTGATTTCACCAATGAAAGTTGTGATTTAACCAATGAAAGTGGTGATTTCACCAATCAAAGTGGTAATTGAAACAAGAAGAAATCAGTTTTTTTTTGCAAACATGGTGGTAGGATTTCAATGTCATGGGATATCATGGGATGTCGAGCGGGATATGAATCAATTAATATCTCACACATGTTTGAATTTCAGGGTAAAGTATGGCAAACATGACCAAAAAGGGCAATCCCACATTATAGTTCAGTTCTAGTTCACTGAAAAATCTGAAAACATTCTGAAAACGTCCTTCGATTCAATAGATGGCTACACCCAGTTCAAGGATAAAATCACTTGGGGGGGAACTTAGACAGTGAACTAGATCATACTAGATCTGAACAATGAGTGAATATTGCCATGAAGATCATATCCCCTTACCATGAAGATCAGTGAACTGTTGCCGTTGGAAAGAACCTATGGTGGATCTGCCTGGAAGCCCAAAAATCGTTGCCATGTTCACGTAAACCCATGAATCCATGATTCAAATGCGGGATTTGACTTATGTACATATTATATGTACATATTATATATGTAATTATATATATAATCATATTATATGATTGGTGGTTTTTATTTTCCTTTTTTAGATCATCATGTCGAACTGTTCGTAAAACAACGAACGTTTTGTTACCCTCTGGTTATTTAACAGTTCGCCATGGAAAATGGCCCATTTATAGATGGTTTACCTGGGTTTACCTATTAAAACTGGTGATTTTCCATGGCACTGCGCTGTCTGGAATGTTGTGGGTCGACTTTCTGCTGGATGGGAGTTCTTCATGAATTCCTGGGAGGCAGTACTCGTATTATAAGATATAATAGCCTCTGGTAAATTCACATAGACCCTGCCATGAATTTCGGGCTTGGAAGATGAGTTTCCATGAAAAACTCGTGATGTTCAGGGTCTATGTTAATTTACCAGGTGGTCATATATATATATATTAATGATGTGGGTAAACAATCCCCCAAATCCTCATAAATAGGTGGTGTAAACCATTCCCAGTCATGGGTGGTTTATGACATTGTTTTACCCACATTATAAGTATATTTTTTTCCCTTTTACGACCACTGAGGCTCAAATGTACTCAACTGCTGCTCCATGCTGTTGTTTTCATGCGGCCCTCGACCAAGTTGAGTTGGCACCTCAGCCCCGATCCGGGGCACAGAGGCACAGACGTGCCGTCAGCGTCAGCGCTGTACCAATCTGAGAACCCACTGATGTCACGTTCGCGGCTGTTCTAGAAGCTAGGGGAATCTTAGACAGTGAACTCAGTGAACTAGATCTGAAGAATCCGTGAATATTGCCATGAAGATCATGTCCCTAGAAGCTATGAAGACTTATGAAGATTTCAGTCGTCGCCTGTAGCGTGTGACTTGTGGGAACCCACTGATGTCGCTGAACACCACCCGTGGTTCGTCCACAGTGGTTTCTGTAGGTTTCTGGGCCTTCCTTCGGTTTGTCGAAGGACAAGCCAATATATAACCCAATGAGCCGTCTCGCGACAGGGGTCCCCAAACTGTTGGACAAACTGCTGTTGAGAGGTTTTGCTCATTTTTTGCCAACAAAAAGCGTCACAGCAACAAAAATCGCAGTGCTTGGAGTGGGATGATCGGGCCCTGGGCTCATCCCCACAACCGATTGTAGAGCTTCAGCTATAGCTTTGATTCATGCTTTTGACCAACACCGGTATGGGTCAACATATAGCTATATCATGCTATATCCACATCCCACACATAAAGATAATAGTGACATATATAATCATATGTATACATATGTGACATATAGTATCATATAGTGAGTGACTATCTGAGCAACTGGGTGATAATTTACTGTCCCCCAAGTACCAAGACGACGCCATCCAACTTTTGTTTAATGGGGGTGATAAGGAACCCTCAAGTTGGATCAAACCATTCTCAGGATCAAACTTTTAAATTCAAATATTAGATATTACAATCATTATCCCATTATTATATACACCATGATCATCCCATTATTCTCCCAAATTACATCATTCTTATCCCTTTATATCAGAAATATTGAGAAATCCTATGGGTTTCTGATTCCTTTGTTACACCATGACTATCCTAGTATTATCTTAATACTACTGTGGATGGAAGAAATCCTGCACCACCTTGGATGATTGAAACATATTGAAAGCCTGTAAATAAAGGGATCAATCACCTATCAGACCTATCAGCTGCTGGTGCAGGATTTCGCAATCATCCACAGTATCCAGGGGTTGGTAACTGTCCCATTTTGGGAATATTGGACATCACCTTACAGTAGCCATTATAGACCATATATCTAATGGTTGGGTGATGTTCAATGGGGACATTTAATGACCCATGGTATCAGTTGGTTCTCAGGACACATTTCCTCAGGTAACCTGAGACCTCCGCAGGTGGCTCTTCGACACATCGACAACTTGGCGCGGGAGTTGCGTAGCGAGGCGTGCGCAGACCTGAAAAAAGACACGGCGATCGCCGGGTAGAACGTCACCAAAATTTTATCAAAGAGATAGGAATGTGATGAATATCACTAATTAGTGATACTAGTGTATTTTTTTTTAAAATGGATTTTACGACATTATATCAGATTATATCTTGGTGGGGCTTGCAAGAACTTATAGATATAAAATGATATAAATGGGGTTCCGCCCAGGATTTTCCAGAATTTAAAGGACTTACAGAATGAAGCATGGTTATTATAAGCAGTGATGGATGAGGGGAGTTACAACCCAATTCTAAATGGTGTAACCCAGGGGTTTATGAATCTGGGCTCAAACATTGAACATTGCATATTTCCACCACCGAGCATGAGGTTTTAGTGATTTGTTCTGCCTTGGGTGTGGCCAGGGAGGGTTTGATTATCATGGAGGAGATCACCCAGTGGTTCATCATCATTTTCCTCAAGAAACATGGTCACAACTGTTTTTTTCTTCCATGGGTACTCAGAATATCAGACAGCCAGACAGCCATGTAGTGACCAGGGCGTTGTCAGAGATGGTGATCTGGAGCAGATCTGGAGCACCTTTTTTCTGTTTTTTTCCTAAACCCCTCTGGATGTGTGTCTAAAGATGAGGTTTTTATAGCATCAGTTCACCCCAAATGGCAATGGCCAGGGCCTAAAACCAGGAGATTTTGGCGACGTCCTGGCTGTCCTCCCCGGTGCAGTCTCTTGTGGAATGTTTGTTACAGTTTGTTGATTAAATCCCATTAAATCTCAATCTTTGTTCTTAAGATGTTGGTTAGTTCACTCACTTCATGATCTAAATCTCTAAAACATTCTAAAGCAATCCTACGAACTGGGGAGCCCCATGTTAGCAACTAAGAGTTTCCCAAGCCCATGATAGTAGTCCTAATCTCATTATATAGTCCTCAATGGGTCTTAACATGTTGGTCTGTTAACTCATTGGTTGATGATTGGCTAGTTAACTCATTGCTTAGTCAACAGGTTGCTTCACGAAAAATATCCCAAAACAACTCATTAAATTCACATGTTGAGTATTGTTGAGTGGTTTTTTCAGCACCAGAGATCCGTTTGGTCGATGGGTTCGTCAACTTAAGCAATCTAGATTAGATTTAATCTAGATTCAATCTAGTGCTTGGTTTTTCCATTAAGAATCCATGAAAAAAAGTCATATTTTGCTTGGTCAACTGCAGGTCCTTGCGCAGACCTCTGCGGCCGCGGCGCA